GAAGAGCGACGACAAAGATATCTTGCCAATGCTCATGCTCAGCTCCGTGCACAACAAGCAGTACGAGCCGCCCAAATACTAGCTGCTGAGCAACAGAGCGGGAAACGAAGAAAGCGACGCGTGGTTACGGACAAGAAGCGGAGAACTGCCTCATCATCTTCCTCCTCTTCGAATTCCACCAAGTCGCCCTCTGGTTGAGTTGACGTGTGCTCAATGTTTACTTTTCTTATCACATGTATTAACTCGACACATTTCCCATTTATCTACCTTCCAACATAACCTCCAGCCTTACCACCTCCAACCAGACAACGAAGCAAAGTACGCCAACATCTGTTACTGAGGAAGGAAGAACTTTTGAGTGAGCATATGCATGGAATGTGCATTGGCTCGCTTGTTTCGATCCCGAGTGTATCATTGGTTTTTTTCCCCGAGCAAGAGGAGAGACTCTAGGAAACGAATACGGCATTAACTTTTTAATTTTCCTCGGAATTTTCTACAAAGACGTCATGTGAAAGAGCGGTGTCGCGGACCCGAAGGAATTACTCGGGAGAGACAAGACGCAATGCGTTTTCGCGCGTTATTCGAGCGTCACAACTTCATCCAATCCGGAAACCTCACCGTGGTCATGATTCCACTGTGACGGAGCCAACCTCCCCTGACTTCTTCTTTCCTTACCGCCCTTTATTCGAACACACATCTTTTCACCAATACCATCTGAAGTGAAAAAAATATTAACTTTTTTTTCCTCTCGTTCTTGGGGTTTCGGGGTCCCTTGTCCATGTCGGATTGGCAGGTGTGACTTGCATGTGGCATGGATGTGACGTGACGTGACGGAACGAAACTCAAAAATGTTCGATAGTAGGAAGAACGGATTCCGACTTGACCTAAGCCAGTCGTTTGGTTACAGTTGGTCAGCCTTCAGTCCAGGTTGACATACATTACGCCATTATTTTTTTCATTGCCCCTTACACCGCCCACTGCCGAACAGGGCCTGATGAGGAATCGGATGTCGAGTTTATTTTTTTTTATCGCGGTGGTGACTCATTTATTGGAGGTGTGGGTTGGCCACTTTGTCAGCGTCGGCTGTCATCTGAACTATTTTTGTTTCTCAGTCGGACGCGAAGCCTGCATGCATATTGGCTGGCGGGGCGGGTGATTTTCTCCCTTGCTGCCCGATGCGAGGAAATCGATGTTTGTCGTTGGGTTTCTTATGGAGATTGTGTTTCACCCCACGCATCCCCTGCGGCTTGGCCCCGTTCTTACTCAGCCTATTACCGCGCCCCAAGCAAGTCATCCGCTGGCTGCGCATCGCCCTACCGCCCCGGCACTTCCTCACCGCCTGTTGCCTGTTGCCTGTTGTTGCTGTTCACGTCTTGAATCATCATCAGCAGCAACAACAACAAACAGCAGCAGCAGCAGCACTGTTCACTCTCTGCCTATCCTTCCCCCACGCCTTGACTTCCCCCTCACCTCTCTGCCTGAATTTTTATTTTGCGCGTGGTGTTACCTTCGGCATTCGGCCTTTGATCTCTTTTGCCCTCTCTGATGTACCAAGCACAGCGGAGCGTAGTGTTGGGGGAACCCTATTATTTTTCTTGTCCATATCTTGTTCGGCGCCTCATTTTTATTCATTTTGTCCTTTTCTGTTATGCATTATACCCCCCCCGAACCAATTTGGTATCGATTTGTTTTTGATTTGTTTTTCGCTACTCTGTTCATCGATCGCAGCTGTGCTGGTGAAATCGACTTTTTTCATTTTTTATTTTCACTTCTTCACCTCCTCTTCTTCCCCACTTTTAGCTCCCGAGCGACTATGAGATCATCGTTCTGGACTCTGCAGATGGCTGAATGATGGGAAGTACTTTTTTCGATTTCTCCTAATGGTCTCCTGCTGGGATCACATTCGAAAGCAACGAGCTTGCTGGGGTTTTATTTTTTTTTCCCTCCTTGACTGGGTTGCATTATTGCATAGCATTGCATCACACATTGGGCAACGGTCGAAATTTTTAATATGCTTTTTTACACATTCAGCGCACATAAACATCAAGAAGACTCTGTACGGTGCGTACAGGTTCCCATTTAGCTAGCAATAGTTAGGCGGAAATAGCAGCATAGGGCATCAGGATGGGATTAGCCTGTCTTGAATCGATATTTGCTCCTTCAAACGAAGCAAAGAAAAAATAATATAATACACAATACAGATAAATACCATGATCAAAATAACATTCCTTCGTGTTCCTTTATCTTCCTTGAGAACAGTCACAGAGAGTGTGAGAGAGAGAGAGAGAGAGAGAGTTCAAGCTTCAAAAGGAGCGGTCGGCGGTTGCCACCTCGGTAACTCTCCCCCGCGGATTTCCCATCCCAACTCCATCGGGGCGGCTGGGCGGCTTAGGCGGCTTGGGACCATACCTCGAGCGAATCGCCTGAAGGGGCAATTCGATTTTGTCCGGCGTCTGTCTGTCTTTCTCGCTATTACTGATCGACTGATGACTGATGGCCGATGACTGAGGATCGATGACTGAGGATCGATGACTCCTAGTAAGTCCGCCACATAAAACATAGGATTTATGTTGTTGCATCTGCCAGTGTCCTTTGTCGAGAGTTACATATCGAACAAGCATCGGGTCTGCCTGGGCGGGGCTAAATGAGGAGGAACGGTGCGGATGAGCGGAGGGTTGTGGGGTCGTTTCTTCGTATTGTTTATGGGTTTTTTATTTGGTTTCTTCATTGTTGGATCCTAGTTAACCTAACCTACACCGTCTCGACAGAACTTTGGATAGGAGGGTTGGATTGTGTACTTCGGAAGGGTTCTGGGGAGGAATGCGATGGGCAGGATGGGGCTGATGGTGCTAATGGACAAAATCACCGAGTAATTTCAGGCAGTATATTTGTTGTTCTCCTGTTCTTTTCACGGCTTTTGGAGGTGCTATACGTTGTTTTCATCGTTGGGTTTCTCTTGCTGCAGACACACACACACACCCCTTTGCGGCTCTTTTTATTCTATAAATTACTCGCTGTTAAGGAGCTATGCAAAAACCTCTGTACTGTCTGGTACGTGCGTATTCTGGTTTATCTAAAAGAAAGAAATTCGTTTCTTTGACTGCGCGCATATATGGGGCTCCCTACGGATATCAAGGTAAGTTAACTGACTAACATGGAGTTTGGATCCGGGGGCGGTGATGTCGAGCGATTCTGTATCGCGATGGATGGACAAGAACAAAGAGTTCCATTGCATCGCTGTTTGCAAGAAAAAAAAAAAAAAAAGGCGCTCCGGTGAGCGATTCTCCAGCTGCATCAATGGGCAAAATACCGTCTCTGGATCATTCATTCTCCCTTGTCTGGCAGGCATCAAGAGTCGCAGCCGCTGTTGATAGCCATCGCCCATCCGGATGCTGCCTGACTTGTTGCCCGCCAGTACCAGGGCAATCGATGGTCAACCCAAGTAACCCATGTATGTATGTACCTGTGTATGTACCTGTGTATGTACATGTATGCACATGTACAGCAGCCAAATGACCAGCTCAACCTGACGAAAACCCTCAATGCCGGGTCGGGGCCATTTCCATTGATCATTCAGGTTTCGGAAACATCAAACCGCGCGCCCGTACACGACTCTCCGCCTCGCCCGGTGTGGGCTGAAAATGAAGAGAGGGTATGATGATGGTGATGGATGATGGTCCTCCAGCACCAAATGATGTCGACCCGATGAATGAACTGTGAACGGATACCGAGTACTGGCATCCACTGTGCTACCAACCCCCCACTGAGGTTGGCCGTGCACATATGCGCAAGAAGATCAAGGATTGCTTTATTTATTTATCCCTTGGACGTATGAAGTTTATAAGGGCTCACAATGGGTGTGATTTTAATATCCCGTGTTCCGGTTATCGATGAACTAACTACCTAGATGGAGAGTATGAAAAAAAAAAAAAAAATCTATGCTGTTGCTGCTACATATATTTGAGCTCGAGTCTGCCATCCTGTGCAACAGAAGCTCTGACAGTTGATGCATCCATCCACTTCATGCGATGGGCGCCGTTCAAGGATCAACAACATCCAGTAACGACGTAAATATATAAATAACGGTTGCATATTCTTTTTTTTTTCCCTAGAGAACGATAATGCACATAAATTCAAACCACAATCTGTTTGTTAAAAAAAGAACAGAAGTACGAGATCGCATATCGAACAAGAAAAGCAGAAGGAAAACCACGACCAATCCGAACAAAACTCAGCCCTCAGCCCTCAGCCCTCAGCCTAGCCAAACCTGAACCTAGCCATAATATTCTATTCCTTGAATCCACCTCAATGTCTGAACCTCCGAAATGTATGGCGATCGTGGGATAGAAAATTGAGAGATTCCAGCCATCACAACGGCTATCTTAGGTCCGATATCCGGTGGGATCAGAATAAAGCAGAGAGTAACTCGAAATGGCAGAACTCGGATTCCTAGCATGAGATAAAGGCTCCCGTCGAAAACGATCAAAACAGTAAAAAATAAATAAAAAAACAAGGCCGCAAGCGCAACATAAAAGTAAACAGCTCTGGGGTAAGGAAATATGTAAAAAGAACGCTGACATATAAGGAAGATGTTTTGCCGTTCAGAACCGCGATGTTGATATTTTCGATCGGGAAACGATCGCGATCCTGTTCCCGAACAAATCTTAGAGAGTGGCGAGAAAATTAAAACTACAGAAATCACAGCGGTCTGACTTGCTCCCTCTTTTTCAAGTTCGACGTAGTGAGGGGGGTTTATCCAGTGTATATCGGTTTACTACCGCAACCACCTGTTAGCCAACTGCGTCCACACTAAGGCGGGAACTAAGGAGAAATATATATGCCAACATACAGATATCTCATCCATTCCGAGGTCCTCCCCCCCAGCCGCAGCTGGCTGTGCGGCTCCGTTCGTTGCGGCTGGAGCGGTATTCGACGAGGGAAAGTAGTCTTCCATCTCCGCATCAAGCTCTGCGATAGACTTGGGTTTCGGGCGTCCCACATTCCGTCCGCGACGGTTGCGGCTGCGCCTTGAGCCCGCGCTGGCCTTTGTGGCTGATACGGGTTTGGGTTGGGGCTTTGGTTGACTAATTACACGGTATTGTTAGAACCGCGTGTGGAGATGGCGATGAATGGGCTGGATTAACAAACTTACGCGACACGTTCCGTTAGAGGCTTCACAGCAGGAACAGTGGGAGCGCGAGATGCATCAAGAACAACCTCAATCTATCGCGACCCAATGTTAGTGTGCGCAGTTACATAGAATGTATTTTTAAGAATACAGGATTCTTCATGCCTTTATGGGTCGCTTGTCGATGAGTAAACCATTTAGTTCCTTTGCGGCTTTCGCGGCAGTATCTGGACGAACGAAGGTAATGGAAGCAATGCCGCGGCTAGTACCATTTTGGTTGTAGGTGAGCATGACCTTTTTCACAGGTCCAGCAGATTTGTGGAAATATTCCTAAGACAATGCCAAGGTAAGCGATCAGTATTTCAATATTTGTGTCCGCTTGACTCATGAGCTGCATGCAATGACCGAATCTTAAAAGCAGGGAGTTTTGAAGCCACTTGTCAGGCCTAATCATCAACGTCAACGTGATGTGGGTCAGCGAGCGCAGAGTGACAACACAGCGTTAGTAGTCAGTATCGAATCCAAAATTTGAACACGGCAAGTGGTGCGGGTGTGGCATCTCGTGCAGTTACGGGTTAACCCCGGTTTCTGTCGCAGTTCCCTCCCATACGGGTTCGCTCCATGTCAACCAAGTGCCAAGCCATATTCAGCACCGAATTACCGAGCCCACGTCGAAATGGTAAGATCCCTCGAAAGAAGGCGTAGCATCGAAGAGAGGGATCTGTTATACAAGATCTTAACGCCACCCACTACATGTCGAGCGACATTTCTGTTGGCCAAATGCAAACAAAGCAAAGTATATCGGGCAATGAGAATATGTCTTTTCTCAGCTTTGCATATGTCGCACGGCATCAACCGGACATAGTATGCAGGACATGACTCAGCTCTGGAGACAATGACTGGATCCAAAGCTAGTGGAAATAGTCGACCTTTTCCCTTGCCTTTTCCTTTTCGTTTTTTTTTTCTTTTGGACAACCCTCTATCGATTTGGGTTTTGCTAAACGACATGTGACTTCGGGTGGCATCCGTCTGAATACGTCGAGGCGAGTGATAGCTATGCTGTGTATATTGTGTTGCTTCAATCACTTCTGCGCTCGCTGATACCCATCACTCCAGGAAGGAAAATAGAGGTTGATATCAACGCGATCCGTAGTTACGTGTATGAAGTTGGATCTCTCCCAAGACAACTGTTTTTTACACGACCTGCGACCCGTTTGGCTCAGGAGACATTGTGAAGAGCTGCCAGATAAGCCTTCGGGTGCAGGGGAGTCGCGAGATGGAGACAGGGCTCAACTTGCTGCGCTTTGCATCAGGCCAATGACCGGCGAGCCAAAGCTGCAAGGATGCCAAACTGTCTTGTGTTGCTAAAGCAACAGCAGCAACGAGAAGTGCACACGCCGCGAACAGGCAAGGTGCGACCTTGGAAAAAAGGAAGAAATGTGCGACGATTCGTTCGTGACATTTCGAAGGGATATATCTCGAACGGAGACGGCGACGGAAACCCAGAAAGATACCCTCTATCAACATACCTTGATATTCGCTTCACCGACATCGGAGGGCTGGAAGAAGTTAGTTATCTGTACATTCCAAGAAACAATGGAAACTGCAGCTTGTGTCTCCGTGCAGCGAAGGAAGGTGGTGGCAGAATAGAACTTACCAAGCCGCTCACGATGATCTTGCTTTCGCCCAGACCCATAGATGGGCCGGTAGGAATAGACTTGGAAGTGGATTTCGCGTTTCTGACAGTCTTTTTAACGCCACCTACAGGTGCAATATTGTGAGATGCCCTTGTGGATCTGGTATCGCGACGTCGCTGGGAGGTGCGACGGGCTGTACGCCTGGAGCTAAGGATATCATCAAGAGATTTGTCCAGCTTGTCCGCCATGGTTATGTAGTAGTCGTGATGCTGCAGAATAAGGCGAATTCGCTGAATACAGGGAAGATGCGCGGAGCGAATAGCTCAGTCTCTAAAGCAGGTAGGGCAGGCAGGGCAGGATCTCTTCTGAACGATGTTTTGACGTGGTGGCGATTGTTGATGGAGGGAGCCAGATCACGACAAAGAGGGAAGATAAAAACAGGGTTTGACAGCCGCTAGCGGAGAGAGAAATAGAGGAGTGTTTCAGTCACTAGTTTTCGCGGGTGGTGAACAGCGTATCTGGATGGGAGTGAAGAGAGAAGGTGGTTGGGATGTTTGAAGAAGCAGAACCGTAGAAGACGTTGACTGAGCCTTGAAACGGGCCAAGCGCGGATGACTAAGAGAGCCACTAGTCTATTACACCAATTTGCTCCAGCGAAAGGGGATTGGAGGCAAATTATCATTGATAGAATATACATAACTAATTAGAAATATCTTCATGGACACTCGTAGATTTACCGGTGTGATCCACTTTGAAATAACTGCGTCGGCAACGATCATCTATATCGTAACAACATTATAAGAGCAATCAATAAACCTGCGCCCAAAACGCCACTGTTTATGAAACAAACCACAAACGACAAAACGCCCGGCAGAAAGCATAACCATAATTCCACTGCAATATGCTGAAAAAAATAATCAGGAAACGATAAAGGAGAAATTAAGGGAGATATCCATCTCAACTCTTCAACGCCTCAAGTCGCCCTCTCATCTGAGCAAGAGTTTCCTCCTGATCCTCGAATTCTTCTTCCACTGGCCCCTCTTCCACCTTGTTTTCTGGCTTGAGTCCTTCCACCTTCGCCAGCTTGCCTTGCAAGATTTCTTGAAGGACCTTGTCAACTTCGGAATCCGCCTCTTCCTCTTCGCCCTCCAATAACTGGTCCTGGGGGATCATATCGTCGACCAGCTCTTCGATTATACCAGCCTTGACAAGCTCCATACCTAATTATATCTCCATTAGTAACTAGCAAATCAAAAACGCAACCACGATCACTGTAATTATCCGTATACATACTCAACTGGTGCATGGTTCCCGCCAGCTCCGGCAGCCGCACAAGATGGTTCACATTCTTCATAATTCCCGTCGAAGCCCTGAGGCTTCCTTCAATCTTCCGTACAGAGAATGCCTCGTTGACCTGCATCTTCACGCTCTCCAGCTGCGCCTTACTCGTCGTCAGCCGGCTGCTCTGTTTTCGGATGCGGATCATCTCACGGGCGAATACACGGGACTCCTTGGCTGCCTGTGTAGCCTGCGACGGGTTACGCTCTGCCCGTCGTGATGCGGCGACAATATATTGCTTCGTTTTGATTTCTAGGGCCTTGAGTTGGGCGATGTCCCGATCTAGCTTGCGGGAGTTGGCGCGGATGAGGCTGTTGCATTTTCTCATCTGTGAAGTTGTGTATCATTAACCCTACTCTCGGGACAATCGCTTACTTCAACGAGAGATAAGAGTTGAGATAGGCAGTTAGGCGCATACCTGGGCAGCAGGATCGGGCCCGAAGAACACGGTTTTAAGGGCCTCCATTGAGAGGTGATTGGCCACAAGGCCTGGGAGTTGCTGTGTGCTGGTTCACGGGCAATTATGGGTCTAGGTGGGTATGGAGAGGGCAGAAGCTGTGGCACTCATTGCCGCTCGCCGTGAACTGAGGTTGTAATGTTGGATATTTTGCTATTGGTGTGCCGGAATAAATGGATAGAGGAGAAAGCAAGATATAGGCTGAGCCTTATAGTAGAAGCAGAGTATTCTTGTGGATAGCCGTCTTCGTCAAAGCCGGAATATCGTCCTCTCAGGCATCCTCCGACATCACCGACCCAACCAGGCTGCTGAGTCAGGATGGGGTTTACACGTGACTAAAGTCGATGTGGTTCCAGTACTTTCCAAACAGCCGAATTAGTGGCACAAAAAGGGAAAAGCTCACCACCACCAACAGAATAAAGCATTTGAGAGTCAACAATATCAACCAATCTTTCCAGCTTCAACTGCTATTGTATCTCCCTCCCGCGCTCTCCTCCTACTCTTCCATTTCTCTTTCTTACGCACACATCTCTCACAATGGCTGCTACTCAGACCCCGGAAGGTACATTATGCCCCTCATCCGAATACCTAGATAACCAACCCCCAGCTATGTTTGCTATCAGTAGCTTTTTCAGAATTGCGAATCGCAATAGATCGCTATACTAACAGTATGTCTTTGTTGCAGTCCTCTGGGCCCAGCGCTCGTCAAGCACTGATCCCGAGAAAAACCTTCTCTACGTCCACCTGGCCGTGCCCGATGTCTCCCCCTCTTCCGCAAAGCTCTCCCTTACTGCAACCTCTATTTCCTTCTCGGGTTACTCAGACACGAAGAAGGTCGACTACAAAGTGGACCTGGAGCTGTACGATGATATCGACGTCGATAACTCCAAATCGCATCACTCCCCTCGTGGTGTCGACCTCGTATTAAGAAAGAAGGAAGCCAAGGACGAATACTGGCCCCGCTTCTTGAAGGAAACCAAGAAGGTCCATTTCCTTAAAACGGACTTCGATAAAGTAAGATCAATTCCTTGGAATGCAGCATGCTTAGAATTATATATATATATATATTGTAGGATTATTTACTGACAGGAATGCTATAGTGGGTTGATGAGGATGAACAAGACACATTAGCAGATGATGACTACGGCAACTTGGGTGACATGGGTGGAATGGGCGACATGGGTGGCATTGACTTCTCGAAGCTGGGAGCCGGTATGGGCGGGATGGCTGGTATGGACGCGATGGCCGATGAAGGTGGTGATGATGAAGGATCGGTATGCGACACCTCTCAGAACCAAATTACTGGCAGGTATAAGAAAAAGGGGCATAATACTGACAAAATCTAATCCCTAGGAGGACGATATGCCTGCATTGGAAGAGGACATCAAGGACGGTGATGCTAAAGATACGAAGCCTAAGATCGAGGAGGTGGCTTAAAATGTATTTCCTATTTTCTCTTGTGGTTGTCGTTTTGTGTCCTTTCCAGCTAGCCATGTATTGCCTGGTTTCTAGTAACACGTGGACTGCCGGGCGGCCTTCAAATTCCTCTTTTGTTCGGATGCGTGTCCCTCACCGATAAATGTCGACATATCATCACCTCCGACAGCAGTCAATGATCCACTGTCAACATCTGTCAGTTCTAATTCCAGGGCTGGAGGGAGTTCTTACGGTGTACGGTGCGTGTATGGGAGGAGGATTTGGGAGGTAGACTTTTCATTTTTATATGTTCTTGTTTGGCCGCTCTTGCTCTCAGTCCCAGCCTCCTTCTCACCCCCAAGGTCTGCTGTAAGGGATATTAGCGCACAAGCAATTCTTTATTCTACGAAGTCAAGGAAACCAGGAGAAAATGAAAACGAAACCCATATTTATGAATTAATATGACAAATTATTACACTTGCAATTGGAGAGGATATGATGTGTGAAAACGAAGTCATTTTTCTCTATTTTCGTTTTACTGGATCTTACTTCACCCCGTCCGTACTCTTAAATAAAATGGGAAACCCTGAAAGCTGCCAAAAGGATAGCTGAGTGTATTAGTGGGTGCCATTACTTGAAGTTTGACCTGCTGATTAGTGAAACAGAGATTCGATATGGCCAAACTTTAGAAGAGTTTGACATGATACACTGGCATTGGCACATCGAGACATATATTTGTTGGAGCTTTGGATTGGTTCGTACACTCTACTACCAGCATGGCGCTGGTGGTGGTCGAACTCCTTCGTCCCCGTGGCCTAACATATATTTCATGGCGGATTACAATAGTATTTGTTCGATCTTTTTGCTCCTAGGTATAAACAAAGGCCCCCGGTGGGACCACACAGATAAGGACAGTTTCTCAATGGATATTTCATTCAGGAGAGAAGTGGACGCAAGCGAAAATCTACGAAAGAACGGGTAATATATTTTGTGTGACAAATACAAAGCAGCAGGGATATTCCGAAAAATAGTAATTTCGTATGCGATACCTACATCTTGAAACAAAAGAAGACGGGAAATAATAGGGCAAACTATCGCGTATCGGGGTAGGGAAATGGGGATAGTTTTTCCAAGAATCACATAGAAAGATCTCACAAATGGAAACCCCAGCTCACTTCAAACCCTTAGAACGGTGAATACACCTCCAGCTTATCCGGCATGCACATCCTCCCCTAGTGCCACCCAAGAACACATCCCCATCATAAGGAGTTTGGACAGATACTTGCATCGATAGGGTAGAAATCAGAGAGATTCAATGCCTCCAGTGGTCGACGGTGTTTGTTGCTCCAGCGCAATTGTCCTTTCCCTCCCTCCTCGAGTGGTATGGGAGTTCCAGCGGGAGCGTTCTCCTTGTTAGCTTCTTTATCCATGTTGTCATTGATAAGTCTGTGGTAGGGATCCTCTTCCGTATTACAGTGAATGGACTGTGCCGGGGCCGGTGGGAACTCGTTTGCTGCGTTAGAAATATTGACAGTTTCCTCTCTGTTTGTTGTGTCTGCGCCCGGGTTTGGATCTGTGTATACTTCGAAGAGTCGACCATTTAGATATGGATGTTGTTCAGGATTTATAGCTAGTGAGTTCCCACTGGATTTAAATGCCTCCGAATGTTCGATTGGCGACCCAGAATCCGTAGCACGGTACCGGCGACCGTATTTATTCACGGACACTAAGGCTGGCTGGCTGTGATAGCTGTTGGTGGTGTATGCTTTACCAGCGTCTGGGGATCGTGAAATACGCAGGGAATGATAAACGGGAGACTGATTCCAGCTCGACTTGTCGTGTGGATTGGGCTCAGGCTCAGAATCAGCGTCTGGAATGCTGTGGCCGTTAGATCCCTTGGTGTTAGAGTCTAATTGATATAAGAGTTAATTGCAAGTGGACAGGTAATAGTTAGAGTAAACTGTGATCTTTTCCAGACTACACGCGGCTTCCACTCACCGAAGGCTGATCTTCGAAACATATCGCGGCTACCAGGTCGTCTGATGACCGGATATGGCTTCTTGTATGGGCTACCAGAATCCGGCCTAGGATTTTGGGGGCCGTTTCCCATGATGAACAAACATTGACGAATCTAATGCAACGGAATCTGACAGTTTCAAAGAGGCTTGAACCGTACAAGTAATATGGCGGTTTCTCGGCGATGTTTTGTTAGACATAGTTGATCAGCCGGGAGTGGTGGGTTTTATAGGAAGATCAAAGGCAGAAAAAATCGCCTCCTCCAATTCATTATACTCGCATGGGAATTGAGATGGTAGGATTCCTCAGTTGGCTACATGAGAGACATCATCTCACTGAAGAGTCTTGAAAGTCCTGAAAGTAATCTTTCCTGGGCCTCATAAAGAAAGCTTTCAGCCGATCATTGTTTGGAACGGCGAAAGATCAAAGATTAGGAAGATTAGTACTTTGTATGCGTGTTTGCTATTGGGGGATGAGTTTGTTCCAGCACCAAAATCATAATGACTTGGAAGTTTTTCAGCAAGAACTGGAATGGGTAGCATGGAGATGAAATGCAAACGAAGGTATGTAGATGAGCTTTGTCTGAAGGCCAGAAGCATAACTCATTGGCGATTTGCTGTTGAATGTAATTGGGACCCAGCTCCAAAGGAACAAAGCATGCTATAAAAGTAGGTTATCCTTTCTTTGGCTGCCAAAGTAAAAAGCACAATGAACACCTTTTGAAAGTATAGAAGAAAAGACAAGGAATATTCGCTGCTGTGGACATCCACTGCGGACAACGGATTTTTGAACCAATATTTCTTAGGAGGTCCTTGTTGTCGAGAAAGACTCCGGTGTTGTTATATATATTCGATGCGATTGATATCGTTACTGACTGCCATCCATAGCGTAGCCTTAGACAAGTGCGGATTGAACATTAACCCAAGAGAAGGATATTTGTACCTTCGTGCGGGTGTATGTGAAAAACCCCTCAATGGTATCTAAGACATCAAGTAAAATTGACAGAAAACTTGAAAGAAGACAGTGTCGCCATAGACATGGACAGGGAAATAAAGGAAAATAAGGCACAAAGGAATGATCTAATTTTGATATTTGGATGTGATTTTCCAGAGCAGCGTAGCAAGCATAATGGCAGAGAAATTTAACATTATCTTTGTCAGAACAAGAAAATAAAAAGGATGAGAGCATGACTGAACAGGGGGAAAGAATGGAAATGGAAATGGAGGTAGAAGCAAATGTATATAAATAAACACCCCAGTATCCACGGCAATATCACATCTCAGTCTTCATTATGGTAAAACACCAAAACCAAAACCAAAACCAAAACCGAGTAATCACTTGTGATCTTTGCGTTCGCAGGAGCAGGGGTATTACCCCTACATTGCTAGGCCTGGTCTACAGGCCCGCAAACTTTCAGTGGACGGGACGCCAGGTCGTGAAAAATAACAACGAGAACCGACATCATATAAAATGACTGGATATTGATTCTTGATTTCGTCGTCATCACTGGAGATTTCCTTTCCCTTTCCTACGGAAAGAGTGCCAAGAATGTGTCCTTGCTTTTATTCATACATTGATATTTATCCAGCTCCATCAACTGGGGTGGGCCGTTCTTCTGAACCAGTACCGGACGTAAGAGCCGAAGTAGTTCCGTGGAGTTTTGCAATTCGATCCTCCTCCGATTGCTCTCGTAGCCGCTCTGTCTCCTTGCGTAATGATTCCATATTCCATTCATTCCAGTCGTCATCTCCGGCGTCACCATCATCATCCTCACTGTCGGAAGCGTTCCAGTCACCACTTTCGAACATGGCACGACCACTGGCATCTTTTGCTTTGCGGGCCTCTTCCTCCGCGGCTTTCTTGTCCAGACGTTCTTTCTTCCACTTGGCAAATGTTTCCGGGGTGACTGGTGTGAGGTTGCCTGTGAGTTTATGGCGTTCGGACTCGAGGAAATCTTCGAGAGTGAGGGTTTTCAATGGGGATTTGTCCATGAGAGCTTTTTCAGCGGCTCTTTGTTCTTTGGTTTTAAGGACGAAGCTATTGTACCAGTTAGAAATCGAGGAAAACGAAACACACTGAGAACCGAGAAGCATACCCAGGTGGCAAGCTGTGTCTGTACATGCATTTATCGCCGCCATTTGGACAAATCCAAAACCAACCATATTTCTGATTCTCGACAGCATCGATAAAGTACTTGCAGACTTTGTCGGTCGTTGTCTTTGGGTTACCATGTTTGCTCAACACGACCTTCCGCAATTTCTCTTCATCCCAATTATCCATCAAATCCTGTTTCTTTTCCTCTTCCGCATCTCTGCTATCGGAATAGAGATCCTTCTTCTGTGCCTTTCGCTCTACAGCTGGGTCGTGGCTGAACTTGCATCGTTTGCCCTTTTCACAGCTGCCCTTCTTGAAGAAAACACAGAGGACGGTTTTGGGGTCAACACCAAATGGAACTTTTTGGACTTGAACGGGCTTAAAGAGTTCCGCAGCTTCCCGTTTAGCTTGCTCAGCAGCAGCTTTATCTTTCTCGCGTTGAAGTCGTTGTGCTTCTTTCCTTTTCTCATCCGCGTTCTTGTTTGATTGGGCTTGTGCTTGAAGCTGGGCTATTTGTTTTTTTGCGTTGCCTCCTTTTTTCTATATTAATTTCAAAAATTAGACATAGACTAAGGTGTATTCCGCAAACATCCCCCCTGGCCAGGTAGTATCTCAAACTCTTATTCCTATTCCGTGTATGTTTATGCGTGCGGGATATATCTAATGGGGCTTGAAAACATACATTTTTCATGCCAAATGTCTGAGGAGATAAAGACCAATACATCAGCAATATTGTTCCGCGAAGTGGGCTAGAGAACAACAGCAGGAACAGATAACTCACCTTATCTTCCACCGTAGCCCTCGTCTTCTTCGGCTGATCAGATCCTTTTTTGGGCGGCATTTTGGTGTTGAATGTAATTCAAGTTCGGCCCTTTGCTTTTCAAAATCCGTCGGTATTAACTGGGCATTAAAAATAGGAAGGGTATATTCCGGGAAACATAGAGGGCCCCTACAACCGGCCGATGTATGTTATGGACAGGGTAAGGCCAAATCCGCGATATATGTACCTTGACGGTTGTGATTGCGATGTTCGTGTGTGCTTTGTGGAGTGAAGAACATGAGTGTGCTGGAAAAAAGAAGCCTGAATCATGGTGGGGTTATTTGGCAGCGACGGATGAGGCTTGGCGGACGTGGCAGTAGTAAAAACATATGTATATAAGACACCGTTAGCTTCAAGCTTTGGCACTGCATACGGCGACGAATGTTTGTAGGTCCCATTGTGAATGCGTCCAACGGATTACACTACTGCTCCTTGAGAAGTGATAGCCCAGAAGTTGCGCGATACGGAACCTGATCGACTCGCCGATATATATACGATTTATCTATATAACCTTACGAGTACTCTACTCCCATTCCGGAGATAACGATATCGACCTTGCCAAAGGCCAGCTATCGCACACAACTACAAAGGACGTCGTCACCCTGAAGATGATCTCAGACGAACAACTCTATCAACTTGCCATGTTCCTTGGCTCCTGCGCCATGCTCCTCATCGTCCTCTACCATTACCTCGAAGTCAACGCCAAAGACTCTTCTGCAACCTCCTCCACTTCCTCCCAGAGCTCCTCTGTACAATCCCACGCGTCGACAAGTTCGTCGAAGAATTCCATTTCCACTACACCAATTAACCGAGATGCGGCTGGTTGAGGGTTATTGGGTAGGAGAAAGTAGATGGGAAACTCGGGAAACCGGAGATGGCGAGCATTTGTTGATTGGGTTTCATAAGATCGGATGATATGGTCTCCCGGGTGGTGGAATTGCGGCTTGCTTCTAGAAATACCTACTTCACATGTACAAAATGTATTAATTGGCATTATTGTCGTCAGCCTTTTTCTTTTTCTTTCTCTCGCTCTCTCGCTTCTTCTTCTTCTTTTTTTCTTGTTGTTGTTCTTCTAAGCTACGATTGATCTTTCTATCGCGAAACCTGACAATCTAACCTGAAAGCCATTCGCACTGTTGGCGGGTATCATTCGCATGTATACCGATCCTGAATGTACGTACATGTGACTAACTTTGAAAACTCCCCGCGCCGAGCTATATAAGTACTGAGTACAAGCAAAAGACAATATGATGTCTTAAAAAAATCCACACGCATTTCCCAAACCCATTGCTGGAAACATAACATCTGTTAGTAAATATTAGGTAGGTCGAAAGCGAGAAACGAAAGGAGCAAAACTAGAAAGCTACCATTCCGTAAAAGATCTTCGTATGCTGAGACACGTAAATTCTAAAGACCCTCCTTATCTTCAGGGACGATCTCAAAAACGCTCTCAAACGCCACAACCGTCTCCTGTCTCTTTTCATTCATAAATGTACATCCGCCGCGGCCCAACCCCGTTCCTACCCTTATTTGTTTCATCTCCAGTGCCCGCAATACCTCCAGCGCTTTGGCCTTGTCGCTCTCGTTTCCATACATCTTGTTGAAGCATCGGATCGACCTGTATGCGGCGGGGAGAATCAAGGTAGGTCGTGTGCCTTTCGCGCTTGCCCTGGCGACCACGGCGCGTCCATTGCTGTCATTCAGGTAGTCGGCGATATTGTAATCTCGATGACCTAGAAGAGGAGAACAGAGGGAAAAGAAAATGAGAATTTCCTGGTTTGTTATACGAGGGTCTTTTGGTATGTCTTTTCTTCGTCTCTCGTCTTGTTTAAGAAACAACAATTGGGTCGCTGAGTAGTTTTCCAGTCTCACCAGATCTTACAGACCCTGGCCCTTCCCCCAGGGTCCATGCTAGGGCGCTTAAATGTTCATTCTCCACATGATCTGCCAGCCTCCTACTTCCAAACATAATCCCGCGACCACTACAACCAGCCCATAAGCAAGAAGCCTCCATCCCATTGTTTTTGGGGATATGGAGGCGGGTGACGTGCTTTCGGAGTGTTTGGAGGTTGTGAAGTTCGGCATCGCAGTTTTGCCACTGGCATTTGTACGTATGAAATGGAGTTTGAAGCGCTTTTGACGATGAACTTGTCGGAATGGTGATCTCAACTCGGTCTGCGAATCGAGGTTTATTCTTCGCGCCTGCTGGTCGTCCGCGTCGGCGAGACAATGGAATGTGAGATGAACTCATCGCGGAGATTTTAGTTCTGCTGTCGATATTGCTCTCTTGCTGAATGTGAGGTTGCGAGTTATCACTGTTGGCTGTTTGACAGGTGTGTAGTCGTGAAGGAGTATGACTAACGCCTTTTGTCGAGTCACGTGGTAATATATTAGGTAAGCGGCCGATAACGGAGCTGGACTTTGCATGCTTGCGGATAGTGAAAAGGGGAGGTCTGGAGGTGGCAGAAACAAGCGGGGCTTCAGGTGGTGGCGGCCCTCCAGGATCGACAATGTCCCACCGGAACGTGCACAAATCAGATGAGTTATCTACAGCAGAAAAATTATCTCGCAGTTTCGAAAGATGTTGGTTCAATGGACACTCAGTTGGGTGGCGACCGGTTGCGATTAAGAGATCTCTCGCAATGCTCTTCGGGTCGTAGTAGCGCGTTTTCAAAGCCTCCGTCTTGTTGAGAGGCTTGACGATATCGCCACGCTTCCGTAGCTTTTCATTGCTGGTAGAAACATCGGCATCTGGCATTCTAAATCGGGACAAATCGGGCGTCTTCGCCTGTGTTCCAGGCGTCCCAGCCGTTTCCGATGCCAATGCTGGTACTTCTTCAACATTCACTTCCACATTTGCTTCGCTCTGGGTCGGTACGTCCTCTAAGCGCGATGCTTTTGACGGGTGGGGTGAATCATTTTCGTCACTTGAAAGTTGTGTAAAATCCACAATTTCTGCAAACGTTCGCTTTTTAGCGAGTGCCTCCTTGGAACCAGGAGCAGGCACCTGCGCAGGTGGTACAGGAACGTGGAGCTTGGATTTCAGTTTGTTTCCAACCAGAGCCGGGTCGCCTCTGCTGTGTCGAAACGACGGCTGGCTTTTGCGGTAATATGGCTCTGCGTACCCAGGAGCTTGGAATCCCATTGAAAAGGTTCCTGAAGGTGGTGGAGGACTTATAAAACCGGGGACCTGATTTCCTGGCGGGACTGACACTGGAGGTTGTTGCTGCCTGAAATATAGAGGGGATCTGTTGGCCGGTGGTGGTATGGGTGTGAATGATGGAACTGACAGCTCCACTTTGTTCCCCACAGCCTGAGTGCCAGGCTCTGGCGGCGATATGGATACTGGAGTAATGGGAACAGGATCATCTCTTGGGGCAACTCTGGTATCTTGAGCTGGTGGTGGAATGGGCATTGCAGCTGGGAGAGGTTGGATTTGCGCTTTTCTAGCAGTGGAAGATGGTCCATTCGCTGCCCGGCTCGGACGAGCAGTAACACTGGAACTTGTCGTTAGTTCTGGCATAGCGTTGAGTAAATGTTTCGCGAAATGAACGCGATTCAAGACATAGCCCCGAGATTCCAACATCCCGCACAGCTCAATATAGCTTGGATTCTGATCTATCAGCGATAATACCATCTCTGGAGGACATTTCTTGCCCTGGTTGCGATTACTAAGGACGTCATCGATATATCTTGAGGCTGCTTGGGCGAGGGCTAATCGCTTCGGCTTAGGCCAGATCGTAGCAACCTTACGGGTTTCTTCCTTTGTTTGCCTAGTTTCAGGTTCAGGTGCAGGTTCAGGTGCAGGTTCAGGTGCAGGCTCAGGTGCAGGCTCAGGAGCAAGTTCGGTGGTTGGCGTTGCAGCTTGAGCTGAGGCTGGAAATGATGCAGATTGTGATTTATTAGTATCTATCAGCTTCTCAATCCCCATAGCCGAGTCGGTTCGGGGAGCCCGGCTTCCATTATGGGTTTCGGGCTGTGAAGAAGGAGCTGGGGCGGGCTGTTGTGTATCATGTCTGATAGGTGAGGGTTGAGCTATACGATTAACAGCATCAGCAAGCTTTGGCTTTCGTTTTCGCCGAGCTGCGGGGAATTTGCCGCGATCATGGATTGAATTGCTCTCATCTGTGGGATTCATGGGAGCCACAGTGGCTGGTGTAGATACTGGGTTTTTGGCTGTCCGTTGATCCTCCACGACATGGGGTGTGGCCGTAACAGGTTCCGGCTATTATTGGTACGAATATTAGATTGCGGTTGTGGTAGGAAAGGTCGAGGAATTGACACACACACACACACACACACACACACACACACACCAAAAAAAAATATGAGAAGAAAGAAGAAAAGAAGAAAGAAGAAAGAGAGAGAAAGAGAGACAGAGAGAGAGAGAGAGAGACAAAAAGACAAAATGGAGACCTCACTCACCATTTCCAGTCCGCTTAGTAACTTGGCGAATTTGCTCGGGTCCTTGGATTTGAGTTGTTTCATTTTTTCCAACATCAATTTCATTTCCAAGTCTTCATCTTCACTAGGCCGTCCTTCACCTGGGGTTTGGGCCGCCGTTGAAAGTGTCTGACTAGGTGGAGCAGTGGGCGCGAGCTCTGCTTGAGGGACACTCACCGGCACCCCGACGGGCGGAGGAGGGGAAAGGTTTATCTGCGATTTCCGCTGACGACGTTGGTGTTTTATGGTACTTCCAGGTTTTTGCTGTTGTGAATCGGTGGCGTTAGGAACTTGTAGCCTAGTTTTTGGGACGGATTTCCGACTTCGTTTATGTGTCTCCGAAGGGGATGGATTAGCTACTGCGAGGCTTTCAGATTGTGTTCTCTCTGAATGCGGGTGGTCAGCAAACGTCACTGCACTGTCTATCTTTTGGTCAATTTTGGCATCAGCAGCTCGATTCTGATTTTCCTCCATCTCCACTATCTTTCTCGCGACCTGCACTCGTCTCTCTTCCTCCCTTTGACTCTCTATTTCACCTTGTTTCTCGTCTTCCTTCTGTTTTTGTTTCAGCCTTTCCGCTTCCGCTTCCGCCTGTGCTGCTTTCATTTTCTGGTATTCCTGGTAATACGGATTGTAGATTTGGCTGGGGTCGATATAGCTTGGCGTAGCTGGCTGATGTGATTGCGATTGGCTTAGGTTCGCCGTTTGATATTCGGCGGTAGAATTTACGTGGGGGGGATTTGACGGGGTATTTTGGGCATGTGACACGGTAGGGTGCTGTTGAGAGGTGTTGACAATATTGTATGCTGCGTGGTGCTCTTGAGAAGTTGAACGGTCAGAATATGTTGACGGCGTGGCTAGCATGGACGAAGAATGCTTGGGGGGTGCGTGGGATAAAGAGGGTTGGCTCCGAGGTATGTTTGACTGGGCTGATGGTGTTGACGTTCTACTAGACTGCGAAGAAACGTTCTGTTGACGAAACGGCTGGCTCTGGTGAGCTGAAGGTGAGGACATTACTGTGGGACCTAGGGACGCTAAATTGGAGCGAGGAGGCCCATGGCTTGAATTGTAAGAATGCGAGGTTGAGGAGGAGCCAGCAGGTCCAGTCATCAGCCTCTGGGAATTGGCACGAGGAGCGGTAATGCTGGAAGAGAGAGAAGTCATAGCTGAAGCAGCAGTAGTTCTTAAGGATTGAGAAGAACTTGAACGGTCAATCCGTAGAGAAACAATCGCCGGTGACCTATTCTGTACTGGAGAATCCGTCTCATAGCCCATGTTTGCAGAAGGGGAAGCGGTTGACACCGGATCCACCGAGGAGTTGGGGATGGCAATGGGCTCCAAGGGATACTGGATACTTTTCAGAGTTGGTGAAATAAGTTGGCTTTGTCTCCGATGGGACTGCTGGGCCTGTTGCGATGACAATGACGGCGATATTGACGGTGCAGCATTGGAAGTATGATAGTTCGTTTGTTGCTGATGCTGATATCCGTAGCTAGGGGATGGATTGCTTGAGGGCTGCCAGCTCTCAGTCTCCTGCTGCGGCCGTGCGCTTTGGCTTGATATATCTGTACCGTTCTGCCCTTGCCACTCATAACTCTGCTGCTGCCCGTAGCTTCGATCTGCTGATGGCTGGATATTTGGAGTCGATGAATGGTGAGTGACAGGGATTTCGCGCAGGGAAGAGTATGAGGTACCATGGAGGTACTGGTAAGGAGAGTAACCAAATCCTTGGTACGACATACCCAAAGGGTATAGCTAAAATTTCTTTTCTAAAATTCACGACTCCACGACAGCTTGAAAGCTATCTTGAGATACTGCACAGAGTATGGCATGGGGTAGAAGGGAGGGGCCGTTGAAGCAAGATGCGGGAGGGTTGATCCGATTGATAAAAGCGAGGGTTTGTGCGGTTGCGGCATAGGTGATTCGGTCGCAAAGTGAGCACGATGCAGGTTTCGAGAATAGAATTAGCGGCAGCAGCGCGAAACATCTCCTTGAAGTGTTTCTCCTCATCGTTTACTCTTTTTGTTGGTTGTTCGTTCAATGGAATGACTTAGCAGACGACTGAGTCAGCCAGCCCTAGACCAAGTCAGCTGACCCACAGTCTCCCACACAATTTTCGGATCGGAAATCTTGACGGCGGACGGCTCCCAACGACGACGATAATTGAACAACCCCATCTCCTCCCACTCTCTCTCGGAGCCAGATCTCATTTCCCCCTTCAGATCTGCACAAATGGCAAAGGTCAACGGAGGTGCGTACGACTGCTTCTTCCCTGCTTGATTTATTGGGGCCGCGCTATTTACGGAAGTCTGAGGATGGCTGGACCTTATTCAAAGTATTATTACGTATGATAATGAGGGACTGACAATTTATCTTATCGACAGAACTTGCCTCTTCACGGCGGAAGTCGCGCAAGGCGCACTTTAGTGCCCCTTCCAGTGAGCGACGAGTCATCATGAGCGCCCCGTTGAGCAAGGAACTGAGAGAAAAGCACAATGTACGAGATCCTAGAATCCGGATATGAATCTAAATGGATACGGCCACTTTGGCACATAAGAATAGCCAATTACGAAGAAAGAAGAAAAGGAAACATGGGAACGAAAGTAGAAGGACAAAGAGCATGGGCTGATTCTGCTACAAAACCTAGGTCCGCTCCATACCTATCCGCAAAGACGACGAAGTAACCATCGTCCGAGGCTCCAACAAGGGCCGCGAGGGCAAAATCACTAGCGTATATCGCCTTAAATACGTCGTGCACGTCGAGCGCGTCACCCGCGACAAGTCAAACGGTCAGAGCGTCCCTATCGGTATCCACCCATCCAAGGTTGTCATCACGAAACTGAAGATCGACAAAGACCGCGAGAACATCCTCGAGCGAATGGGTAAAGGCCGGGAAGCAAAGGCAGCTGCAAAGGGAAATTAAATTAAAAACGGCGTAACTATTGTTTATACTGGTTTTTTCTTTCCTTTTCTTTTTTTCCCCCTTTCCTCTCCGACTTGCTTTGCATGCATATTGGTGAGGGATTGTATGCAGAAGGACCCTTTTTGACTTTGCGCAACTTATTGGCCGGATGGGATTTCCTTGGCGCGTGGAGTGGATTCATGCTATATTGTATGGACTGAACGTTGAAAAAAAAAAAAAAAAATAAGAGCAAGACACTATATGACTTCTAATTGTCTGTAGTTACAAGCTTGGCCGGGGTGGTGGGTGGGTTTGACTCGTCTCTCCAGCTTCGGCCGTTTTTATTTTTCTTTGGTCTTCGCGCAACCATTCCCTCACCTCAGTGTCCAATGCGAATCAAACAGTAAGAGCCTCGACCGATCAGAAATGCCAGAACGGGCCCCAAAGAATTTAATGACTTGAAGAACCATTCCCATTTCAATTCCTTTTCCGCCCGGGGCCCCCCCCCACCCCCCCCCCCAATATCCATCCATTTTCATAGTAACAGCACATAATAGTGCATGACCTTTGCCAGTATTATCTCCTCGCAAACCATAAGATATAATCTTTATTCGGTGGTTTAGTGAGGTATACGGCTGGCGTATATGGAGTGACCTATACAACACCAAACATCAAACTCCACTTTTTATATTCTTAAGTACGAAGTGGGTATTGTGCGATGGTGTGGGTAAATCTCGCCTGCAGACTTGTTCCTACGGTTTATATCGATGATGGAGACAGGTTTGAGAGTGAGGGACATCGATTCTACGTATTATGTGTACGTAGTGAGCTGTTTTTAAACAATTTATTTCCTTCATTGCAAACAGGAATCGCTCCCCAAATCCGATTACTAAGAATTTCTGATTGAAGAAAATAGGTTTCTAGATAAACGAAAAAGTTTTGATTTTGTATCTGTAAATACTAGCATCGAGGGATGAGTGCAATGAAAGGAAAGGATTAAAACTTGCGCGCTCGGCAAAATACAAATACAAAAGCTCTGTGGCTAGAAAAAGGACATATCAAAGACATAAGAAATACAAAATCCAGAAATAAAAACCAGTTAAAAACATGGGAAAGAAGAAAGAAAGCCTCCACCCTCAACAGATCTAAGACAACGAATATCTCATGGTGATATCAATGTCCCAAATCTATGGAATTCAATCCTAGCGTCCAAAACACTTTCCCCACGCAGGCAACCCACACCCCATCCCGACAAACAAATATACCAAAAACACAACGACGACGACCAACAAGGCCATCACTTTAACATTCTTCCACCACATCTGCCGCCTCAATCCACGACTTCGAACACGGAAATCCCGCGCGCTGCCCCCCAGACGATCGGTCTTATCAACCAACAAATCAATACGCTCCCCACGCTCCAGCACCCGCTCGATGTTCTCCGTCATAATTCCGCGTACGCTATCGATCTCCTTGCGCGCAGAGGCAAGCGAGTCGGCTGGCGGGGCGGTGTTGTAGGTCTGCAGCAGCTCGCGGAGGTGTGTGTTGAAGGCTGCACAGCCGTATGGGGGGAGTGCGCTAAAGTCGGTGCTCTCTGGGTTGTAGGTTGTGAGGAATTTGCGACGGGTCTCGAGGAGGAAGGCGAAGGGGATGCGTCGACCTAGTTCTGCGGTGGCAACGACTAGGTAGCTGAGCGGGGCGTGCGAGGTGAGTTCGCCATTTTCGCCTGCAGCCGAGGGAGAGTCGGCTATGTAGTGGACGAAGAGGCGGTCATGAGTATAGGTGAGCTTTTGCGGTGTTTGGTGGGAGATTTTGGGGAGGATTATGGATGCGAGGGAGGAGGCGGAGGTGGAGGAAGTGCCGGGGGAGGAGTGTTCGGCTAAAATGGTGGTTCTATTCGCGATGCAGGCACTGCCTGATGGTCAGCTGGAGTTCTATCGTATTGCACAAGAGAGAGAGAGTGCTAGACAGAGGTACCTACTAGAGTAAAGGGCTAGGAGCTTTCGATGAAGAAGCCATCTTCGTCTGTTCTCTTTGGCTTATCTACCAGTAGTAGTGATGAAAGAGTCGAGGATGGAGAAGAGAAGAGGCAAATGAGATGTTAGTGGTTAAATACTCCGAGGTAGTTAACAACTTCCCGCGGTTTTGTTCCAAGTGTTTCAGGGTGTCAAAGACTCGCATATGCTTCAGAGGATGGTGATTGATATATTGCGTTTTCTAACCTTGGAACTCTTCCGCTCCTTCAACCACGTGAAATCGATCCTTTCTTGGCGTCACGGAGCCGGCATAAATAATCTCTTGTTTTGTTGTCCATACCCGCACCGTGGTTGTTAACGGGTATAAACCCAACAGACGTGCATAAGAATGGCCACTCGCCCTCCCCCACCACCCCGCGGCCCTCCACAGCAGCTGTTTACGTAGGTCCTCACGCCGGGCTTCGTCGGGTTCTCCCTTTTCGTTGTTTGAACCTCAGCTTACACAATTCCATAGTGGCCGCCATTTCCTATACGCTATGGTTGCCTCCGTTGGAGCAGGCCTGTTTACCATGTCCCTTTATCGCATGAGGCAGCAGAAGGTTGCGGAGGCAAAGAGGCTCCATGATGAGCAACATCGATAGGGGAATGTGTGAGGAAGTTGTGTACCGAGAGACTGGAAAATTGAGAAAGTTGAAAGAATGGCAGGGTGGAATGCGACATCTAGGCGTGATGTGGGTGTTGGGTGTTAGGGATTTTATATATATCGCGAGAATGCGATGTCATCTGTACGATATACGATTTCCATTGCATTAATGGATTCAAAAAACCCAAATTTCTGTGTGGAAGACACTTTAAGTGGATAGGGTCATAAAAGACAGGAATCGGATGCGAAATGCGGGGAATATCGCAAGAGAAGCAGTGTATGGGGGATCGGGAGGGCGGTGTCCCTCATGATGCACTTCGGATAGTAGCAAAAATTTTACATCCTCTATGCTATGAGCTGTTGTGCCATGTGATGGGACGCTGTACAGTACATAAATATATAAATACAATGCAGAGTCTTACCACGGAAAACGAGGTGAAGAGACCAAACAGTTGCCTGATCAAGTCTATCAGATCTATAATACAAAAATGACACCGATGCCCCAATTACAATCCTATGGTATCAGGTCAGAATCCTCTTTAAACAGGATTTAAGGATATAAAAACACAAAACACCAAGTGACGCCAGTCTCGACCAGACACGATACTGTAGATGAATGCCGAAACGCCCAAACTAATTACAGCGAACCACCGCCCCTGAATATTTACTCCCGCTTGGCTACCTTCCTCCTACATCTACCATCATTCACGAGTTTGACCATCACAGACACCTTAATTACCAGAACCAGACCTAATCTTGGTGTTCGCCCTACTCTACTGTAACCACTGCCGGCCCCATTCCCCCTTCTTCGAAAAATTCACGCTTTTCCTCCTTCTCGTATCCCGCTCATGTTCGCTTTCGCGATCATGTCCACCCTCCCGTCTCAATCCTTTGACCTCCCAAATAACCTCCCGAAATCCTCCTCAAGCGCCTTCAACCGCGCCAACACCAATTTACTCAATGCTTGTTGGAGCAAGCCGTCGTAAACCGCTAGTCGTATTTGCCATTTTAGTCACAAAGCTGGACGGGATCGTCCCGATGAAACCACCACCGACGGCTTTGATGTCGCCAATATCGGAGCCTAGTTTCATGGCTAGAGTGGAAGAAACATTTTGGTCATGGTGTTGAGAGTGGAGATGACTATCAGTGTGTGAAAACGGCAACAAGGTCAGCAGCCATCATACGGAAGGCGATTCGAAGCTGCGAAAAATAGCGGCAGTGGTCGAGAACGGAGAAGAGGTGTGGGAGGAGGAGAACTGCATTGGCGGCTAAAATATCATATGCATTGCTTGAAATGAATTGTTTGAGTGGATCAGATATATTCTCAAACAATGAGAGCAAAACAACATGAGCATTATGCCCACATCAAAAGTGTTCCAGAAGTTCATCAGAGGTTGGATCCATGCTCGTTGAACCCTACAAGTTCATCGAACATAAATCCTGCGCTGCAAAACCAAAATACAAGATCTGGGCTAGAGACTTCCCGAGACCACCTCCGAATCACTGCAAGAAAGAGCCCCAGTAAAATGGCGAACGACATTGTGGAAAGTATGTACTTGTTGATAACGAGTGACCCTTAGCCGTGATGGTTTCAAAAGCGAAGCATCTCGTGGGTTATAGAGTGTGACGGAGCGACGAGTTCCAACGGCAAAACTCTAGCTACGGCTGACGTTGCGTTTGACGGGGCCATACCTATTGCTCGTTCGGACGAATGAATCATATCCCTTGTAAGGCGATGGTGCGCTGGTTGCAACTATTGGGCGATGTAGACTATCCGCAGCGAAATGGACCACGAATGTTACCTGCCCAAATAGCTTCGAGTTGTTGAACTACAAGAGGACATGCAAGAAGAAGTTTGCCTGTGCACGGATGGTAATTTCGAGACAAGGGATTCGGACTATCCTGGGGGCACTAATTTCGATTGTTGGCTGGTATTCAAATGTATGGGTTGGTGGTGCTGCTTGACAAGGGAGGCGGCTGTCCCTGCACTGGATAATAGAAATCGTGTGAGAGAGTATCAATCAACTCCCGAGTAGAGCAATCCTTTAACAACTTGATGGCGAGCAATTCGCATACCATAGCCCTTGTATTGCCGGCACCGCTGTTTCCCGGGCGCAAATCTGCTTCCTTTTTGTATTGAAGATAATTGGCTATCAACGCATAGAGTGGCACTGGATAAATGAGAAGCACGGATCTGCAATTGAATTGGCTTGAGCAAGAATTGGGAGACCTGGGGCGATCGGAACTGATCCCAGGACAGAGTGATTTCGCAACGAGTGGTTATCAAAAGACGAATTGTATGGATTAGAGAGTATGTAGGAAGGGAGTCTAACGGATATTTAGATATTTGTGAAACGGAATTTGCCTAGCTGATACTGGCATTGACATTTTTACCTAGAACGGATGCTGAGAAGAGAGGAAGTAGATGAAATGTCTCCAGGGGACCATCCTCTGCTTCATTATGATCATGATCATTACCATGCGCGTCATCTTCCTGTTCTTCTTCTTCTTCCTGTTCGCCCTATGTTATGTCTTCTATATCATCACTGTTGCCGCTTAACGTGTTTTGCTGTTCAAAAAGTTCTGGCTCGGAATTGCGAGGCCTGAGCGACTAGGAGAGTGAAGGACAGCTGATCCCGACCTCACACGCACACCGAAACTATTTGCCGCAGCTCAAACGACTACTGCTTCTGTATATCTTCGCCGAACCTCTGCACGACTACGGCCATGATTACTGGCGCCGCGATTTGCCATGGGTTTCCACTACACTGACACTCTCGAGAAACATAATTGGGTTGGCGGTGGGGCCTACGCTTATGTCTACCACGTCAGTCCAACTATTGTGGTGAAAACTGTTCGTCCCGACCGAAGTCCTGAGGAGGAGATGGAAGAGCATCCTTTGCTCAAGGATATCGCTTTTTACAAACGTCTTAATGAGCGTCAGGACCGATGTCCAAATATTGTGGATTGTTTTGTCATGCTTCCAGATCATCTTTTTCTATCATATTGTGCGAATAATGCAATCATCTGGCGCTTTCATGAACGCCAGGAGCGAGAAGGTGATCATATTCTTGGGCGTCTTATCCGCGTGAAGGATTACGAGGATCCTGCTCTCATCGCTCGATGGATACAACAACTCACATCTGCCCTTGAATATGTGGAGGAAATGGGTTTCTGTCACAATGATCTAAACACAACCAATTGCCTTCTTGATGGGAACTTCAATTTGAAGCTGACTGATTTCGGTCGCGCCACCACCATTGGGCAGTTTCTAGAATATACCAGTGCTCCATGGGCCATACGATTAACTGCCGGGCCCTTGAAAGGCACTTATGGCCTCTGCTCTGCCAGGACTGAACAGTTCGCCGTTGGGTCAATCCTCTACTTCATGGTATACGGTCACAAACCCTATGAAGACATTAACCTAGATGGGCGGGAATTGGAACACCGATTTGCGGAAATGAAGTTCCCGGAGCTAAACCGCCACAAAATCTTTGATGGTCTCATTTTTGGTTGTTGGTATAATGTCTATCCTACTATGGCTCTGGTAGCATACGATTTCAAGCGCAAAACAAAAGACATTGCATCGATCACAGAATATGAAACTATTGACCGCACAAAGGAGGAAAAAACTTGCGAAGCACTGATCCAAAAAGGAATATTGGGTCCGGAATTGGCGCTTCGCTTTCAGCCACTCTGGCGAAAGTATCTACATGCAGCAAGCAGTATGTTCATTTGGCACTTCCTGATTGATGTGACAAAGAGAATCCGGTTTTGGCTCTGGCCTTGATCGATAATCCGCTGGAACCGAACTTTGCATACTCGGATCGCTATTGAATCGAGGAAGCTGCATCTTCTGGCTTGCACGAGAGAGTTACAATGTGGGCACAGACCTTTGGCATTTTACTCAAGAGAGCGGAGATACGATCTAAGATGCATCAACTCATACCACAACCCATACCACGTGTTCCTTGGAAAGGATGGTTAACGGATATTTTGTGTGCATATATGGTGTTTTGTAGCTCAAATGCGTTTGTACAGTACATTTGGTTTTGCAATACTATTTCATTCCAAACGTTAACCTTCTTCTCTGAGCGGCAGGGGTCAATGGGATCGATGATATTGGCATGGACACTTAATAGGTGCTCTATCTCGATGGGAAGAAAAATTGAAATGGAGCCAGATCTGCCTACCCTCATATCTCCGGTCCCGATTTATTTCTGAAAGACGCCTAAATACTCTGCTTTGGGTTCCTGATTAGAGTGAAGGTATGTCTCATCAGTGAGAATTGGATTGTCATCATCATAGTTTAGAAGGAGACATTTAAAGGATCCTGATTTGTGGTTGGCTTTCCAATAGCGAGATACCAAGCAAAATGGAAGGAATTAAATGGCTGAGGGAAGGCGAGAGACTTGTGGAACCATTTGCGCTTCTACTTGAATTCCGCAAGTGGCCCAAATATCCCATCTACCCCATTTTCGTCTCACAATGGCGATTATATTACTATGTATATACGCAAAAGGAGAAATTTGAAACTGTATTTTAAAAGTCTAGCTGGAGCCAAGCCAAAAAGCTTGACATGGGTCAAATCTATCAGGTTCTAAGGGTAAAAGTAAGCTGCACAGCTATCAAGGCAAAAATATTGAAAAGATCTAACAAATGTACGCTGTAATATCTAGTGATTGGTGCTCCCTACGAAAACCTAGTGAAGGTTTTTTTCCAATAATGCTTGGGATTTCTACTCCGAGTCAATCTCTTGTAGGATGGAGTTGAGTGGCGTGGAAATCTTCGCAGGCTAGGAGACAAACAAAGTACGCTAAGAGGATCAGCAGCCGACTCCTGCAGGCCAAAGTCTAAATTCTGCACTGTTTTACTCCATACTGTGCACAGAGTACTGCGTGCATAGTACATGGACTTTGCTTGAACAGCGGTTGAAGACTGGGTAGACACCCAGGTATCTATCTCCAGCAATTCCAAGGGAGTGCTATGTGTGGCTAGGGGTTGGATCGCATAGGAATCTCACTCTTGATCGATGTTCAACTAAGAAGTCAAATCTAGCCAATGGGGAGCACGGTGCAGCGCCAAGCCAGTGTTTCAGCACCTCCGATTGGCCCACTCGTCGGCCACTCATGGCGAGGGAAAAATCAGACTACCGCGAATTTTCCTCGTGGGGGTTAATATTTTTGTTTTTTCTTTTCAAGCCCACCTCGACACCGCATTCTCTACTCCCCGCTTCCAATTGATGGGCTTCCCCTCCCTTTTTACATTCCCCTAATATTTCAATTGCTTCCTGGCTTCTTTCACTCCACTTTTTGTCTCTCTCGTGCTCCTTCCCACTGATGCTCCGCTAAACATACCGCTGTTTGCTTTCTGTCCCTCGCAGGGCTTCCGACCCCAACAATGCCGCTTCTCAATGCCGCTGGGGACACCAAGAGCTCTATTGTTCAACCCAATGCTGTAAGGGGAGGATGGCTAACTGATTCTTCTGCGGCTCATCCTTCTGGTCCTGCTGCTCGCGGCGTCGTCGCATACACCACGAATAGAGACCTGCCATCCATTGCTTCCCGAACCGCTTATTCTCTCAATGACGGTGCGATCCCCCCAGCGTCTCCTCCGAAAGTTGGTGCGGAGGGAGGCGGGAGCAAGTGGTATGCCCTAGAGTTGGAAGACGGCACTGTCTACCAGGGCTACAGCTTCGGTGCGGACAAGAGCATTGCCGGCGAGTTGGTATTTCAAACCGGCATGGTGGGCTACCCAGAATCGATCACAGACCCTTCCTACCGTGGCCAGATCTTGATCATTACTTTTCCCCTGATAGGCAACTATGGTGTTCCCTCGCGTGAAACGGTCGATGAACTTCTCGGTAAAGAACTACCCAAATATTTCGAGTCCAGTGAGATCCATGTCGCTGGTCTTGTGGTAGCAAACTACTCTGGAGAGGATTACTCCCACTATCTAGCTGAGTCGTCTCTCGGTCAATGGCTGAAGGATCAAGGAGTGCCTGCCATGCATGGCGTCGATACTCGCTCCCTCACCAAGAGAATTCGAGAGAATGGGAGCATGCTTGGCCGCATGCTTTTGCAGAAATCCGATGTCAGCGTTGAAACCCTGAACGGCGACGCACCGAGAAACGGCTTGGCAGCAGCAGCTGTTGATGACGAAGAAGGATCTGATCTTTGGAGAGCATCATTTGAGAGGATTGAATGGGCGGACCCTAATAAGAGGAACCTTGTTAACGATGGTGAGATTAACACGCTGCCAAACTGTGGCATAAGGCTTCGTCCTCTGACTTGGCTTTTGCTGCAGTGTCTATCAGGAATCCCCGTTTGTTCTCACCACCAACAGATTCGACGCTTTCTCACCCTTCTGGTCGCCCGATTAGAGTCCTGTGTGTTGACGTTGGTATGAAATACAACCAACTAAGGTGCCTTCTCTCTCGCGGCGTCGAAGTGCTGGTCGTCCCCTGGGATTACGATTTTCCCAGCTTGGCCGGAAAGGAATATGACGGCCTGTTCCTTTCCAACGGCCCAGGCAATCCCGCTACGCTTTCCAAAACAGTGGAGAATATTAGAATTGCTACCGAGGACTCCCGGACTCCGATCTTTGGTATTTGTCTCGGACACCAATTACTTGCACGTGCTGCTGGTGCATCCACCATTAAGATGAAATTTGGTAACCGCGGTGCAAACATCCCTTGTACCAGTCTTATATCTGGTCGCTGCTACATTACCTCTCAAAACCACGGATATGCAGTTGATTCCATGACTTTGCCAGAGGGCTGGGAGGAACTCTTCGTCAATGCTAATGATGGGAGCAATGAAGGCATCAGACACGTTACCCGCCCATTTTTTAGCGTCCAATTCCATCCGGAGAGCGCTCCAGGACCCCAGGACACAGAGTTCTTATTCGATGTTTTCATCGATGCTATTAAGAGAAGCATGATATCGACTAGTGCCCTAGCAGAGCCTGTTAGCTTCCCTGGCGCCACTGCTGAAGAGAATGAGCTTAGAAGCCCAAGAGTCAACGTTAAGAAAGTTTTAATCCTCGGTAGCGGTGGTCTCAGTATCGGACAGGCTGGAGAGTTTGACTATTCTGGAAGTCAAGCCATAAAGGCCTTGAAGGAAGAAGGAATCTACACCATCCTCATCAATCCTAATATCGCGACGATCCAAACTTCCAAGGGCCTGGCGGATAAGGTCTACTTCTTGCCTGTCAACGCGGACTTTGTCCGCAAGGTTATCAAGCACGAACGGCCAGATGCCATCTACGTAACATTCGGCGGCCAAACTGCTCTCCAGGTTGGCATTCAACTCAAAGAGGAGTTCGAAAAACTTGGCATTCGTGTTCTCGGTACTCCGATAGACACTATCATCACCACAGAAGACCGTGAGCTCTTCGCGAGAAGCATGGAATCAATCGGCGAGAAGTGCGCCAAATCCGCCTCTGCTTCCACACTCGAGGAAGCGATGGAGGTTGTAAAGGATATCGGATTCCCTGTCATCGTCCGTGCTGCATACGCTCTTGGTGGGCTTGGAAGCGGTTTCGCTGAGGATCCTGACCAACTGCGGGAGCTGTGCATGAAAGCCTTCGCTGCAAGCCCTCAGGTTCTCATTGAGAGGAGTATGAAAGGTTGGAAAGAGATTGAATACGAAGTGGTCCGCGACGCTCGTGATAACTGTATCACAGTGTGTAACATGGAGAATTTTGACCCACTTGGTATCCATACTGGTGATTCTATTGTCGTTGCCCCATCGCAAACTCTCTCCGATGAGGACTATAATATGCTTCGGACAACTGCTGTCAATGTCATCCGCCATTTGGGTGTCGTTGGTGAATGCAACATACAATATGCATTGAACCCATTTTCAAGAGAATATTGCATCATTGAGGTCAATGCTCGACTATCAAGATCATCTGCACTCGCATCCAAAGCAACAGGCTATCCCCTCGCTTTCGTCGCAGCTAAACTTGGCCTGGGAATCCCACTGAACGAGATCTCGAACTCAGTCACCAAAGTCACCTGTGCTTGCTTCGAGCCTTCTCTTGATTATGTTGTCGTTAAGATTCCACGCTGGGATCTCAAGAAGTTCACCCGTGTCTCCACCCAGCTGGGGTCTTCCATGAAGAGTGTTGGGGAAGTCATGAGCATTGGACGGACTTTCGAAGAGGCCATACAGAAAGCGATCCGTTCTGTCGACTTCCACAATGTCGGATTCAATGAGACAAACGCGCTTATGTCTATTAAAGCTGAGCTCCAAACACCATCCGATCAGCGACTGTTCGCGATCGCCAACGCTATGCATTCGGGGTACTCAGTCGACGATATCTGGGAATTGACAAAAATTGACAAGTGGTTCCTCCGTAAATTGAAAGGCCTCAGCGATTTTGGCAAATTTATGTCTGGCTACAATGCCACGACCGCACCCGTTTCTCTCATTCGACAGGCGAAGCAGCTCGGTTTTTCTGATCGTCAACTTTCGAAGTTTTTGAGCTCCAATGAGCTGGCTATCAGGCGGTTGAGAGTGGAAGCAGGCATTGTTCCGGTAGTTAAACAAATTGATACGGTTGCCGCTGAATTTCCAGCATTCACAAACTATTTATACCTGACATACAACGGTTCAGAGCATGATGTGGACTTTAACGACCAAGGTGCTATGGTTCTTGGTTCTGGCGTCTACAGAATTGGCTCCTCTGTCGAGTTTGATTGGTGTTCTGTGCGAACCATTCGAACTCTTCGAGAGCAAGGGTATAAGACAGTCATGGTCAATGTAAGTAGCGGCGCGTCGCGTTCATCCCCTTTTCAGAGCAACACCCTTTTATTGGACAAACCCGCCTTTCACCTCCCCCTTCCCCCATTTTCCCACCTCGACAATTGTCTTTTCCCTCATCTTCCCACGACTTCACAATCTCCTAGATTTCCCAAAGCTCTCAAGATTTCCCGAAGACTTTTCAAGGTCCTCTGCTGCTCTGCCTCCACCAGTTTGGTTCCTGGTTGCTCTGGAGACAATTCGATTGCTATGGCTTCTCCTGTGTTCTTTGCTTCAACGGCATTCAAGCTCATCATGCCTGTTGCTTGGAAATGCCTCTGCGATATCCGTCCACGCTTCAAACATCCTCTATTAGCCAGATTCTTAGATACCCAGGAAGAGTTGGAGGCAACTGCTGAAGGGATCTCTCTCTCCTTCGCCTCCGGCCTCTTTGATGTGCTGAAAACCTCAAACTCCCCACGCTTTGAGTATTTTCAGTCTCTCACTCCCAACCCCCTCCTCTCCTGGGGAATCTACGCTATTACCATGGAGAAATCCATGAAAGCGCCCTCGACTTTACATTGGGTCTGCAACTTACATTGGCACCCCCGCCTAATTTGAGGTACGCAGTCGCCGTAAGAATTACAATGATGGCGTGGGTCTTCCCATTTTTGTCAATGCTGCCTTGGATGATCTTTCCTTTCCAACCAGGAATTGGCTGGAGAAGCATGACAAAATTGTAAAGCGTCTTCTTAAATTCAAGGAGCACATCAACCCCTTTATTTGCAAACCCTGCAACGTTGGCTTTCTCAATAAGAACAACCTTACCCATCCTGAAAAAACCGATCGGCATCAGAGGAACCTCGAGAAGCAGATAGCTATGAGCAACCTTACTCTTGAAAATGTCGACTGTGTTCAAAATACCCCTGAAACCCCCAATTTGCCCCGTGAAAAGCGCAACTATTTTCAGATAACCCCTGTCAAGTCTAAAGAAAAGAACAGCTATCATCAAACAAACATTAAAGAGTACATTGCTAATTAGAATAACTGTCAAGTTTAACCCCGAGACGGTGAGCACTGATTATGATGAAGCGGATAGGTTGTATTTTGAGAATATCAACCTGGAAACCGTCTTGGATATCTACCAGCTTGAATCTTCAAGCGGCGTTATCATATCGATGGGCGGACAGACACCGAACAACATTGCCCTTCCTTTATACCGGCTCAATGTAAATATCCTTGGCACATCTCCAGAGATGATTGATACGGCGGAGAATCGATACAAGTTTTCGCGACTCCTTGATCATATTGATGTCGACCAGCCTGCTTGGAAAGAACTTACAAGTATAGAGGAGGCTACCGCATTCTGTGCGAAGGTCGGATACCCAGTGTTGGTGCGACCTTCCTACGTGCTTTCAGGTGCTGCCATGAACACAGTTTATTCGTTGGACGATCTTGCAAACTATCTCAACCAGGCTGCTGAGGTCTCACGCGAGCACCCCGTAGTCATTACCAAATATATAGAGAACGCCAAGGAAATTGAAATGGACGCGGTTGCGAGGAATGGTGTTTTGGTCGGTCATTTTATTTCAGAACATGTTGAGAATGCTGGTGTGCATTCCGGTGATGCTACTTTGATTCTTCCGCCCCAGGACCTGGACCCGGAGACCGTCAGACGGATCGAGGAGGCGACTCGCAAGATCGGCAATGCTCTAAATGTCACTGGACCTTTCAACATCCAGTTCATTGCCAAGGATAACGACATTAAAGTCATCGAGTGCAATGTGAGGGCATCTAGGTCCTTCCCATTCGTTTCCAAGGTTATGGGCGTTGACTTGATCGAAATGGCAACGATGGCGATGATCGGCAAGCCCTTCGCTGAGTATCCGCCTGTCACCATTCCCAAGAAATATGTCGGAGTCAAAGTTCCCCAGTTCTCATTCTCTCGCCTTTCTGGTGCCGACCCTGTGCTCGGCGTGGAGATGGCCTCCACTGGCGAAGTTGCATGCTTCGGTCGTGACAGATACGAGGCTTATCTCAAAGCTCTGATTTCAACTGGCTTCAAGCTCCCGAACAAAAACGTCCTCTTCTCCATCGGCTCTTTCAAGGAGAAGGTTGAGATGTTGCCATCTATCAGAAAGCTGCACGCGCTTGGCTACAATCTTTTTGCGACAGCTGGTACTGCGGACTATCTCAAGGAGCATGGACTTCCCGTCAAGTACCTCGATGTTCTTGCGGGAGAGGAGGAGGACCTCAAGTCGGAATATTCTCTTACGCAACATTTGGCTAATAATTTGATTGATCTCTACATCAATCTTCCCTCCAGCAATAGGTTCCGACGGCCTGCAAACTACATGAGCAAGGGATATCGAACACGTCGAATGGCTGTCGACTACCAGACTCCGCTGGTTACCAACGTTAAAAACGCGAAGCTCCTGATTGAAGCGATTGCACGCCATTACTCTATGAACGTGATGAGTATCGATTGCCAAACAAGCTATCGAGCAGTTATTCTCCCCGGCCTCATCAACGTCGCAGCATTCGTGCCGGGACTCGCTAACCCTGATTCTCCAGATTTCCAGGTGGTGACCAAGGCTTCCATCGCTAATGGTTTCAGCATGGTCCGCATCATGCCAGTGGGTGTAGATAGCTTCGTTACTGACTCCCAGGCACTCAGGACGGCCCAACATAATTCGTCTAAGGGCTCGTACTGCGATTTCAATCTATCGGTCACGGCAACATCTACTAATTCAGAGAAAGTTGGCCTAATCACCAGCGAAGTCGGTTCGTTGTTTATCCCATTCAATCACCTTGCGGGCAACATCAACAAGGTTGCAACGGTTACCTCGCACTTTGCTTCGTGGCCGACCAATAAACCTATAATCACCGATGCCAAAGCAACAGATTTGGCGTCAATTTTACTCCTTGCCAGCCTCCACAATCGCAATATCCATGTCATGAGTGTTACTAGCAAAGAGGACATCGGCCTAATTGCACTTAGCAAGGAGAAGGGCCTGAAAGTGACATGCGATGTCGCGATCTACTCTCTTTTCCTGTCTACAGATGATTTCCCCGGTTGTGCCTGCCTACCTTCGAAGAAAGATCAAGAAGCGCTTTGGGAACACTTGGATTCTATCGACATATTTTCCATTGGCAGTCTTCCATACCAGGTTGCCGGTAAAAATGCCTCTCCCGCAGTTGGAATCCAAGACGCGCTTCCCCTCCTTTTCACAGCAGTTTCTGACAAGCGATTAACGGTTGACGATATCACCTCCAGACTCCACGATAACCCGAAAAGGGTTTTCGAACTCCATGACCAGCCAGATGCCTCCGTGGAGATTGAGTTTGACAGGCCATATGTGTTCCAAGGCCATGATGTCTGGTCACCATTTGCTGGTACTACTCTGAAGGCATCTGTCCGACGAGTTACATTCCAAGGCAAGACGTCATGCTTGGACGGTAAAATGATACCAGACGCGCCGAAGGGCACTGATATGTCCGCTCACCGGTTAACGCCACCGCCTCAAGGATCTCCCGCTGTTAAGGATATTCTTCCCACATCTCCACGGCCGGAAAGCGCTCTTGGGAGACGGTTGTCTTTCTCGGCCACACCACTCCAGCGCCCAACAAGATTCAAACCTAATGCCCCTGATGGATACGCTCCATCTGCCTCGGGAGACGAGTTCGTGACTGTTGCTCCAATGTACCCATATCCGTCCCAGGTTTCCCCTTCGTTGCAACAGCTGCTTTCGCAATCGTCTTTCAAACAGAAACATATCCTATCTGTCGGTCAGTTCACTCGCACTGATCTACATCTCCTATTCACGGTTGCGCAGGAGATGCGACTAGGCGTCCAACGCCATGGCATTCTCGACATCTTGAAAGGCCGCGTCCTTACAACACTCTTCTTCGAGCCCTCTACTCGTACATCCGCCTCGTTCGATGCCGCTATGCAACGACTGGGCGGCAGAACCATTCCAGTTTCCACCGAGCATTCTTCTACTCAAAAAGGCGAAACCCTCCAGGACACTGTCCGCACCTTGGGCTGTTACAGCGATGCAATCGTCCTTCGGCACCCAGATGACAGCAGTGCTGCCACCGCTGCCAAATTTTCCCCGGTCCCCATCATCAACGCCGGAAACGGAGCCGTGGAACACCCCACCCAAGCATTTCTCGATCTCTTCACCATCCGCGAGGAGCTCGGCACCGTCAATGACATCACAATCACTTTCACTGGTGATTTGAAATATGGCCGCACCGTGCACTCCCTCGTAAAGCTGCTCCAATTCTACGAAGTGCGCATTCAGCTCGTGTCTCCCAAGGCGCTTGCTATCCCTGAGGAGGTCCGCCAACAGCTCGTCTTATCCGGTCAGCTTATTCTCGAGTCGACGGAGCTTACACCGGAAATCATCGCACGGTCGGATGTGCTTTACTGTACGCGCGTGCAGAAAGAGCGCTTCAAGGACTCGAACGAGTATGAGCAGTTGAAGAACGTGTTCGTCATCGATAACACGGTGCTTAAGCATGCGAAGAGCCAGATGATTGTTATGCACCCCCTGCCGCGCAACCAGGAGGTATGTGAGGAGGTTGACTTTGACCAGCGCGCGGCTTATTTCAGACAGGTGAGTTTCTATCCTTATTAGATATTGTTTTATTCCCCCCCCCCCCCCCAAATCCAGATCCTGCGCGTTTACTAACCGCTTGTGCCTTTGCTTTTACTGTTACAGATGAAATATGGGCTTTACTGCCGCATGGCATTACTCGCATTGGTCATGGCATCGTGATAAGGGGTTCAAATGACCGTTTGGTTACAGGCTGGTTTTCATGCACCTTCTCGACTTATCTCCAAAGGGGAAATACCGGCCGAGATATGTAGTTGTTTACTTTTTTTTGTTGGCGAATCTGCCCAAAAGTTTTTCTGTTATTATTTCCTCCCACTTATTTCAGACTATTTTTATTTCCTTTTTCAGTTGCTTTCTTTTTTCAGCGCGAAGACAACCTTAGCAATGCAGAGCAGACACTTGAATACATAAATAGGAGTCGTAGATTCCCGTTATATGATTACGGTATGGTGTATTTGTTACTTCCTTTTCTGCTAATTTTTGTGGATTATGTTGCTCATGTATTTTATGATTTTTTCGTGACGTGTTTATGTTCGATGGCATTTCTTTCTGCTTCCCTTCCTTAGTACTCACTTTCTTTTGCTTTGCTTCGTTTTCTTTCCCCTCTCCTGTGCTCGCTGTCTTTTCCTTTGGGATGCATTTGCCCGGCGCCTGTTGACATTTGTCTAATGATTTCTTTGTGTTGATTTGATTGGGTTGTTTCCTTGCAAAATAGATGTTAAGAGCGGTTAGAGCGCACATTTTTTGTATAGCTACCCGCCATTCAAGCCTTGCGACCTAACAATGAAATAGTCCCCCCGTTCCATGCGCATTGACAATATTGGTTTGTTTTCCTTTTCTTTTTCATGGGGGAACATTCCACTGTAGGTCTCGAGCTGTGACCACACCCACTTCCACCTCGAGCTGATGTCACCATGACCATTGAGCTGCTGTATTAGCAATAACTATATCACCATATCTCATCTAGCCTAGGGTGAGAAGGCGTAGCAATGCTCGGTTCATTAAGCGCAGAAAATATCCTTGCCATGAATAGAGCACACGGATCCGTCTTGTTTTTATTCTAGCCTAATATTTCTTTTCTTTGCTCCATCCGTTCCAAACCAGGAATACCTTTGTTATTGCTAATAAAGATAACTATCAAAGCAAGTGACAAGCAATAGTTATTTAGGCAAAATATATCCTCTCAGATATACCATCACAAGGGCGAATTGAAACTCTCTTGGTTGTCTTTCTAAGACGCCATCGATCTCTTTGTTGGCATTTCCAAACAAACCCATCTTAGCTACTTTTCTTTCCCCGCTGTCCCTCATGGCTGCGCCCACTGGGGACTTGCAAGGCTTAAGGTGTCGTTCACCGGCCTGGCATCAGCCACCCAACAGGCAAACAACTGGCAGAGACCATCCCCCGTCGCGCAGCCAGTAGTCTGAACGATTGTGCTTGATGCATGCATAATCTGGCCAGGGCCGCTCCACACTTGACTGGCTCCGGTGTCAACACACATAAAGGATTTTGCCGCCATCCTGTTTCAGGTTTCGCCCTTCTGCGCAGCGAAATCCTTGGCCAAGCTAATCACATTCCGTTTCTGATCTTGCTGGCATATCAGTTGAAACTTTCGTGCCTGCACGACTATCGCCCAGGAACGGGCGACCATTCGCCCAATCTGCATGGCCGTGAGTTACAAACAGTGCTGTGTGTTACAGCGTGCGGAACTTTGGTTCGCACGGCTCTTGCTTGGTTATGCCCCGGTATTTCAAGCAGAACAAACCATTCAATATTGGAATTGCCCGGCTGCGACCTTCGCGGGGACGCTAGTCTGAAATACTCGCCCGGCGGTTTGTTGATGAGGATGAAAACAATGTCGCATGAAACTCCTCAGTGCCACGGAGGGGGCAAAGTCTCGCAGAGGATTTCCCTGCGCGCGCCAACCCACAATTTTCATCCGATTTCCAAGAGGAATTATCCCTGTCCTGCCTTAGGGCTTAGCCGGCTGAGGTAGCCTGCGATGAGATAAATATAGCTCGACCCCCTTAGCTCGTTTCTGTTGTCATTCTGATCCTCATTTTCCTCTGCCGTTGCGTAGATCTCTTTCTTTTTTCTGCTTCCTCTTCATCTGCTTACGGTCTTCTCTTTCATTTCTTTTTGCCATTCACATTACGTTATTCATATATCAAGGGCGCCTGGTGCTCTTCTTGATTTCCCTTCTCTTCAGGAACCAGCTGTTTTATTTTCATTTTATTTTCTGAACGAGCACTCCGTAAATAAACCCATACGGTGCATACTTGGCGTCCCGCCCATCATGGCAAAACGAAGCACCCAGAATCGGCTTGTCAAGCTTGCAATCGCTGCTTCCTTGATTACTACGTCTTTCTCAACCCCTTTAGACCCCTCTAGACTTGGGCCTAGAGATGATCCAGCGAGCGTTCAAACCACTCCGGCTAAGCAACTCACCCTTGATCCGAAGGCTTTTGGCGCCGCAATCGAAGGCACCTCCGTCAATAAGGCTGGTGATGTATTCGCCGTGGATTTTAGAGGGAAGGGCGCAACTACGACTTCTTCCTTCGGCTTCTTCCACCAGACCGATGGCGGAGTGGCCAACGTTGTCGGTCAAGACCCCATCGTTATTGCCAAAGGCGCAGAGGATACCTTCCTTGCAGGCTCACGATTTGTTAAGAAGGGAGAAAAAGTCCTGATAGCAGGTTAGTACTTCTTTTATTCGGTCATTTATTCCCTATATTATCCAATTCTCGATATATCATTGCTTTTGGTTTCATTTCACCAATACGCGATTGTTTTTTTAGATGCGCAGAACAAGCGCGTTATGGCGGTAGACGTGGCATCCAAGAAAGCCTCCGTCTTTTGCGAAAATGCCAAGATGCTCCAACCAAATGACATTGCCCTCTCCACCAAACGAGATTGCTTGATCTTCCTTTCCGGTCAAAAGTACGTTGAGACAACCGTTGCCGGTGAGCATGGTGATCTCTGGACATGTGATGGAGACAAAGCAACCCAGTTTAGCCCTGAAATCCTCAAAAAGGCGGGTGTTCATCGGACGAACGGTATCGAAGTGGACCCCAAGGGCGAGTTCCTTTATCTCACTTCCGCCGCGAACGTCAAGGGCGTAGTTGGCAACCTCAAAATCTTCAAGTTCGCCCTGGACAAGGCGAGTGGTGCACTCCTCGAACAGGATCCAGTGGTATTCCATGATCTCAGCCATGAAAAGGGTGCAGATCTCGATGGAATGCGCGCCGATGTTGATGGTAACTTGTACGTTTCTCTCAACGGTGTTGGCAAAATTGCCAAACTTGACCCTAGCGGCAAGCTCCTGCAGTACATCACCACACCCGGTGTTAAGGGTCCTAGCAATCTGGAGCTCGGCGGGAAAGACGGCAAGACCCTGTTCGCTGTTGGCAGATGTGACAATAAAGATCTGGCACCTGGCTGTGCTGCCTCCATCGATGTCGACAAACCTGGCAGAGCATTTACCTCGCTCAACGCCTGACTAGCCGACAATAGAGCATCTCAGCCCCTCTTCCCAGCCCCTCTGCTTTGCCTGCTCACCTTTTCTTTTAGCATGATGTTTGTTTTGGGGTGAGAGAGCTTTCCCCTTAGGTTCAATGTTCCTCGCTTATCATGTCCTTTCTTCCTTTTCGGAATGGCTTGTTTATTCATTTTTGTTATTGTTGTGGCTATTATCGGGAGTTTACACAGCATATGTTAGGATAAAACATCTTCGGTTTGTTAAAAGGCCTCTTCGAGGCAATTGCTGCCATTTCCTAAGGTTCACATTGGAGTTGTATAGAAATGTGGGCGGGCAGCTCTAGGGTACTATAAATTCAGTCAGTCAAAATTCAAGCTCAGATCAGTGAATGAACATTGCCCAGTTATGGGCCTTAGTTTTAGCCGTTTGACCACATCTGCAGCCAGCCTTTCAGCTTGTAGTGTCGCCCAGCTGGTGCAACTACAGCGGTTTCTCTAAGAATCGAATGCGCTTCTGTAATTGATCACCAAATGCTTGAATCCCATTCGTATATGCCATCAGGAACCAATCAAGGTTCCAAGTCCAAGTCACGTGCACGATATCTGCCTGGGTAATGAAATCACATATCCCTATTTATTCCCATGGGCAAAAGCCATTAGGTTTGGTGGGTGCTCGAATCCTGTGTGCAAACTTATGGCGGGCCCCATCTGGCCTGGTGCTGGGGGTGTGGCCATTTTCCGTCGCTTCAAGTTCTCTTCACATTCGCCGCACGATGTCAGTGGGACGAGAATGTCCATGAGATTGCAGAGCAGAAAGGCGGGACCAGAAGCGGATATATACCACACGGCATATCCCCCGGTTATAAAAATTACCAACGCGACCTTCTACCGCGAATATCCCACCACGGAATCAGTCAAGAAGGACAACCCTCCCCTGTACCCGAACCTGACCTTTTCGCTTAAGTCTTACAAAGTTCCGACGAAAGCTGGAGAGTATTCTTCCTTGGAGCATTGCGCCGTCATAGGCTCGTCGGCCAAGTCCAGTTTTCTTGACATTCTTCGTGGTCGATATATCTGCGTCCCACCAACTGCACGCTCATATCCGTACCTTTTATCTCCCGGAGCGCGTGCGGAAGCTTCTTCGTGCGACGCGGCTCATGCGATCCAATATGTCGGGTTCAATGGTGACCAAAAACAAAGTGCTGGAGGGATTCGTGGTTCGTACATGAGCGCGAGATATGAAAGTAGGCGCGAGGATACGGATTTTACACTTCTGCAGTATTTGAAAGATCAGACTTCGCTCAATCCGCCGGTAAGGGAAAAGGAAGATCTGCGTGAGGGCGGAAACATTAAGACTTCGGAAAGCGATGAGCATTTGAATCAAATCATTCGAGATTTCCAATTGCAGGAGCTTCTTAATATGCCCGTATCGAATTTGAGTAATGGGCAAACAAGGCGGGCGAGGATTGCGAAAGCCCTTCTTATGAAACCAGAAGTACTTCTTCTGGATGAGCCTTTTAGTGAGTACTTTTGTATTTATACCCCTGGATTATTTTTTTGAATACACAGAACAAATTCTCATATACCCAGTGGGCCTGGATCGATCCGCTGTCCCGAATTTAAGCCGCCTGCTGTATCTGGCTACTTTAAATAGGGGTCTTCGTATGGTCCTAGCTTTAAGACCACAGGACCCAATTCCCCCATGGGTCTCTCAGATAATCCTCCTAGTCCCAGATAATACCGTTGCCCTTCAAGGCACCCGTGATGAGGTATTTCGTTCCCTCGAGGTGTGGCAGGCTGTGGCCTCCCGGGAAGCTAAAACCACTTTCTCAACAACAATTGGCGAGGAGAATTCTCGGGTCTCAAGGACGAACTTGGCGCATTCAGGTCTGGTTGAATTGATGCCTCGTAGCAATGACGAGGAACGAAGGTACCAGCTCCTGCCATTTCCTCAGCGAATGGAATATGACAAACTAGAGCAGCTACGTGAAAATGGCCGATTTGGCGACTATGCCAACATTCTACATGAAATGGGAATGCTATATAAGCAACCTGAGGAAATAGAAAAAAAGGTAGCCCCTTTGGGTGAACCAATCGTGGAGATGGATGGTGTTCGTGTCAAATATGGCGATAAGGTGGTATTAGGTGGCTGGACTCAAGTAATTGACGGTGGCATGACAAAGGAAGGGCTTTGCTGGAAGGTTCATCGAGGACAGCGATGGGGAGTATTTGGCTCGAACGGCTCGGGAAAGACAACTCTCATATCACTAATCACCTCAGACCATCCACAAACGTACTCGCAACCTGTCCAACTGTTTGGCCGCTCTCGTCTTCCCGAACCAGGAAAGCCCGGCATATCAATTTTCGATTTACAATCTTGCATTGGCCATTCGTCGCCGGAAATCCATGCCTTTTTCCCTCGCCACCTTTCCCTCCGCGCCACCATCGAATCAGCCTGGGCTGAGACCTTCCTCTCGAAGCCAAAAGTTACGCCTGAACGAATCATGGATATAGACTCAGCATTGCGATTTTTCGAAGCAGATCTAAACCCCAGCTTCAGCCCATGCCACGATCCAATGCAAGCAACCACCACTTGGGCCGACTCTCTCACCTTCTCCTCCCTGACTCCCGCCCAGCAGCGAGTCGCGCTCTTCCTGCGTGCCATCATCCATAAACCAGACTTAATCATCCTCGACGAAGCCTTCTCCAGCATGGGGTCCTCCCTACGCGACAAATGTCTCCACTTTCTTGAAGTAGGTGAGCACCAACACATGTCCAGCAGCGGCACCAGGAGAACACCTAACTACGCGAATGTGTGGCATTTGCCCCCACCACTGTCCTCGACGGGGCCAAAACTACGCCACACTGGGATCTCCGATCATCAAGCGCTGATCGTCATCAGCCATGTGAAAGAGGAGGTTCCTGATATCGTGAGCCAGTGGATACGCCTGCCGACGCCGGCTAGGACAACGGAGAAATCGTTCGTGTCCGACGAGGCAGCGGATCCGGTGATTAATTTTCAGATTGGTCAATTGGCTGCTCATGAATCCGTGGCAATGCATGCGTGGGAGATGATTTGGAATATATCAGCGGAGAAAAGGGGGGAATTCCAAGCAGGAGGAGTTGACAAAAAAGTGGGAGGATGCGGTGTGTGATAGGTCGAAATGGCTGTTTCTGGCGTTATTAACTCTTATACGACTCCATTGTTAACGTTTTAGTCATGTATGCCGGTTAGGAGGGTAAATTATTTATGTACAACAGGTGTACTTCGATGTCTTACGGAGCTGGGATCAAAAGGCTAAATAGATCATAGAGACCGAATTTAGAAGAGTGAACTTGCAGTATATACATGTACTTGAATATATGTCATGATCTCTGAGTCTCTGGGACACGTTTTGATGGTTCGACCATATCTGGAGAAACAAGCTAGGTACAACAGAAACAGGAAATAAAATGGGATATCAAGGGAATAAGATATGAAATAGCGATATGACGCAGATGTAGGATAGGATTAATCTAAGATGACTCGATTAATTGGAATTTGAAAAGGGACTACGTCTGTGGAGGAAAGTCCAGCTTTCGTCCCAATTTGGCGATGATTTGACATATGAACAAGCAGACTGTCCAAAAAAAGGGGGGAGGGTATAAGGAAAATTTAGAGGGCAACAAAGGGCAACGCTTGATGCAAAAACGTAGCATCCTACACCGAACAAAAACGGATATTATATGCAGGCATGGCTGGTTGAGCCTTGATCGACATCGAGCTTTGTCACTGACAGAAACATTAACCAGTCAAGAAGGCGATGGAATCTCCTGTCCCGTGCTTGAGGACATGTTCCCGGCTGTGCTTTTGGGTAGTCCCTTGCCAACTAAATCCTTGAAATCAACACCGACCTCCAACAACAGCGCGGCATGCTCATGGACTGTTTCCATGCAGCCCTGCCAAACGGAGCTCTCAGGCTCCACACTGCTCAATTGCCGGACAAGGATTGCGTTGAAGCTATCCAATTGCTCCTTGGCCCATTTTATGCATGCGCTCGTCATTGGCGCCTGAAAGCAGTGCTGGTAGATTCCGATAGTGTTTTTTATCAGCGTAAAGTAGACATAGGATATTTGGAATATGTATAGGCGCAGGTCTCCTTCGAAGACGCACTGGCTATTTGCATGAGTTAGTTATAAGCGCACCTTTTTTGTCTTTCGTGGTTGGAAATGGGGGAAAGGGGAGGTATGGGATGGGATGGGATGGCGTAGGAGAAAAAGTGAGAGTTGGCAAAATACCGTGCGCGCTTTGTGATTACTTCCGTCCTGGTGTGTAGGAAGGCTTCGCGTGCCCTATCGTCGAAACCTAGGCGGGAAAGCCAGGATATGTTCGTCTTGGTTGCTGCAAGGAAGGAATGGGTGTCAACCAAGGCACGCAGGATCGTCTCTGCCAGTTTTAGAGCTCGTTCATCGATCTTTGACAAGATCATATCCTGGGCCGTAAGGTTCCCTTTTATACTCTTCGCGAGCTTTCGCAGCTGCTCAACCCGCGACACCGCGTTGTCGAAACGTTGAAGGGCGGCATCGATATCAAGCTCGTCCAGCTGGCCTTCAACCCATCTCATATTTTGCTGCTTCCCATCCACATCAATGAGTACATCGAATTTGTCGCGGGAGCCGGTTCTATTATCGAAGATATGAGAACCTCTTGAAAGGGATAAGCTACTGTTCGGGGCGTCAGCAGTCTTAGAACTTGATTCAGTTTCTGTCCGCATCAACTTCCGTAAATCCTCGAGCGCTTTGCGGAACGACATTAGGAGATCTGATTTCGCGGAGCCCTCCCGTTTATCGCTTCGATAGGTGAACGACTTCTGGCCACATCGGATATTGACAGCATTTGGGACTCCCCGGTCTTTGGCTTCTTGACTCATTCCATTTGCGTCGAGATTAGTTGTAAGGTCAATCACGTCGATATCCTGCAACGGCCAACACTCCTCTGCAACAAGTTTAGTCGGGGCAGGGCCCTTCATATTCTGACTGTTTGGATCTACTCTTTTCCGTTTCTTTGCAGCCACAAGGAGATGATCGTTGAGGAGGACAAGATGGACGGGCCGTTTAGGCTTCCACGTTGCAGAATCAAGCTCAACCCATTGCCCGCTTTCAAGTATGATATGGCGACCGGGGATCGCGGGTAGGAACTTCTGAGATCGCTCGACAGTCTTCCATAGCGCTTGGAGTTGGACATTCCACATAGTTTCAAGATTAGCAACAGAGCTACGATTTGGATGTCGTTTAGCGATTGAAGCTTCGTCGAAGCCTGCAGCCATTCCATTGGAGCCATTAGTTGCGTTCGCCTGACCAAGGGCGGTAGTGAGTTCCGACATGAGACCTCGAAGCGTGTTCATCTCCCCCTTCAGTTTCTCGGCTTCCTTGCTGATCTTGATAAATTGCGTACGATTCCTATAGACACTTTGTTGTAGATCCGTAGATGTTCTGTTCTTGAGTTTCCGCAGTTGGTTCTGATATTCTCTGATGTCTTCTTCAGAGGCATTCGCCAAGAGAGTCGTGACGTCTGGTTCCGGGTGCGTTAGACACCAAAATTATCTCAAGAAAATAATAGAAGAATGTGTATGGGCTTTAAAGGAGAACATACACTTTTCCACTGCCAGATTGGGGTCTCTCAACGCATTGACCTCAACGCGGAGAGGTTGGCCGGGAGTTTGAAGTTCATTGCCAGCTGGTGCTTGGATACCAGATGGCAGACTGGGAACATCTGGGATATCGAAATTGAGTTGCTGGTTGTATCGAGTGGAGTATCTCCGCTTGACGAGATCCGAGGTGGCACCGCTCAGCGGTGGTTTTCGAGGAGGGGAAGCATCTGTAACACCAGGTTTGCTCAAGGCCGCAGCACCTGAAGCAGCAGCAGCAGCAACGGTCGCAGAGGGAGGAGGCCAATTACTTTTACTTGTGGTCGAGCGAGGGTCAGAGATAGGCTGAGGAGCGCTGATCTGAGGCCGCCTGGATCCCTTACTCCGCAGAGTCAGCCCCCTTCCATCCATACTTCATATCAGCAATGGCGACCACGGCTGCAATCGAGCGGGCTATATTTCAATGTCTGCTTGTCGCAGGTGTCGCATGTCTGTATAGATCTGTAATTGTTGGTTTTTGTTAGATGTTTTGAATTGTTGTTGCAGCCGACTTGTTCGTTAATAAGCGGCGAACCAACTTTCGCTTAGTCATATTCACAGGCTCGAGCTCCCAAAAAAAAACTTGCCCGACTCAAGATTGAACGCGATTTCCAAGCAAGAAGGTGAAGAAACAGACGAAAACACCGCACTGGCGACATTGGAAATACTTGTGGACAGCAGGCTCTTCCTCATATAACTATTGGCCCTATTGAACTGGTGGACACCTATTCTTGTGGTCAATTTCGGGACTGTGATCACTCTCCACTCCCATCCCATTCGGGCCTCTACCCAGTCTCTTCCCAGACCGGGTATATTGCAGTGAAAACACACACCATTTTTCAAATATGAAGACAACGACTATCGTTGCTGCCTCTGCAGGCACCATTCTGACCGGTTTCCTCGGTACGTGGACTATACATCCCGGTTTCCTATTGATCTTGTTTTCTGCGTCCTTACAGACACTTACTATGCTACCCTGACCCAGCATATGCAATCTACTTCGACTACAAGCGACATTCCGACGCTGAATTCCGACGGAATCTGAAAAAGGATAACCGGCGACTAGCCAGAGCAGTCCGTGAGGAATCAGCGGCCCAAGGCGCGCGGCAAATAGCTGAGATTAAGGAGGCCGTCCTAGATGCAAAAACGGAAGGATTCCCCACTGACCCTGATGATAAGGAGAGATACTTCATGGGCCAGATTGCGAAGGGCGAGCAATTAGCTGGGGACGGTATGTTCTATTTGATCTTGTGTCTGCAGGGAGCGAGGCTTTTATCAAATAAAATACAATTCCAATTGTCTTTCACTAACGGGATCTTGGCAAATTTTAGGATCGAGTAACATCGAAGCAGCCCTTGCATTCTACAAAGCGCTCAAGGTGTACCCGCAGCCAAAGGACTTGATCGCCATATACGACACCACTGTTCCCAAGGACGTGCTGGAGATACTGGCTGAGATGGTGGGCCAGGATACCTCGTTGCAATTGGGCTCGTTTACCGGCGGAAGCTCGACAGGTAGTAGTAGCGGAGGAGCGGACCACCACGGGGTTGAATAAAGTGCCGGCAGATCGTCAGATTAGTCGCTAGTCGGCAAATCAAGGAATGGAATTGGTAACTTGGATGAACGATTGCAATTATACATGCCGAACCAAAAACGGTTGCCACTTTTCCTCTTCTCTCCCTTTCCTCGCTTTGTATTAGTCCATTGGTCCATCCATATTTGCCACATTGATCTACATTCATGATGGGTTTTTTTTAATTTTTTTTTTTTTTTTGGAACTCATGACCATTTCTCCTGTACTATTTATTTTATCGCTCCCCATGGTTCCTCTCTCGTCCCATTGCATATTGTATATTGACTCTAGAATGTACGTATGTACCGTTCACTGTGTTCACCCTTTCCTCCACAACAATGGGCTCGGTGGACATGGTACAATTTGCATCTGGCGCAAATCGTTGAAGCGCAGGATTGATTTTCTTTTTCTTTTTCTTTTTTTTTTCTTGTTGCCTCCTTAATTTCCTCATCCCTAGGGCAGGGCACCGCTACCTGCTGCTGGATCGCATTTATCTCGTTTTTTATCTCATTCCTTCACTCCAGAGCTGCAGAGGGAGTGTTCCATTTTTATATGATGGTATTTTCCCTACACTTTTAACAAATGGAGAAGAAGAGGGCTGTCAACTTGCTTTATATGACTGATTATTTTTGTAGATGCAAGGGAACATGGAGTCTTAAGAAATCTTCAATAGCAGAAACGTGAAACGTTCCGTGGGACCTGTTGCTGAGCGGCGGAATTGTTTATAGGTGTTTTTAGAAGTGTTTCCCCCGGATGAACACATTTTGATACTCTACGCTCAACTTGAAACGGAGAGGGGCGTCTCAACCTGGTTTTGAGAGCGTTTGACCCAAGCAGACTCCACTAAAACGTGGGCCCAACCAAGAATGGCTCGTTCTTGGACGAGGAACCATGATGAGGGCTGGAGCTTGGGATATTGTTGTATGAAGAATGTCTCTGGAGCATTCAAGTCGCTCTCCGCTTTTTTCTTAACCTCATGTTTCCTCAGTCTCTCCTTTTTCTTTTCTTTTCTTAGTTTTATGTCTTTTTCTTTCTTTCTTTCTTGCTTACTTACTTTCTTCAGCATCGCTTCATCTTCAGTCTCTCTCTCTCTCTCTCTCACCCTTTGTCTCTCGTTCTATCAAATTACCAATAGGCCTCTCTTGACATTCCCACAACGACGTCAATCGTCGGTTTCCCCTGCTCCCAGAATGAATCTCGTATGTACTTGATTGATTGACTGGCTGACTGATTGACTGATTGATTGATTGCTTGCCGTAAATTCCACTCTTCTCCATCGTTGTCGGCTAAACAAGTTTCCACCCCTACAGATTCGCGTTGTAACGGCGCTCCTTGTCCTACTTGCCCCCGCAGTCGTTGCTGTCGCGCCCGTCGTGATCCAGGCTCAACAGTTCGTCAACAGTCATTCTCACAAACGATTACTGGTCCTCGGCGTCGAGTAGGTTGCTTGTCATTAACTACCGTCTATCTACTTCTCAACAGCCACTGACGGCGATGCAATGCCAGTTACCAGCCGGGAGGATCCGCTGCTTACAAGCCGGAAAACGGACGAGATCCCCTCAGCGACGGCGATGCTTGCTTGCGCGATGCTGCTATCCTCCAAATGCTAGGCGTATGTCCCACTCAGAATGGTCTTTCTCCTCTTCTTTGGAAGCGTTACCAACACAACACAGGCAAACGCTATTCGGGTCTACACTGTCAACCCCGTAACCAATCATGATCTTTGCATGTCCATCTTCAATGCCGCTGGTCTCTATGTGATCCTCGATGTCAACTCGGCCCTTCCCAACGAAAACTTGAACCGCGCTGATCCCAAATCCTCCTATCACCGACACTACTTGCAACGGGTCTTCGCTGTCATTGAGGCCTTCAAACACTATCCCAACACTCTGGCTTTCTTCGCGGGGAATGAAGTCATCAATGAAGATGCGGTGAAAAACGTTGGTATTTACCTTCGGGTAAGTGGATCGCACCCGCTGTTCCCATAGTTCCATGTGGAAACTTTGTGTGCGCTGTAGTGTGCTGATTCGATTTTTCAGGCTATCATACGTGATATGAAGCAGTACATTGATCACAATTCTGATCGCAAAATCCCTGTTGGCTATTCTGCTGCCGATATTCGTCCCATTCTAGAGGATACCGGGAATTACCTGTCCTGTGAAATTGCAGACTCACCTGGATCTGGAATCGACTTCTTGGGCCTCAACTCCTACTCCTGGTGTGGCGACGCCTCCTACACCAGCAGCGGCTATGACAAGCTCGCCGCACTGTTCTCGGGGGCTTCCTTCCCCGTCTTCTTCTCCGAGTATGGCTGCAACGCAGTCAAGCCGCGCAAGTTCACCGAGGTCGGCGCTATTTACGGAGAGCAAATGACCCAGGCTTTGGACGGTGGTCTGGTTTACGAATTTTCCCAAGAGGCAAACAATTATGGCCTCGTCCAATTGAACGATGACAACTCCGCCACCCTCCTCACTGACTATGATAACCTACTGAAGCAATATAGGAAACTCAATATCACTCTCCTTGAATCCCTTGACCCGGCCACTACCAACATTAAGCCGGCCAGGTGTTCCTCCGATCTCATTAAAGACGCAAAATATTTCGAAAATAATTTCAAGCTTCCAGATCCACCTGACGGCGTCCCCGAAATGATTAAGAATGGCATCCCCAATCCTCCCATGGGCAAGCTTGTCAACATCACAGATACCAAGCCGAAATACGATGTGCTTGATTCTAACGGCCATGTGTTAAGTCTGGAGATGAAGATTCTCAACGACTTCCAATCCAACGTTCCTGGGCAGAATATCTCTGGCGTACCAGGTCCTACCGCGGATAATAATACAAAGAAGGCTGCTGCCAACTCCATGACCAGCTTCAATACACTGTCGCTCGTTGCTCTTCTGACTGGATTGACTCTGCTCATAATATAGAGAAATCTCCAAACGTATCACTTAAACTGTTCCCATTTTCTCCCTACCTTTCCCGTACGGCTTCCAACTAACTTCCATATTAGTTAAGTCAGTTTCTCATAAGACCTTCACTTGACCTTCATTTGACCTTCACTGTCGCGCATATCTTTGATTTAATCCTATTTTATCGAAACTCGGGACAGTAGCCGCGCTTTATGCCAGCTGACGAAAGGTGCTTCCCGTCCAGCGTTTGCTAAAACAAACTACGGCAAACCACACAAAACATCGCATCGTGTTTAACCCATTCCGTCGTACGACGCAGGCCTGAAATGATGATTTCGCGTTATAAGAATGGGCATCTTATGCTCTTATGATGATATACATCAATTTGAGTCTTATCGCTTTGCTGCTTCATGGATGAGATATTTAGTCCCCATATATTATCCCATACCTAAATGGTTTCCATTTGTGGAATATACGTTGACGGCTTCCCACATATTATATATACCGTGGAACAGGACACAAAATGCAGGATCGAACTGAGTGTGAAGGTATCTTATAGTTGCACTCATTTAGTGTTTCATTGTTTCTTTGACGTTCCATTGACTCGTCGTATGCCCCTGATATTGATATGCAAGGGACAGGGATCAAACCTTCCCGCAAGTTAGAAAGATTAAATGGTGGATAAATTTAAAAAAACGGAGGAAGAGATTTGAGTCAAAAGGAGAGAAAGGTAAGAAGTGTAATTTAGCTACGGCAAAACCAGGTTTTCAATGCAAGGTTCTTTTTAAATCAGAATTTAAAAACCAGCGTGGAGCTCTCTGCGATATCGAATTGGAGAGCCGAAAAAATTTGAAATTAGCTGATCTCGAGTAATCGAAGAATAAATAAATGAGGTACACAGCTAAGACAGACAATACATAACGAAACACAAAGCCAAACACAGCACATAACTAGGAAGAAACGAAAATCTTGGCCAGAAAGAAGCACAAATCTAACTACGCTCTAGTTGGGTTATGCCCGCGCTTTCCCCTTCCCCTTCCCCTTCTCAAAACTAGGCGATGATCCTCCGCCGAACATGGGGAAGTCATCCTCATCCCCCACGCTCCTAATAGAAGGTTCGCTATCGTCTGCTCTCCGACTCGCTTCTTCCACCAGACTAAGATGCAGCGCAAATTCAGCTCTTCAGCTTCCTGTTCCACATTGCACTCTGCATCCTTTGTCATGTTCCCTCCGGACACATCTTCCAATTTGAACGGAAAGCCGGATGCCGATGGGGAAGACGCCTGGTCAAGAAGGCTGAGGCGGATGGCTTCCGCGATGTCAGGATCCTGCTCTTCAGCGACGGTGTCGAGAACGGAGGACGAGGAGGTTGCAAGGCTGGCGGGTGTTTGTGTGAATACTGACGGGCGGAGCATCGCATTCCTATTAGGGGAAATAGTTTCACCTGAAGAACTATCTCCAATGCTACTGTCACTTTCACTCCTTTTGCGTTCGTCGCTTGTATACGATTCCTCGCTTAACATTTGCGCGTAGGCAAGAAGTTCCTCTTCGCTAGCATCGGATCCAAGAAGATCTACTCCGAAACGGCCACTGAGAAATTCTCTTTTCCTTTGATCAGCTTTCTCTTGTCGCTCCAGCTCGTATCTTTCGTTTGCAATGTAGTCTTGCAACGCTCCTCGACCACTACTGGTGAACCGCTGGGTAATAGGAGAGCTGTTATTTCCTCGGTGGGAACGACGTAGTCGACGCTTGTTGCTTTTGTATTGATCAGCTGAAGATGAGCTATACGACCAGTACCGAAGATGGCTGCCAAGGGACACGATGCCTCTGAGAACTGTTGGATCGGGGTCTAGGCAAATAGCCCCAGCGGCGAAATAATTCTGACCAACCCCCACGGCGGATGCCTCGGCTTGGACAAGACGACGGCGAGCTCTCGATGAAAAGCGAGAGTGAAGTGTCCGAATGGGCTGCATAGACGATGCGAGCGGATCCCACGCCTGAACTAGTCCATCACTCCCGCCATGTACAAGGTAGAGAGACGTCAACGCGACACAGGACACCTGTGGGGAATCTGTAGAAATAATTCGAAGTGGTGATATTTTGTTTATAATATCCGGCGTCTGGGAAACGGGTGCTCTTATATCCCAAACATAAACTGAACCTGCGGTGGTCCCAACTGCCATGTAAGAAGCTCGCTGTCCCGGAATATCAGCAGGAGTCAATATTTGTTGGCTCATCGAAGATAAGGGAGAAGACAATTGAGATGATGTAGCAGAGCCTCCATTCATGCTAATTAATGGGTCTTCTGACGTAGTCAACTGAGCAAACGTCGATGTATCTAAGGCACTGGCAGAGATTCGAGGTGGTTTTTGCTCTTCGAAAACAAAATCAGATATTCGCCATTCAATAGCAACAGAAGAATCCATTTCTGCTTGTCGCTCGGAATTTCGCGACGGCGGAGTGGACGACAATGCTGAACATGAGCCAAGGGGCCGGCCAAAAATCGACTGGCTTGTAGGTGCTGATATCGAAGGGTAGATGTCAGAAGTCATAGGAATGGAAACATGAACTTTCAGTCGCGTGAATCTTCGAATCGAACTTGTCTGGTGTTCTCCAAAACCGCAATTAATGACGATAACAGACTCCCCCGAATTATGGTGATTGTAACCAGCGAAATCAACCTCCAGCTTTCGTCTCATATCCCAACCGTCACAAACATTCCTAAAATGTTTTGGCTTAAAGGTAAGGAATTTCTCTATCTCTATTGTTTCTGCAAAAATCTGGTCTGTGGTAAGGCTCATGGAGTTAGAGGAAGATCTTGGGCTGTAGCTTCCATCCACCAAGAGCCTATTAAATGGGTCAGGCCGAGCAATTCGCCGGGTCGCTTCTATTAGTTCCCAGCGCACAGTTCTCCCGGTCTCCCAAGCAATCCGGTTGAGTCCCTGAACGCTATGTTTGGGCGTCAAAATGGGTTGATGAGGAATATCCGTTAGGTAGAACACTTCTCCAAGCGCGTTCAAGACAATAGCCCAAATGCGTCGGTGAGAACGACGCTTAGCAGAGTAATTTTCATCAACTTTAATCGCAATTATAGGAATTCCTGGACATAGGGCCCAATTGGCGGTTACCTGACCAGGTTCAAAACGTTGATCGTATGAAGGTTTAGGTCCCAATGCGTATGCGGTAAGAATGCCCAATGACGAGCCACAGAGAATGCCACATAGACCATTAGTCATTTCGAGGATCTGAGGAGATTTGGCTATCCAGACAGAACTGATTGCAGTTCCAATTGCGCTTACGCCGGGAATACCAAGATGAGGCTGAGACGTGGTACCCGCTCCAGACAAAAAGCGACCACGCTTTTCACTTGAAGATAAATAATAGGCTCTCCCTTGAGGACAAGCTTCTCCATAAACCATGCCGTAGAGTTGGCTCACATCCATAACATTGGACATGCCTACCATATTGCCTGGACCTAGGCCCCACTCAGCCTCGCCAGGAAAGATATCTGAAAAATGTTTGAACATCTGGGGAAAAGATAAACCCCAGGAACCAGTGCCAGTTTTTCTGGAATTGGGATCACTCATCGAAGCAACTCCCTGTTCGGCAGCCCCATGGATAAACAGAGGGGGCTTGTTGTTCAATGGCGACCCGAACGTCCCGTCCATATGGGTAATAGGGTAAACGCACATTGAGTTGTACGTGAATACAGCGCTCGCAGTATGCGCAGAAGGATGTCTGATGACGGAGCCGTGGAACAGAGCGGGGTTGAATTCTGCTGGCCTGCCTCGAGAGAGAGCCCGGAGCAATCTGGTTCGCAAAATGTATTCATTTCGCCAAGATGTCAGTGCTGTCAATCTGGAAAATGTGCGCCTTTGCGCCAGGATAAGTTCGTAGTCTTCCGTGTGGATATCATGCCTCAGACTTGCCGGTCCATGGAAATGGCGGGAGAATGCGATTCTCCAAGCATGAGGAGTAGTCACAAGGTTATAAAATCGGCGACTAACAAGACTAATTAACGATAGCGACGAAGGCGGAAGGTGAGACAAGATATGTGTCAAAACCTCTGCATAATATAAATTAGTATCACGCTATGTTGGTTCGCCTAATCTCAATGAATGGATTGTGCACACCATTGGGAAGCTCCTCGAGAGGTTGGCGAGAAAGCCCATCGATACTTGAGGCTGTGATTCCGAACCCAAAATTTTTAACTTTGCCTGGCGAAGGAGTTAACGCGCCTTCGTGGTCACTGTTGCAATCCACAGAAAACATGGACTTCGGAGACTGGACAGGACTCAGTTCTCGTTCAAGCGGGTCGAGTGTTGACAGCGGTGGTGAGACCTCATCAGGAGATTTTTCAGGGGAGGCATTGCGAACTCCATCCCTACTACTCTCCGGAGAGAGGTAGTATGGGACGTTCTCATGCTGCTGCTGCTGAAGTCCATGTTGGGTAGAAGTGAGTGGGCACTCGGGAAACTGGGTATCGGGGGTCGCGGAATGAGACGCTTGGAAGGGCCCTGGGTGCATAAAATGTCGGAAAGAAAAAAGGAGAAAGTAAATGACTGAGCCAGAGAGCTTCCGGGTCAGTCTAGATCAATGCGTGTGAGAAAATATACCTTCAAGGTGTGTTCAAATACTGCTGCTGATCAACTTGATGTCGAGTCCGAAGTAGGAAATGAAAAAGGGGAAAAAAACCCAAGCGATGCGGCTCTGTGGAACGACTAAGGTGAGCGTGATATTCATGTCACATGACCATACATCAGTCAACGCGAACGAATTCTTCGACACGGTGAGCAACGACGAGCAGGCAGAATATCTTAATCAAAAATGCACTCCGTTGCCTCTAGTTCACATCTCAAGGATATTGGTGCATTTTTTAGCCATTGCGTATCTTAATCCCCACGCCCGGTATGACCACATGAATTGAAATCTTGCAGCCATAATCCCGTTTAAGCAAATGAGCACTGAAGCGGTTGGATGGGGCATATGCATGTAACTGAGAGGCTCACACATTCATAATATTCTACTTGAGAGAGGCGCAATAGACCACCAATTTATTGATATTACATTTTTTTCTTACAATGCCCTCCCTCACAGGTAAAGACATCCGTTCGGATAGTGAAATCCCTTCTCAATATTGTCACAACTGGAGAGCTAACAGAAACTCACACACTAGAGGCAGATACTATTCGTATCCTAGTTTCAACAGACAATCATGTTGGGTACAACGAGCGCGACCCAGTTCGCGGGGATGACAGCTGGAGAAGCTTCCATGAAGTAATGTGTCTGGCCAAAGAGCGGGACGTGGATATGGTTCTCCTGGCCGGCGATTTGTTCCACGAGAACAAACCATCCAGAAAGTCCATGTATCAGGTCATGCGGTCTCTGCGGATGAACTGTTTTGGTGACAAGCCGTGCGAACTGGAAATGCTGAGCGATGCAAGCGAGAATTTCCAGGGGGCATTTAACCATGTCAACTACGAAGACATGGATATCAATGTTGCTATCCCAGTGTTTTCGATACATGGCAACCATGATGATCCCTCTGGTGAAGGCCATTTGGCTGCACTCGATATACTACAAGTCTCCGGTCTAGTTAATTACTACGGTCGTACTCCAGAGTCAGATAATATCCAAGTGAAGCCAGTCCTCCTTCAAAAAGGCCGAACGAAGTTGGCTCTCTACGGTATGAGTAACGTACGAGATGAGCGTCTTTTTAGAACTTTTCGAGACGGGAAAGTGAAATTCTTTCGGCCATCTCTTCAGAAATCAGACTGGTTCAACCTAATGAGCGTGCACCAAAACCATCACGCACATACGGAAACGGGTTACCTTCCGGAAAACTTCTTGCCCGATTTTCTTGACCTTGTTATCTGGGGTCATGAGCACGAGTGTATTATTGAACCCCGTTTAAACCCAGAAACAAATTTCCATGTTATGCAACCAGGTTCTTCAGTGGCCACGTCGCTAGTGCCCGGAGAGGCAATCCCCAAACAAGTCGCGATTCTCAGTATTACGGGCCGTGAATTCAAGGTCGATCCAATTCGACTCAAAACCGTCCGGCCTTTTGTTACGAGAGAAATCGTTCTCCATGAAGAAAAAGAGGCACAGAGATTGGCAAAGAAGGAGAATAACCGAACAGAACTGACCCGTTTTCTTATGAGCATCGTCGAAGAGCTAATTGAGGAAGCGAAGAATGATTGGATTGAGGCACAAGAGGAGGTGGATCATGAGGAACTCGAAATCCCACTACCTCTAGTTCGTTTGAGAGTGGAGGTTTCAACTCCCGGTGGAGGCAGCTTTGATTGCGAAAATCCTCAAAGGTTTTCTAATAGGTTCGTTGGCAAAGTTGCCAATGTCAATGATGTTGTCCAATTTTATCGAAAAAAGAAAGCCGTCATAGCGCTGCGTCGCGGTGAGATAGAGGCACCGGATGAAGCGGCTATTTCGCACCTCTCCTCGCTGGATACAGTCAAAGTAGAAAAGCTTGTTCGGGAGTTCCTAGCTGCTCAGTCTCTTACCATATTACCCCAAAATTCATTTGGAGATGCCGTCTCCCAGTTTGTTGACAAGGACGACAAACATGCGATGGAAATGTTTGTGAATGAGTCGCTAGAGAGTCAAATAAAACATCTCCTAGCACTTGACCAGGAACAAGATGATGACGAAATAGATTATGGGGACGGAGAAGGACAGAGCGTCATTCAAGCTGCGATGGATAAATACCGAGCGCAGCTGGAGGACATGTTTGCCAAAGGCACCCAGCGACGTACTCGCGGACAGAGAAAATTCAAGCCGAAGCCCAGTGGTTGGGACAGTGAGTTTGATGGGCCTTGGGAAGACCAACCTGGCGCCCTAATCATCTCGGATAATGAAGCCGATGAAGATGTGGATGAGAACGCTTCTCCCCGGAGAGGGGCTGCAACCTCCACGGGACGAGGCAGAGGTCGAGGAGGCAGCACCTCGAGGGGATCTACATCGCGAGCTACAAATGCGCGCAAAAAAGCTTCCCCCGCTCCCGCTCCCGCTCCCCGTCCTGCTCCCAGCACTAAAACTCGCACCAGTCGTTATCAAACCATATTGGATCAAGATGAAGAGGATGAGGAAGGAGATGCAGTTATGCTAGACGACATCAATGAAGATGAAGAGGGTGACCCCGACTCTCTATTCGTTCGACAAACTCCTGCTCCGGGTGAGACTAGATCAGCATCATCCGCGACAAGCCGCACACGGAAGCAAACCAACGCATCGTCCACGGTCACTACGACCGCAACGAGAAAACCTTCCACTCGAGGCTCTGCAGCTACCAGGTCCAAACCGCCGCCGAAATCCACCCTGTCACAGGCAAGCGAGAGTCAAACACTGAAAGGCACCGGTGCAAGTTCTCTGGCTAGCAAGCGACCTCGTCGAGCTACGACAAGTCGGACAACGACGAGCGTCAGTGTCCTAAGCGATGATATTGAAGATGACGATGACGATGCGTTTGATCCTGCACCCCCTATAAGTAGTCTACGGAATTCTAGAAGGAGGTAACCACGCACGTTCCCATTTCACTACTCACATGTTGTTTTTAGAACTGCGTCGCATTCATTCATTCTATATAGGATACCGCAAAAAAGTGTAAAGACGCGATATTGCAGCGAGAAAAACATATGTATATAATCTGTTAAGCAGAAACTATTTTATCTACAGCTTGCCCCTTCCCAAAAAGTTCACCGGGATCTCAACCCACCTCGCCCGCAAATACTCCCCCACAAAGATTCCACCACATTCTTCCCCAAAAAGTTCACCGCCCGCGTCACGCCGACACCACGATCCAACAAGTTGCGGAACAGGAAATGCACCGCGAGCAACTCAGGAAACTCAGAACCGTTCAATGCTCATGGTCCCATTCCCCCGGCCCATTCCCCCGCCCAACAAACTCTGCACCTTTTCAATTGACAACAGCGTTCTTGGCCATAAGAATTCATCCTCGTGTCTCACCCACCCAAGATCCGCAGTTCGCGTCAGAACCCTTATGGCCCGAACGGCCGTGCACAATCCAGCCCAGAGGTCCGCGCATCGTCAGGCCAAAGTCTGTCGCCAGGCTGTCGGGATACGCCGTTACTGGCTGTGACAGTTGTGGTGGGGAGGGGCCAGATCTTCGTGGGGGGTGGCGGGGCGATGTCGAGTGGTTTTTTTTTTTTTTTTTTTTTTTTAAATTCCCGTAGAGCTAGGGGAGGTGTGCTTGGTGCTTCACGAGGAGAGTTACATAGTGCTCTAATTACACGGGTTTAGGGGACACCTTGGCGCCTCTCTAGATCGAACGTCGCACCAGGATAGCCCTGCATTGACGGGCAGCAACCCGAATCCTATGGCGACTTCAGAAACGACAGCTCGTACGCGGCCACGCGGCCGTCGTCGCCATGTCTATACTCACTGATGATGGTTTCCTTTTTCTATGTTCTGGTGGCTTTCGCGCGTGCATTTCTAGAAGGGTCTCATGCGCTTTTTGTACAGTACCTACCTGTCTGTGGGGAAGTATCAATCTCAGTAGCTCTCTTTCATAAATAATAAGAGATAGCTAATGTAGTCCTTTCTCCTCCTCCTTCTCTGCATATTTCTCCGACCCGGAAGAGGATCTTGGGCAAGACATTGTCGGACCTCGGGATGGAATCGTAATAAGAGATAATAGTGGTGGTGGTAATAATGATGGAGAAAAAGTCACATCATCTGGGACTGACTACTTGTCGGTTAGTTAGTTAGTTAGCAGTAGGCCACTGGGGCAAAAGAGCTCGATCACCGCCTGCACCATGGTGGTTGTATACGCTTTAGTAGAGGGCATGATGAATCACTCAATTCAATCCCTCCAACAGTTAGTTACCTCGTGTGGGAATCTGTGTGCGCTTCGCACTTCGTACATCTATATTTACAGAGAGAATGTTATAGCTATATAGACATGATGAATAATAATAAATAATATATTATATTATGATAAAAGGAAAAAAAAAAAAGAAAGTCGACCATCCCATTCAGCGCGGTGGGTGTGCAGCGGCGGTGTGATCTGGTGCCGCCATCGCCGGGGGGCCCGGTCTCTGCAGAATCGCTTCCCTCGAGGGTACGGGCCAGGGCTTAGCGCACCGACAGCCGGTCGTGGACTACTCGCACGAGTGCGGGAGAAGAAGTTGCCCCGTGAAGGACAAAATCTCGCGACCCGGCGATTCGAACCAGGCACCAAGTCCGCTGTTTGGGGGATCAGGTGACCCCCAAGCCACACACACCTCGCGGATGCGGGAGGTCTCCCTTCGGCCATGACAGCTGATGTTTGGTGGGGGACAGTCCTGGAGTGGTATATATTACTAACCCGTGGGTCATGGATCATGGAGCTGTCTCTTATCCGAGGCTACCTGTAACACTAACTAACCCCTCACGAGAAGAAGTAGGAAAGCAGCGTCTGCAACGGGGATGCAAGAGGATCAGACGGGGAGACTGAATGCATATAATGTTAGTTATCAATAATGTATTCGCGATAACTCACCATACCAATCAAGACTGGCTTTATATAACGATAATCTTCTGCGGCCACCCGCGGCAGGATGCGGGAAGAGGGAAACAAGAAGAGGCAGGTTCCTGTAGCTTGAGCAAGTAGTTCTACCGAGTAGTTCCACCAAGGAGTGACATACCATGGACGGGCCCATGGCTGGCTGGACCCTGTTTCTTCGCCGATTCTTCCCCGATTCCCTCGTTTCCTGAAGCTTGTGTCTCCCCCCGCAGCGGGACCGGGGGCCAATGTCTGACTCGGGGGTTGAGACCCTGGGGTTGGGGTTGAGACTTCCAACCTGAAATTCGGTGCTGGATAGCTGCTGGCTGGGTGATTTGCTGCTCCTGCTCCTATATTGGTACTTCAGGTGGTTGGCCGTGTATTCACTCTCCCCTACCCCACCTCTGCGATCGTCTCCGGGTGCGCGTTTGCTTTCCCTCCACACAGCCCGTGATTGCTTGATTGCTTGACTGATTATATTAGAAGCTTCCTCGCCTCGGGATTTCTCTCTTCTTTCATAATCAGCTTCTTCTGCTTCTTCTACTTTCCCCCCTTACCTTCACGCTTCTATTCCCACTCAGCTAGTATCCTCCCTCATCCATCCCATGGCTCTCTCCCAGCAAATCACTACCCCGACCTGCACCTACGAGCAGCCCCTCGGCCTGTGAGTCCTCCCTTGGGAATTTTAACACACACACACACACGTATATATATATACATATACATATATAGCTGACTGCCTTGCAAGCTTCATCAACAACGAGTTCGTCAAGGGCGTCGACGGCCGCTGCTTCGAGACCATTAACCCCCACAACGAGAAACCCATCGCTGCCGTCCACGAGGCCACCGAGAAGGACGTCGATGTCGCTGTCGCTGCTGCCCGGGCCGCCTTCAACGGGGCCTGGAAGCATGTCACCCCGACTAACCGGGGCCGCATGCTTATCAAGCTGGCTGACCTGATGGAACAGCACTGCGACGTCCTCGCTGCCATCGAAGCCCTCGACAACGGCAAGGCCTACTCCATCGCCAAGATCGACGTCGCCAACTCTGCCGCTTGCATCAGGTACTACGGTGGTTGGGCCGATAAGATCCACGGCAAGGTCATCGACACCGACCCGGAATCCTTCAACTACACCCGCCACGAGCCCATTGGGGTCTGTGGCCAGATCATCCCTTGGAACTTCCCCTTGCTCATGTTCGCCTGGAAAATCGGCCCCGTCATCGCCACCGGAAACACCGTCATCCTCAAGACCGCGGAACAGACCCCGCTCTCCGCCCTCTATACCGCCAAGCTCATCGTCGAGGCGGGCTTCCCTCCAGGAGTCATCAACATCCTCTCCGGTTTCGGCCGCACCGCCGGTGCTGCCATCGCCGCCCACATGGACATTGACAAGATTGCCTTCACGGGCTCCACCGTGGTCGGTCGCCAGATCCTCCAGGCCGCTGCCAAGAGTAACCTCAAGAAGGTCACGCTCGAACTGGGCGGCAAGAGCCCCAACATCGTCTTCAACGACGCGGATATCGAGAACGCCATCTCTTGGGTCAACTTTGGTATCTACTTCAACCACGGCCAGTGCTGCAGTGCCGGCAGCCGCATCCTGGTCGAGGAGGGCATCTACGACACCTTCCTCGAGCGCTTCAAGGCTCGTGCCCAGCAGAACAAGGTCGGCGACCCGTTCCACAGCGATACCTTCCAGGGTCCCCAGATCTCCCAGGTCCAGTTCGACCGCATCATGGGCTATATTCAGGACGGCAAGGCCTCCGGCGCCAAGGTCGAGATTGGCGGCGAGCGCCTGGGGAACCAGGGCTTCTACATCCAGCCAACCATTTTCAGCAACGTCACGGAGGACATGAAGATCGTCAAGGAGGAGATCTTTGGACCCGTCTGCTCCGTGCAGAAGTTCAAGAATGAAGAGGAGGCTATCGACATTGCCAACAACACGTCATACGGTTAGTCTTCTTTATCCTGCTCTCTTTACTGCTTTCGCTTCCTTCTCTTCTGATATGTCACTGACGATCGAGCTTAGGTCTTGCCGCTGCCGTCCACACCACGAACCTCAACACCGCCATCCGTGTCTCCAACGCACTGAAGGCTGGGTGAGTATTCTTTCCCCCGGTTTCTTCCATCTCCTGGGTGAACAAAACTAATAACTCCTCTCAGTACCGTCTGGGTCAACAACTACAACATGATCTCTTACCAAGCTCCTTTCGGCGGTTTCAAGGAGAGCGGTCTCGGCCGTGAATTGGGAGGTAAGCTTTGTTTTTCCCTTTTTTTTTTCTTTCTTCTTCTTTTTCACTTTGTTTAAAAAGAATAAAAAATTCTCCCTTCTGAAAATGGGCCCTGTCTCACACCCTTGCCTCTTTTTAGAATACGCACTCGACAATTACACTCAAATCAAATCCGTCCGCGTTCGCCTGGGTGATGCGCTTTTCGGTTAGGTAGTATGTTCAGGGTAAGCGGGGGAGTGACTTAGTTAACTAGTTGTATAACGTTATGATTTAATTATTCAGCTGACATATTCTGTACACGGGGAGTGGTTCTTTTCTTTTCTTTATTCCTAATTTTATTTTTGTTTAGCCTTCCATGTTCTGTCAATGGTGCATTTGTTCAAGGTTGCTAGCGGCTAGTCTCGGAGGGTTCTTCCCCAACTCAAATATCGTCTTACATCAGTAAATGTATGCAGGCGTATTCTTCTTCTTTTTCCCTTTCATTTTCGGGCATTCTGCTTCTCGTTTTGTGGAATGTGGGTTTTTTCCCCAAAATATTGAACATGGTTTTTAAAAAGCCGCGGCAGTGCTTGAAACCTGTAGAACCCGGAAACCACAGTACCCCGCATTGAAACTACATCCATGTCCCGCAAGCTTAAGCGGTTTAGCCACCTCGAATCCCAACCTACAGTGTAGTTAGTTCTCTTGAACGAAAACCAGAGAGTTGGTCGTAAACACGCTTGAGCAAACTAATACCAACATGCCCTGGAATATCATCTCTTCTTCCTTCTCCCTCCTCTTCTACTTGCCGATCGCCACCCCACATCTGCGTGGCGGAATTGGACCATCTGCCTAGGTAAACCAACTAATTTTTCTACTGCGTGGTCCGAATGACACCCCGTTAACAACCGCCGTTCTTATGCGAGAGAAAGAGAGAGAGAATGTTAACCTTGCTTTCATTCTATTGGAACTGAGGTTTCGGATTCGAACGATTTCATGGGTTCAGGTTGCGACCATGCTCATAAAGCCATGGAACCTTCCTTGCGCCTTGGCTATATTACTGTTACAGGCGATGGATGGCGTTAGCCAACCTTGCGTCTCGGGGTAAAAGGCTGGCGACATTTGTTCAAGAGGAGGATGCGAGAGTCTCTTAAGAAGGGGAAAACCATGGAGATTTTTATATTTTTTTGTTTATTTCACGTTTATATCGACTCTGCTGAATAGATAGATACATCCAAAGGGCTTGGTTTGAAGGAATGAGGGGGTTAACCATAACCCGATTCTGCATGTAAAAAGCGATGTCGAGGGGGGAAAAAGCGAAATACTAATCTCTAATATGAAGCGGACCGTGCGAGAAAGGAAATGTCCATCCCGAACGATGCTTGGGATGGTATGTGATGTTAGGAACATATGAAGTCATGATTTTCTTTTAAACCGCGGGAGACGGTATACATCTTCATAGACATCTCTTCCTCTGTATGTCTGTGGAACTAGAGCAGATCACATCCAAGTAGGGGCACAAATCCAAAAGCATGCTTTGCAGCGGATGGGCGGATCTGGCTTGTATACTGGCTTTGTATATACAGTGAACGGGAAAGGAAAAACTATATATTGTAAAATAGAAAATTTAAAGCTCGAGAAGTGTGTGGGTGCTCAAAACTGGAAAATGAGGTAAGAGTAGAAGAAAACAGAAGACGGAAGTAAATAACAAGGGCATCGCTTCATCAAAAAGTTCAAAAGCCAAGGAGAAAAAACGACGGGGACAAAGGTATAAGGAAATCTACAAGAAATACTCACTCTTCCCGGGCCTCACATTGGGCACATGTCTCATATCGTCCGGCACCTCCGAAAATAGTTTGAACATCGGCTTCAGGTCCTCGCGTATTTCGCACACTGATGCCATGTTACCACACCGGTAGCAGTAATTCGGCGCGCTCCATACGGTCACCACGTTCTGCTTCTGGAAGTGATATTTGTAGCCCTCATTTACGAGCTGGTGGGCGCGCGCTATCAGCGTTAGGTCATTCACTTGGCAAAATTCCTCCGCTACTTTGTCACCAAATAACCAGCCTAGATAAAAAGAATTTGGAAATTTGGATGTCAATCAATCGTTCTCTCTGACGAGCGTGTGGATGCATGTATACGAAGATGTGATTTAGAAACATACCAGCGCCCCTTGGGCTCACCGCCCACGTCTCTACGTCGTCCGGGTCCGACCAGACGAGATCGCAGAAGGCACCTTCATGTGGGATCTCTTGGGCCCTGGCAACAACGCGCACCTGGTCCAGCGTGCGAATCTCTGGACTTAGGCCGCCATGTACGCAGAGTACCTTCCCATCCACTATGGCCCCGAGGGTCATAAAATCAAACACCTGGCAGCAGGCTTTCCATACGGAGGCGTTGCCATATTTCTGAAAACATTCTTCGTAAAATCCGTAAACTTGAGTGATCTGCCGTGATTCGTGGTTGCCCCGGACGAGCGTAATTTTGTCTGGGAACCTAATTTAATTCAACAAAATGAAATTTTCTCACTGTCAGCGATATTTTGGGATAGATAAATAAATAAATCCGTCAGATAATGGGAAAGGGATACGGACTTGGCCTTTAAACAAAGCAATAAGGTCAACGTCTCCAAACTAAAATATCCTCTATCCACGTAGTCCCCCAAAAATATAAAATTCCCGCTGGGCATGCTGTTCAATTGTGATGTGTCCCCTGACTTATCATCTGGGGGAGAAGAAGGTCCGCTCTCATCTGCGTCGCCAGTATTCGCGCCGTCGACATTTTGCCTGATCTTCTTCCTTAATTTCGGATCTGTGATGGAGGATGGTGGCTCGATATTATCTGACGTGATAATAGTTGGTGGGGCCGTTGGAGATTCAATATTGCTGTCATTCGGCATGCCGCCTGCAACGCGGAAAAGCTCGAGTAGGTCATAGAATTGGCCGTGAATATCGCCGCATATTGTTACTGGGGCGGAAACCGGCTGGATGTTTGACTCTGCAGATTGAAGTGGGGTTTAGCAGCAATTCCGTAGTGACTGTGATCCTTTCTCTCAACGAGATAAGTAGGGAAACTCGGGATATGAACCTTCCATCATGAATTCCTTGACAATCTCACATAGCTGCTTCATATGATGTTCTGAGAGATATTTGCAATCTTTTGCTGCTTCAAGCCACTCGTCTGGGCCAGCGTTTCTCTTCAACCTGGCCGGGCCTGGCTGAGGAACGGATTTGTTTACCATCCCGGACTTAGATATCAATTTATTTTAAAAAACAAAATAGGATTATGGTGTTTCGTAATTCAGCAGAGTGTATTCTTCGATTTGCATTTGCGCGGCGGGAGTTCAAGTGGGTAAACTGCATCCAAGGTTATCAACCAGCCAGGCGATCATTCACTCAAGTGGTTCGCCCAAGGAATAAAGAATTGTCCGTATATCGTGGAGTGCATAGATAAATGGCTGGTTAAAAGATGATGTGAGTCTGGATCAAGCGAGCTGACAAGTATCACGGGTCTCCTGGCGGTGGGATTGGTAACTTACGTCACTGTTGTTACACCTTCGGTACGACGTAACTAGAGGTTATACAAGCATCAGCAACGTGGTATGGGCATGTATTTTTTGAATCTTGCGCGTAGGTCACTACATGTGTTTTGTACCCGTACATAGACAGATATCTTTGTGTATTGTGTAGTTCTATAGACATAGTAGACACCTTTCCTTTTCAGTCAATACGGATCTAATAAATTTGAATTTTTTATCTTCATAGCTCTCCCTCACATGACACTCAAATATCCGCAACACATAGGTAGTTAGTTGTGTATATGTAAAGATTTAAGATGAGTGATGTTGGAATCTCTTCGTGACCGAAGGGTAAATTGTGATTTATTTTACACATACGGCCATACAACATGAACGATGAGGAGAATGAAGTGTCTATCAAAAAGGTAAAATCGGGAAGTAATGTAGTATAGAGCCAGGAATCGAAATCAGGCCTCAGTCCTCCCTCTCAATCCTTCAACAACTGGTCCTGCAATAACTCACGTGCAGTCTTTCGTTCCTCGGGAAGCCATTTTAACACGGAGCGGATAAAGCGGAGAAATAAATAATTCCTTCTCTTGCCCGTCATATGAACTTCGGCATTCTCGAGAGAGCATCCTGTCGGTATGTCTACGGAGTCGTTCTCGGAGCCCATTTCCCTGTTTATTTCCCGCCGCTCCATTAAACGGGTATATAGTTTAGCCCAAAAGTACATGGGGTTATAAAGGAGCGGGGATCAGTTGGACTGAGCTTGTGTCTCTTTTAGGGCCCTTTCTTTATCTTGGCCTTTTCATGGAGGCTCTCACCTGTTTCGTCAAAGCAATTCTGACAAAACTCACTCCGCACAACAAATTCAGGAGGCGGGGGCCCGAGAAAGGCCACAATTTTGGCCATATGCGTATAGCGACAGCATGTGCCATTTCTATCAACAATGTTGAAGAGATGATCGCTCTCGAGGTGATCCCAAATCTGCCAATAAATGTTAGGAGGTTAATGGAGGGGGGGAGGGGCCAATCGAATAAAGTGAGACGCAGGGTGCTTTTTTCTCCGTGGTTTTGGTTGCCATACCAAATTCGGTACATTCCAAATGTCAACTTTGAAGTCACACGAGATCATGAAAGAGACCTCTGGTGCCCTGCATATATGCGGCTGCGCTTCTCCAATATTTGTGACTTTGTGAAGTTTCCCAATTCTGGCTTCTCCAAAGCCACAGAGGACCCGCGGACCCCAGTTGCTATCTGCAGGATGCCTAGGAGCGCGAGATGTATATACTGTTCTTGTTTTGTCGATGATTTTCCGCGGGGTTGGATCGCGGATCTCGTCCCGGCAGACGGGCCGCTCAGTTCCTGTCCGCGACAGAGAACACGATGTCGGATTTGAGATCTGCTTATTATGTTAACTCGTTGGTTTTAAAAGGGCCTGAATTGAGGCACCAAATTAGAGTAGAGAATTTTTTATTATTACTTGCTTGAAGCTTTGATCAAACATACATGTACGTACATGACATACCTGTATGCGCAATATCCGCCTCCGTATGCAAAAAGTCCAGCGCTGTCAAGGGGTATTGCAACACCAATTTGAGAAGAGTCTTATTTAGCCGTTTGCTTGGAGTTTTACGCATGAACTCCATTGAATTTAGATGCATGCGCCTATGAACCAGGCAAGAAGGTCGTCCATCGGGTTCTGACACTTCAAACATATCATAAATTTGCCGGATATATCGGGTACCATGGTGTGAGGACTTGATTGAGAGGAGGTGTGTATAGACCCGCACATCCTGGTCGTACTTGGAAGCTTCTGTTGTGTAAACTTTGAGGGAGACATCGATGGACCCCAAGAAACATGAGAAACCAACCCATCACGTGTAGCTGACGATTCTGTCGCGAGGGAATTGTAGTTTATAAGATCTAATGGCTGCTAACTGGTTTCATGCAGCGATGCTTGAAATATGATACTATGAAAGGGAGATTAGATGGGCAGAAAAGTTGAAGAAATAGGTGCATAGGAAGTCATAACCAAGCTTTCCCATAACTTGGTATTTAGAATTAAAAATTTCACCAGTACGAACTGGATAGAAGAGCTCTGGCTTGTATAGAGTAGAAGGATATTCTTTCTAATCTGCACAAAGGATCCTTTCAAATGCTTTGATTGGCACTAGTTAGGAATTTAAGTTGTAATATTGGAACTGGCATTAAGTATTTCCATTCCATTTCTCAACAAGATTTCCGGCTGGGTTGTGGTAAAAAGTCAATTTTGCAGTTCTGCGAGGGATCAAGATTGTGCCAAGAAAAATCCGAACCTGTTCAGAAATTTTGAACCTGTGGACGCTTTACAATACTGAGAAGGCTCCCTTTCGCGGAGTTGTCCTTGGTCCAAAAGCGCTTGACTAGAAAACCCTTCAGTGTTGTTGAAACTTTGAATGCCATCATGGTTCAAAGTTGAACAGGTCCAACAACATGATGTACAGCACATGTACAGTTCGATTTGTTAACCCTATTGACTTCAATCAACCTCAAAAACTATTGAGTCATGAGATGTCAACTCCTCTGTACCTTTTGTTGATCAGTGGTTTTACTAATGATCTAACTGTCTAATCTAATCTTCTATCTTAATCCTTACTGTAATGAAAACAAAGACCTGAGAGTGGTGAGTGTATTAGATTTCGGAACCCATTCAACCGTTGCCAGCACATCCTGCACTTCACTAACCGATTCACAGCCCTTCAATTAGATATATACTTATGATCGTGTTTCATCTGCTGCCCAGTTTCTGTGAGGTTACAGCAGATCAAACCTGTTATCACCTACGGGCTGATAGCCCTAAGATCACAGTATCTTTCTTCATAATAATCATCTTATGGAGTCTACCCAGTGTCCCTAAAACGCCGGCCACATCAATGGCTAACTGAGGATCGACATAGCAGAGGTTTCCCTATATGTAAATGCTAGCCACAGCATACAGTCACCTTGGAAGCGTCACTATTCCAACAAATGTTCTGTTAGCAGCTGCGCAGCCGTGAGCAATGAAGGGCAGATAATGTCTTTAGGGTTAGCTTTGTCTTCAAGTTGCTCACTTTTCTGCATCCGTGTTCCATGTAAACACAAATGAGCCGAGGAAAGCCCCAATCAGGATAGAAATGTAAATAAACCCATTGTAATACATTGCGAGGAGCATGATGAAATATGCAAGTCCGAATTGCATCGTGAACAACATAGACTTGGCAGTATGTTGAAGTAGGGACCGCGACAAAGGACGCTTTATTGCGTTGGCTGAGGTCTCGGTCGGAGATTCGAGGCCAGGGGCAGTTTGCTTTGGGCTTGTGATTACTCGTTGCAATCGTCCGGTATAGAAGTTGCTTTTCCCAGCAACGTATCTATCAAATTCATAGCTAGCACGCCGGAGGAATTGTAGGAGCATGACAAGAAGAATGACACCAATGCATGATCCTACAAACATGGCCGTGGAGGTAATTCTCCAATGGGATGAAACGAAACCTGAAGAACAGCCGTGTCAAAGAAAGGGCAGGCGGAAAAAGAAAAGGGAAATGAGTATTCACATAAGAATTGGAGGACTTACAGGCATTCAATACAGTCCAGTTCCAAAGCATCTGCAATAGCCATTAGTGTCTAATCTCCGGCCCATCATGATCAACCAGCAGTGATGTTCAACAAATATATTCAACCAGGACATACAGAAATCTTGCAGCCATTGCCCATTCCACCCATGTGCATTCCACCCATACTGCTGCCCATTTGCATTCCGGACATGTTAGCAGCAGCACTGGGGGTAGGCATTGGTGCCCCGCTTGACATGGACTGCATGTCCATTTTGATTTTAGATTGGCAGAGCAGTCAACAGAAAGCAATGTTCGAGCATCAAGTAGTGAGAAAGATAATGGAGGAGAGTAGCGAAATGTATCAGCTGTATGATGCCATCCTTTATATTATATTTATCTATTGGATTAAACGTTATGACTGGAGGTAGGTGAGTTTATTTGAGCAAAATACTTTAAGATAGCCCTAGAGCAAGCATTAAGGTTTAACGCCCCCCTTCGGGGGTTATATTTATGTAGGTTGTTAATTCGCTCAAATCTTCGCTCAGGGTCAAAGTCTAACGCGGATCTGACAGTTTCAGAGTCAAACTCTACAGGAACTCAGGAACTTAACGGCAAGAATAATTTAGGGAAAATAGGTAAAAGCGGATGCTATCTAATTCTTGAGATGAAATTGGAGGGACTAACAAGCCATCTTGTGAATTTATCCTCAACCTTTATTATATCATTTCCTCATCGTTGTCAGTGTCCTCCGCCACATTTTGCACCGTGATCACGAATTGTGTGTACTTCGGTGTTCTAATGATAGAGCATACACTTAAATGACCCAAATTTTCAGTGGGAAAATTTTCACCCACGGCAAAGTTGATCGCATGTTCAACTTTAGTGCTGTTGCGCATATAGAAACAAGCACTGCGGGCGAGAGGGACTTTACAGGCCTCAAGGATTAGCTAGGTAAAGAGTTATAAGCCTTAAGAATTAGGAACAAAAACATATTGATGTTATCATTCTTTTTCTGTAAATCTACAGATCTGTAGTTACATCTATTATTGTTTTTTAAAAGAAAATAAAGGAGCAGATGTTGGCATCCCTACCTAGGTATCGTTCGCTAGAACGCCATGCGACCACACGCTAGATATCTTCCATCTCCATCAGGTTATGGGCCCTTTGGTGCTTCAAGTGCCGTCAAATGCTTAAAATTTCAATCTAATTATTGATTCTGTGTTCTCTGTGATAGTGGATAAGCTGTTTTGGAGTAGAGTTATCAGATTAAATGCTTTAAAGAGGTCTTCAGCTGTCTCCGTGATCAAGTTATTTTGCAATTATGATACATACAATGTCCCTGGTATGCTTGCTGCCTCTCATATTGCTACAATTAATTGAATTTTGGCATCATGATGTAGATAGATGTCTCTAGTAGGCTTACTGTCTCTTATACATCTTACTGTGTTGCCTTCATAAGTTGCAGGTAACAAGGTCAAAACATGTCTTCTAGTTGAAGGTGTGATTATCTCTAATATCAATAGAAGTCATTGGCCATTCTCACGGTGAGAAGAAGGGTGAGAATCTCACCCTCCTTCATCCATGTATGTGATTAATTCTCTCTCTATTCAATACTATCATTCTATCAACTGCCAAATCGATCCTACTCTATATTTATGAGGTTTGCTGTAAATTCTTTGAAGAATTGACTAGAGTTAACTCCCCACCAGAAGCTACGCCGGTGCTAGAGTCAAGAGCCAGAAGAGTCTGTAAATGGTTGCGCTCATCAAATGGAGCGAAGCGAAGTTTGATTAGAATCGTTTTTATTACAGTGGTAAATTTCAATTAGAGTTTCTTAGATCGCGTGCAGTGGAGACTGATCTTCAACGCTAGGCCACAATTGGCTCAGATACACCCTATTCTGCCCGCCTACCTAACTGTTGGCCCTAGGCTGCCTATTACGGACTAGCGCGCCATATACATATGCCTCAGCTGCCTTCATGCTGATATACAAGCAACTACTTAGACGTCCGTGATATCCGATCAATTGCCAATGGAATATAGAATGCCCGCTAGATAGCTACCTATCTACCCCCTATCTATCAACCAACCTTCCTGCTCAGTATCCAATCAATCTCTATGAGAATACACATCACCCTAACCTAACCCTAACCCTAACATCAGTAGCCACCCACCTATCTATCAATATTAGCTTACTAGCTGGCTACCTGACTACTGACCCGCTGGAATGAATGAAGTGTTGGTGACGATGTTCAAAGGAGGAAGATGTAAGCAGCGGGTCAAGGGACTCGCCACTTATCTAGGGGAGGTCCTTAGAACTCTAAGATAATACAGTGTTATATTGGAAGGGATTCGGACCGAAGGATCAGATATCAAGGCAGTAGAATATAGGGGTCGGATTATATCAGAATGATTCACTGGCCCTTAGAAGGTTGGGCCAGCTGCTAGTTATATGCCCGTAATATCTCAGGTAGATCGAACCTGATATACCACCTTGATCCTGCGATGCCACGTCTTAGGGAAATTATCTGTTCTGGCCTAGCATTGCTTGCCTGCTTCGGCCTAGCGCTGCACCTTGATGCGGGTTTCTTATAGAAGACAGCTGGTTGTCCAGGCGGCCACTCCACTGCACGCGATGAACCCTATATACATAGTAGTTAGCTAGCTCCGACCACAACAATAACAAAATTAACCACCCCACAGAGTATATAACATGTGAATGGTGTTGATTGATGTTGTTTCATTGGCCATTTTAAGGCTCAGAATTTTGTCCAGAAAAGTCTCATCCCACTTCCTACAAAACCTTGGAACCAATCCCGCACACGTGACCTACTTATTCTTGGCTAGCTCACTCATGAAGATCGCACTTTGAGACAAACTTGGGCCTCATATTCACGACCACATCCTTCATTGAAGCGTGTACCATGGCGCCCCATTCTCCCAAACCATCATCTGCTGGCGTTTTACCTATCTCTCCGTTGGCCGCTCAGAGAGGATCATCGAACAAACCAAGTCCCAAGCCTGCGGCACCTCAGTTGAAGGTACTTATTCGAAGGCTTCCGCCTGGTCTAACGGCCCAGGAATTTGTAGCAGTCCTGGGCGATGAGTGGAAGGTCGGGAATGGTAAAGTTGATTGGTTTCGCTTCAAGGAAGGAAAGGTTTTTAAAGAGTGTGTCTTCCTATATTTTCTTCCTCTGAGCAAGGGTAACGGGATGGAATGAATAACAACCCATGATGCTAGCCCGGCAAAGCCTTCTCGACCTACGAGGGCATATCTACGTGTTACATCTATACCGCTAGTTGACGAATTATCCGAAAAGGTCCGGGTATCCGCATTTCAGGATGGACGGAATACAAGTCGTGATCCTATACTCCTTGGGCCACCTTCTCTTGAATATGCCCCTTATCCCCGTGTTCCCGGAAGTAGGGTTCGGAAGGATGGCCGCCAGGGAACAATAGACCTGGATTCCGACTTCATCACATTCCTTGAGAGCCTAACCAATCCCGTCACCAAATCTGTTGCTGATATTGCAGCCGATGATACAAGAGAGGAGAAACCAACAATAACACCATTAATCCAATTTTTAAAGGAGAAAAGGGCAAACAAGGGCAAGGAGACTAGTTCTCCAGCTAGACCTTCACGCCACAGTCGCGGCGAGGCGAGGGAAGGGAAGGACGCCAAGGTGGAACGGGTCCATGCTAGGAAGTTGTTAAGCCGAGCAGAAAAGGCTACTCCTTCACCAGGAGACAGACCTAAAATCGAGAGGGCTACTAAGCAATCCATTAAAGCAGTTAACAAACAGACTGCTAACCAAATGTCAAAGAAACCACGGAAGGCAAGTGAATCGCTGTCGCCAAAGGAAGAACGGCCACCCCCGACAGTAATCGCTCCAGAGCGCAGGCGAGAGCGAGGGAGTATGAGTGCCGCCACAAAAATTCTACGACGGGACCTTGGGCTTGCTCCGGCTGCTCCACGCAGAAGGGCCGAGAAGCTAGCTAACAGCGCAACCACAGAACCACCACTAACAGGTGAGGCTGACGGGGCTCCTGTGCATTCGAATGAGGATGGCAGCAAACGAACTTCCACGAAAGCCAGCAAAGAAGCTGAATCTACCAGGAAACCTGCACTTGCGAAACAGGCAAAGGGCGCACTACAACCCAGCGCAGTGACGGGCCGTAATACAAGCAAATCGGCAAACAGACCAGTGACCCCAACAACGGTTACAGTTTCATCGGTATCCAAGCACAATCCTACACTAGCCTCTGCACAGGCGGTTCCTCATTCTACCGCTACACAAGCCTTTTTGAAACATGCTAATCCATCCCAAGGGGTGACTGAGGAACTTCTTGTGGCCGGCTTTGCTACGTTTGGGAAAGTCGTGAAGGTGGAGATAGACAAGAAGAAAGGGTTTGGGTATGTGGACTTTGCGGAACCGGGCGGGTTGGCCAAGGCTATCCAAGCCAGTCCCGTCCAGATAGCACAAAGCCAAGTTGTAGTACTGGAGAGAAAATCGGGAGCTGCTGTTGCACAGGCAAGGGTGAATGCCAGCAATCGGCCGAGCCAATCTACCATGGGTTCTGCTCCACGGGTTGTGTCTAGTGGTGGAGGGCAAACGCCTTCACGACCGACTCGTCGGGGGAATAGAGGCAAGGGCGGGTCTAAGGAAACCGGAGTGGGCGGAGGAAATGCTGGTAGCAATGCTGGTGGGGGAAATAAAATCGGCACCTCTAAATGAGAAGAGCGACAACATTCATATCTAGTACTTTAAATGTATTATAAGACACAAAATGATGTTATCGTACCAACGGGAGGATAGTTGAGATTCACCTATTGCGACACAGGAATATACATAACGTAGGTCGTTGGGATTAATTCCCCATAGTACAGTACAATTAAGAGGAAAAATATCTTGCTCCATGACCTCAGTAATGGACGGTCAACAGCACCGTATGAGATTTACGAGAATGAACAGAGTAGCGCAAGACGAAACTAATTTTCCTGAAATTGAATTCAAATTTCAAATGGTTTCTCTATACAGTGACATAATGTGCTAGCTACAGGCCTGATAAACTCATGAAAAAAAAACCCGACAGATAAAATCGGGGAAGCAGCAGAGGGGGGAAGAATAGCGTAGGACCTTTCAGACCTCCACAGTGCCCACCAAACCAGGCCGACCGAAGTCAAGACGCCAGGGCAAGGTCAAGATCATCACCACTCCCTTGATCGAGACAAGTATACGAAACAGTGGCCGAAGCCTCCAGCATCATATAACCCGTAGCGATGCGGACGAGAGTATAACAGGTTTCACTCTAGGGCGCTGTGGACATGGTGGTCATCAGCAAGGTTGGGGATTCAGTCGCTAATGCGAAAAAATCAGGTGGGACGATTTACTATAGAAATGATTCTCTGTAGATGGGTGGATTAGCAACAGTGTCATTGTAGAGGGCGGGTCGGAAAATTGAACAAATGTAGGGGTTGCTTACTTGAAGTAAAGTCGACTGGTTTTCAGGAAGAGGACCGGGAAGGAGGACGTTTATATACTTTTCGCAACATACACTAGCCTCACGCTAGGCGTAAGCGAGTTCCATATTAGGCAATTGGGGAGGGCCGCACTGAGTTAGGGTTTTGTACATCATGTGGCTAAAAATTTTGTTGGACGTCCTACATGTGAGGCCACTAGGGCAAAAGAGCTCAATCACCACCAGTACCATGCTGCCCAACAGTTATTATCTATCTACTCCGTAGTGGCTCGCGGTAATAATGGATTCTTCCATTTGTGTGGTGGGTCACGTGGGATATGGCTTGTGTCGGACCTTCAACAAATTTTCAGACAAACAAGGCCAAACACTGCAAAGGGATCAAATAATATTATATAATCAGGAATATCTTCAACCCCGCCCGTTGACAAGTTGATTTGAATTTTCTTTAGTTGAGCTCGTTAAATAACTAGTCAAAGGAAATTGATACCTGAAATTTTACCTGGGCGCCTTCATTTTCTCCAGGACGGGAAATAATTTGTATCCGCTTGTTTGACCGGAGTAGGCGATAGAACACATAACAGAATGGCTGGGGATGTCTTACAGATATTTGCACAGCGTATTTATTATATATCTACGTATTTAGTTCTGTGTGGTATTGCTCACTATTTTTACAGGACTTCTCACTTCGTGGCATCGATATCGAATCCCAATCTTCTTTCTCGCGGCTGTGGTTTCCATCGTCATATGGCTATCCACACGATATCATAAACGCAATACTCCATTATCTGACTCTCTTTCTCCCTGTCAAAGCGAGGAGCAGAATCAAAATGACAAAGCTGAACCCTGTCGAGTGGAATCTCCCTCCAAGAATGACCCAGCAGCTGCCTTTTATCCCAACAGCGATCATTCAGGGTCCTCCATTGAAAGCCAGGTTAGACAAGCTAAGCAATCTGCCAATGGGCCTAAGAGGGTCCATGGAAGCAAGCCAGTGAAGAGAGGCGCCAATAACAGAACCAATCCTGGAGAATTATCGCGGGACATTAACATCCAGCCTATGGTCTTTTACGTCTCGTTGACTGGCTCTACTGAAGCATATGCCAAATCATTTTGCCATAGACTACAGAAAGCCACCCACGCATTAATAGAGAATCATAGTAAAACCGCCATCCTGACTCCGCAATTACACGATCTGTCGTATATCGAGCTCGACGACTACTTCATCGCCGCTCCAAAACCGCCAGACTCAGCTCCGAATACTCGATTTTTTTACTGTATTTTGATCCCGACCTACAACATCGATACGATGATTAATACGTTTCTGGGGCACTTGGATGATACACATAATGATTTCCGCATCGATACGTCGTCCCTGTCGGGGCTTGCTGGGTATTCTGTTTTTGGCTTTGGCGATCGTGAGGGCTGGCCCTCCGAGGAAGAAGGCTTCTGTTCTCAAGCAAGAGATGTAGATAGGTGGATGGCCAAGTTGACGGGCAAAAAGCGAGCATATCCGTTAGGAATGGCTGATGTGAAAGGAGACAACACCCAAATGGTTTTGAATGATTGGTGTGACGGGTTGAGCGGTATTATGTTCGACCTAATATCGTCTGGAGGGTTGGGCGAAGGTTTCCCTGGAAGCGGTGATCCCATTGAGAGTGACGAGGAAGATATTCGTGATGGTGAAGAAAACGACGAGAATGGCCAGAGCCTTCGGAACAAGCGTAAGGAGGAGCAGATTGTGGACCTTGAAGACATTAAGTTCGGCGTTACCGACGGCAAGGGAACATCCACTGATCGTCAACTATTGCCCATCGATTTCACGACACATTCCCACCCTCAAGCTTCAAAACCTGTGTCTCAGCCTCAACTTGAAATGGTGCCCACCTCGTCACCCACCTTCACCGCACTGACAAAGCAAGGATATACAATAGTTGGCTCACATTCGGGAGTGAAAATATGCCGCTGGACCAAGTCCGCTTTGCGAGGACGTGGCTCTTGTTATAAAAATTCTTTCTACGGAATTAAATCCCATCTTTGTATGGAGACGACACCATCGCTCTCTTGCAGTAACAAATGTGTATTCTGTTGGCGCCATGGAACGAACCCAGTTGGAACTACCTGGCGCTGGAAGGTTGATCCCCCAGATCTCATTTTTGACGGAGTAAAAGCGGGACATTACAAGAAAATTAAAATGTTACGTGGTGTCCCTGGTGTTCGAGCTGAGCGGTTTGCTGAAGCAATGCGTATCCGACATTGCGCCTTGAGCTTGGTTGGGGAACCAATATTCTATCCTCACATCAACGAATTTCTCTCTCTCCTTCACAATGAACATATTTCTAGCTTCCTTGTATGCAATGCGCAACATCCGGATGAGCTTGCGGCACTTCATCGTGTCACCCAACTGTATGTCTCCATCGATGCAAGCAACCGCGATAGCCTTCGGAAAATCGACCGCCCTCTTCATCGTGACTTCTGGGAAAGATTTCAGCGCTGCCTCGACATACTACGAGAAAAGAGATACCTCCAGCGGACTGTTTACAGGCTCACGCTTGTCAAAGGTTTTAATGTGGATGAGGAAGCAGTTGGATATGCTGACCTAGTAGAAAAGGGTCTTCCCTGCTTTGTGGAAGTCAAGGGAGTAACCTTTTGTGGAACAAGCACGAGTGCCAGTGCTGGGCTAACTATGCAGAATGTTCCATTCTACGAGGAAGTTGTTGCTTTTGTCGTTGCATTGAATGCCGAGTTAACCCGGCGCGGCCTTGGGTACGGCATTGCGGCTGAGCATAAACATAGCTGCTGTGTGCTGCTTGCGTCAAATCGGTTCTATGTCAACGACAGGTGGCATACAAGAATTGACTACGACAAATTTTTCACACTGCTGGAAAAAGAGAAGAACAATGGCATATCATTCCGCCCTGAAGATTATATGAGGGAAACTGATGAATGGGCGTTGTGGGGAAATGGAGGTTTTGATCCGAATGATACCCGTGTTTACACTCGAGGAAGAAATAAGGCAAAGTTAAATGCCGTTCTGAAAGCATCAGAGCAAAATGCCACTTCTGTTGAAGGCTGAGGTTGAAGGCTGAGGGGTTACAAGCGAGGCGATTCAAAGTATTTCTTGATCTGCGCATGAGTTTTAGTGACTTGTGAAATGTGGATTTGAGAATGTCGCCTTTTGGGGGTCCATGAGGGATTTCTCGCTAGCTCCCACTTTCTATTGTAGGAGTGAGGTCCGGAATTTTCGCCCCTTCGCTGGAATATAGTACTGGATGTCCATTTAACGTGCGAATAGCGACTATTCTATTAGGCAGCCCCTGGGCTACCGCTTTGACATCATCGGGAGCTGAGGCTGCAAGGCCAATTGATATTGCGACCGTCGCATGCTCGTTAGCGACCTTTCCCGGAGACAAGAAGGGGTGAGCGATGGAAGTTGTTATAACGATCAGCTTCGGCGACAACTTGGTTACGTTCACGAGTCTCCATTATTGAAAGCGATCTCTGTTTGATTCGAAACCATGTGTAAGCAAACAGGAGAAATTAATATATTCCCCGTAAATAGGTACAAGAGACAACCAATTTAAACTAACTTCTCAATCCATCTCTGCTTTTTCTACCCTCTCAACTATGCAAAATTTTGAGCTCCGAGTTTCGATCGGTATATCCTTCCGCTGGCCCTGGTAGCACACTGGGCTCGCCAGCATCCAAGCTTCAAGCCAATAATTTTCTCGGAAGTTTTTTCGTGAAGCGAGCCATTATGGAGCTGCGTGTACTATTCAGGACTCTGGTCGGCTTTCTTCCTCGGTTTGGGAAGGACATGATGGGTATCATATATCAGCCCGAGGAAGATGACAACAAAACTCTACTCAAATATCCATTTTCGAGAATAGAGGATGTTAATCTTCATTCACACGGATGGCGTATTTGCGTCACTTTAACATGTTTCTGATAGACAGCTAGAACGCGCGATGATTGACAATTGACAGGCATGACGAGATTCCCATCGCGCAGGGTTCGAACGAACTTGAAAGGCTGAAATCATGTATGGTCATCCCATACTTGTAGGTATCTATATCTATCACCCAAACTGAACGCCTAATAACTTTAACTCCAATGCTAAATATATCAACCAATACACTAAAGGCTTATGCTTGGACTCAATTTCGCGAAAGATTCCAGAGTGAAACTTCTTCTCTTCCCGAGTGTTTATACCGAGATCAACGGAAAGAGCCTTTGGCGCAGCTCCCGCCAAAGGGCCTGCTGGGTTAGCTGGCCCCGCTCAACTGCATCGCGATTCTCATCTGCCCGCCGCAGCAAGTACATCATACATTCCTCTATGGTTCCCCATACGGCATATTTAAAGACCTGGATATCCTCTTCCATAACGTTCTGGACGATAGGGATGTATTGTCAGTTTGCCAGTTTATCTTTTTTATTTTTATTTTTCTTAATTAACGGCAGCCCTGAAAGAGCCCGTGGGGCGGAGGGGGGGCAATTTACCTCTCTTTTCTGTATGAGATTCAGAGACAGTTCGTCAGCCATGCCCATCAGCTGAGAATATACAACTTCCGCCAGGGGTAATTGTTCTTTCAACTGTTCTTGCCGCAGCTTTCGCATCATTTCCACGCTTTGCGCATTATGGGTGGCAAGCACCAATCCAACTTTGGGCGCAGAGGGACCACTAAGATGCTGCGTTGCCAGCATGTGTGCGGCATCGTTGTACGCGCGGTCCGTGTCTTCTCTGGTGTCGTGAATCAAGTGGCGTGGGTCGCTTTTGAGGTATGCCCCGCGAACTAGTTTTACACCTAAAGTGAATTTGCCGGAGCGTGCGCGCTCGAGGTGTCTTGCAAGAGTTGCGGTGGACTCTTTTAGGTACCTGCTTCCAAGTCAGCAATGCGAAACCGGGCTTGAGAATTCGAGCAGTGCAGTGAGGCCACGGACATTTGATACGTGTTGTACACGACCAATCTTCCATCTTGGTTGTATTTTTCCATGAGATCCATTGTCCACGAATCAATCCCTGCTTGCTGGGAGTGATGCTCGGCATCGATTAGCAACCTAACCCCCTGGGATTTAGCGGATTCGCAGATCTGGGTTACAGCTTCTGCCATGGTTGCATCTGGTGCCATTCCGGCTTCGAGCAACCGTACACATTCCGGGCCTGCACCTGTGAATTTTAACGCAACGAAGTCATCAGGATTTGAATAGCGAACCCCTTTCAGGGTTCCATCCAGCCACTGAGCAACGCGGCTTTGATGCTGATGTCTAGCTTCGCTGGCATCTTCAGCGGCATTCAAGAGATCTACCTCACGAGCATATGATATTATCATGCCCTTGAACCCAAGTGCCTTGAGGTCCTCAACTGTCTTCTTGATCTCGGTTTCCGTGCTCCCCGCACAGAACTGTGCGTAGAAGAACTTATCCAGGAAGAATCTCAGCAGCATATTGCCCGTCAGCATTTGGATATTGCGCTGAGCCAGGGCCGAGGCGGCGTCCACGATATACGGATGTGACATGGCGGCCTGCATCACGATACTCCTAAGCAGCGCCGTCAGAGGCACCCGTTCCATGTCACGATGACGCATGGGATACTCGTTGGGAATGACTGGGTGAGGGGTGTCCCATGTTGCGCTTGTTAGAGTCCGCCGTGGCCGGGAGGCAGGCAGATGGATTGACCGGGAGAAGGGGATTGGCCGTGGGACCATATATTTCAAAGCGGTGATGCGGCAGGGAGAGCAGAGGCGTTGATGGACCATATTTGAGAACATAAGGTGGAATATGGAATGATGAGCAAAGAGCGAGAGAGTGTATGTGTGAGAGGGAGAGGGGCTGTTGGAGGGATCACCGTGACCATGGAGAAAATAATAAGAAAATAAATAGTTAGCCCTGGGGGCTTATAAAGCTGGCACTCCCAGTGGCAACGATACGGTCCTTTCTCTTTCTCTTTGCTTTCCCTTTCCTTTTTGTTTTTTCTTTGCTTATTTTCTGATCTTTCGTGTCTTTTCCTTTGTTTTTCTGTTTTCGCATGAGGGGGTTGTTGAGAAACGAGTCGATAACCAATCTTATCCGGCTGCTCTCGTTTGGCAGCGGAATGGGGCCACACTGCAGCATTGACTAGGCGAGCGTATCCGAGAATATGCATGGAATTCCAGGGTGGGGTCATGTGACGCCCCCCGTTGCTGATCCGGATCTCGGACAATGGCCCAGGAGTGGCTTTTCTGATCCCTCCCGTGGAGAATGAGCTCTTAGCAATTGCGAGTGGGGGTTACTGCGTAATGACCGTGGCCCTTTCTGCGGGGCAACCTTGGGGAAGTTGTTGATTTTCCATCTTAGACCCCATTTCTCGATGGTACGGAGTAACAGAAATATATGAGATGGTCGGTTCTTACGCTGGCCAGTGGTGTGGAGCAACCGGTTCTTGAAAAGAGCTGTCTGGAACCCTGCTCACCGGAGGCTTGGGTTGGGATCGCGCTATGGACAGCTTATCTGCTTAGCGGGAGGGGGTTGTAGCTTGGCGCTGGGCGTTGTCTGGCGCCCACAATAACAGCCACTCCACACTGCACTGATGCAACAGCTGCCAATCCCGCTGCCCTGGAGCATGCTTACAAGTCTGATAGAGAGTCAAAGTCGAGCATGGGTTTGAATACTGGTTTGAGAATACAGGGTCGGGTTGGCGAGCTTACAGGAATAAAGAGCCTCCAGTCTATGGCAATTTAATCATCGTTTTTCAGGTCTCGGGGGTTCCTTATGAAGGCCTGCAGGGCATGGGGACGGGCGACAAAATGGGCGGGGCCCCACTATTTCCAAAATTCCGAGGCCCTTGTGCCAAGTAATTCCCTTATTGGCCATGGCAGCTTTGGTGGTGCCCCCAAATGCCCGCATCCTCCTCCGTTACGGATCTTTCTCCATGACGGCTGTTCGGTTATCCCGACCTAGTTATATTCCATAGTTATATATATATATATATTTCCCCCTTCCCCTTGGTATCGTTTTTGCAGTTCTGTTTCCAAATCTTTGGCATCCATCCTCTTTTAGCATTATATCGTCCCCCGATACGCATACATACGCGGGCATCATGCACAGGCTGCGTAGACGCCAAACCCTCCCCCTAATCTCTCGGGTTTCGCCGAAGCAAGCCTTTCCCATTACTTCCACCCCACAGTTGGCTCGTAGTTTTGGCAGTTTCGCAGGCTTCAAAGTTCCCAGAGCTCGGAATGAGCCAAATGTAGGTCAACCCAATGAGGGGGGAGCCCATTTTTAGAGAGAGTTGTTTTACATTTTTTTCCCATCGGCTAACTGAAGATTATCCTACATATAGCCACAATATGGCAAAAATTCGCCGGAGCGGCTGGGCATAGAGAACACCTTGAAGTCCATGAAGCAAAAACTCCCTCTCCAGGTCCCCGCTGTGATTGCAGGTCAAAATGTGAGTTAGTTTATCATCGCTACGATAGCAGTAATAAAATGCAAATAATAAGAATAATAAAGAAGACGAAGAAGAAGATGAAACCTCCAATGGCCTTGTTTGCTAATCATTTTATTTCTTTCAGGTTAAATCCTCCAAACCATCGCGACAGCCAAACCCATCCGCGCACGCTGAAGCGGTGGCTGAATATTATAATGTCTCAGAAGGGCATGTCAGCCAGGCAATCGAAGCTGCCTTGAATAGCAAGCCGGAATGGGAACGGCTTAGTTTCGCAGACAGAGCAGCGGTTTTCCTCAAGGCCGCTGATCTTGTGGCCGGCAAATATCGCTACGATATCATGGCCGCCACCATGCTCGGCCAAGGCAAGAATGTCTGGCAGGCGGAGATAGATGCTGCTGCGGAACTAGCGGACTTTCTTCGTTTCAACGTACAGTATGCCGAGGAGCTCTATGCGCAGCAGCCACAGCACAACTCAAACGGTGTCTGGAATCGTATAGAGTACCGCCCGTTGGAAGGATTTGTCTACGCTATATCACCGTTTAACTTTACAGCCATTGGAGCCAACCTGTGTGCTGCGCCTGCACTTCTGGGGAACGTTGTCGTGTGGAAGCCGTCACCGTCGTCCATGGCTGCGAGCTATCTCACGTACCAAATCTTCCTCGAGGCTGGCCTTCCGCCCAACGTGATTCAATTCGTGCCTGGCGATGCTGAGATGGTTACCAAGGTTGTGCTTGGTCATAAAGAATTTGCCGCGCTCCACTTCACAGGAAGCAGTACTGTGTTCCGCTCATTGTATGGAAAGATAGCTCAGGGGATTGCGAATAGCTCCTACCGGAGCTATCCTCGCGTTGTTGGCGAAACGGGCGGCAAGAACTTCCACCTGATCCACTCTTCCGCGGATATTAAAAATGCTGCCACGCACACTGTCCGTGGCGCTTTTGAGTACCAGGGTCAAAAGTGCAGCGCAACATCTCGCGCCTATGTTCCTCAATCCCGCTGGGAGGAGTTCAAGTCTTTACTGGTGAGTGAAACTGAAGCTCTCAAGTCTGGCCCACCAGAAGATTTTAGGAACTTTTCAGGACCTGTGATCCATGAAACGTCCTTCAAAAAACTTGCTGGAGTCATCGATGCTGCTTATAAGGACTCTAGCCTTCAATTGCTTGTGGGCGGGAAATACGATGGCAGCAAGGGGTATTTCATCCAGCCTACTATCTACGTCACGAATGATCCTCACCACAAACTCATGTCTACCGAGCTGTTCGGCCCCGTCCTCGTTATCTATGTTTACGATGATACTAAAGCCCCCGCAGAGGCATATGAGAAGGTCTGCCAGACCATCAACGCTACCTCAGAGTACGGTCTCACTGGATCAGTTTTTGCTGTGAGACGCGATGCTATCCGGTACGCGGAAGAAGCACTGAGGGACACAGCTGGCAATTTCTACATCAATTGCAAATCGACAGGCGCTGTGGTCGGGCAGCAGCCATTTGGTGGTGGACGCCAGAGCGGAACAAACGATAAGGCCGGCAGCGCGGCCATTCTTAGTAGGTTCGTGAGCATGCGGTCGATCAAAGAGGAATTCTCGCCACTTTCCCAAGCGACGTACCCTAGCAACGAGGTATAATAAAGCTCGTCACATTTTGTATTTATATTTCCTCCGATAAGTTGATGCTTCGTATGAAGCTGCGAACTGGGCATCAAGGTTACTGACGGTTCGAGCCGGAGAGTCCCTGAATAATGAGCTTTAGATCCTGAGCTGCTACATCGCTGTAGTAGGCTGAAATAATTGGGGGCATGGATAGTTATTGCACCCAAGATGTTTGGTACCGGATTGCAGATTGTGGTTATGTGCTAAAAGTATTCTAGATTGGTTAGGAGAAAGGCGCAGAGTAGATGCGCTAATAAGTGAAGAAGTTGGTGTCTGACACTCGACACACTCCGCGTTCTTTACGTAGTAGAATTTTTCAAGGAGGGTACAAATTCCACGTCATTGTGGGGGTGTGTAATCGGAATTGACCTGCGATTGGGATATTTCCAATTCCAATTCCGCCCCCAAAACAAAAAACGAGAAACAAGGCAAACATTGGCCAAAAAGTGACGAGAGTGGGATTCGAACCCACGCCCCTTTCGAGACCAGAACCTTAATCTGGCGCCTTGGACCGCTCGGCCATCTCGCCTAGCCACAGTGACGCAATGTTATCATTTTTTCATTTCTACTTTCTCAGATTCAATGTTTCATCTTATTTTATTGATTTTCACTGTGATTGACGCTATTTCTATTGATTGATTTATTTGAAGGGTTTTTTGATTCTAAGCTGAAATTTTATTTTATTAGACAGAGCGAAGCGAAGTCTAAGAATCATAAGGGGACAAAAGTTACTTCATTTTATAGCTGAAATGATTGGATGTCAATCTTTGCAACAATGTGGGTTAAAATTCAATGATATTAGTGATGTAGAGCAGATTTCTGAGCCTCTGATTGATCAAAAATCTCCACTTTTATTTATGCCGTGGAGACGGAACACTAGGCTGCAATTGGCTCAGATAACCTCTATTCTTCTCCCTGCCTGCTTACCTACCCATCTGTCGACCTATCTGCGCGATATTCAATCAATTGCTAATAGAATAGAGAATGCTACTCACCCATCTACCTACCTGCTCAATATCTGATTAATTGCTGATGGAATTGAGAATGCTAGCTAGATAGCTGTCTATCAACCAACCTGTATGTTCAATATCCAATCAATTTCTATAAGAATAAACATCATCATCTAGCTAGTCATCTATCTATCAATACTACTCTACTAGCTGACTATCTGACTACCTGTCTATCTATCTGCTGATCTGCTTGAATGAATGATATCCACTTATGATATCTGTCAACCGTATCTAGCAATGATATATTTCAATGATATCTATCAATGCTGTGGCGGGCATGCTGCCGATTAACTAGGCACTACCTTGGTTGCGGATTGTATACCGTTCGTACCACCTGCGCGGTTCGTACGATCTATTGCAACGGGAGTACCAACGGACTAAGGCACTATCCTAAATACAGATTACGATGATATATACGAGGATATTTATAATGATATCTACCATGATATATACCGATGATATCTGCGATGATATCTAGCGATCATATCTATTGATGATGATATCAACATAATGAATAATATGCCCGCATCTTTGCTCCATTCTCCCAAGCTGCATGTTTCATGAAGCTTCTTCTATAGAGTGTTCTGCCTGAGCTGTTCAACCCTTTGAAGCAATTAATGATGCCTTTCATCCCCTGGGATTTAGAGGATCGTTTGCCTACCCTTTGAAAGGGGGTGCTAGAGGCAGCCTGCCCCTAGTAATAATAGGATTCAGTTGATGAATCAATATTACATTAATTATTTAAGATATATACAATACTCTATTTTATAACTGTAATTTCAGATTATAGTAAACTTCATATTCAAAGATTTCAGTTTCTCTCTGAATATATATATATATTTAAATGTCATCATTAAATTTAACTATTGCAGATGTAAATTCACTCTGTTTTATAATAATGATGAAATGGCGGGCGTTGGGTGGTTGATTACGTTACCTAGTAGTAGTACGGCAGTAGAGTCCCGTGACCACTCAGTCATGTGCTCCCGCTGGTTGCCTTCAACCAGAGCGTTTGAGGGATATCGGCCACATCTGCTGTTCGATCTTGTAATTTCTTCCCTTTTTGAGTGCTGGCGATCAATCCGGCGCCGTACATCGGTTAGTCGGCCATGTCTACCGCTCCGGTTCGTGTCCACAAGCGGGCTTATCAGGTATGACCCTCTGAGACGGATTGAATGAGAATGCCATCAGCATTTTGCCCTGTTTTTGTTCATCTCTACTTTCATAACATGCTTCTACGTAATGGTTTTTGGAATTTATATGAATAGCCTGATAGGTTTATTTATAGGCTTGCATTCCCTGTCGCGAACGTAGAGTTCGTTGCGACCTGGGATCCGTTGACTCCCCTCATGATGGCCCATGTGGAAGATGCCGGCGGGAACGGAAATTCTGTCATTTCTCCGCTACTAGAGGAAAAAGGAAGGCATCGACAACATCAGGAATTTCTCGACAAACTACTCAACAGCCAGCAGAGGGTTATCTGCCTCAGTCTGAGCGACCTAGTCCTCTTGCTAGTCCGTATGGCAGAAGCCTCGATGAGTTTAACCCAGTGGCCAATTCTCTTGTAGCACGGGGTGGTAATGGTAGTCAAATCAGAATACCTCAGGATATCATACGACAGATGACGTCCGGCGATTATCGACCCCAAAGTGGCTCGTATGGTGGTGAGAAAACAGTAGCAGCTCTCCTTCGTGACGCTGCCTACACTTCTCATGACGCCCTAAAGCTTCTTTGGGAAGCAGGGAGACATAGCGAACGAGAGCGGGGAATTGTACCTGGCACCGCAACATCTGCAAAACCTTCCGAAACTACCAGCGGGCCCTTGCGGCCATCTGTGACTTCATCAAGGAAGCACAGCTCTGGGACCGACGATCCCCGCCAACCTTGGTCGAATTTGCGTTTTGTTCGAACAGGCCTTTTTACTGCGGAGGAAGCCATGGACCTCGTCAACTATTTTCATGCTTACCTCGCGCCATTTACCCCTGTTTCGTCTTCCTCCTTTCAGGACCCATCCATGCATCCAACCTTGCTGGTCGAAGAACCCATTCTTGCTGTCACAATATTGATGCTGGCCTCTCGGTACATGAAGCTCTCGGGTCCCGGATCGATTTCTAGGTCTTATATGGTTCACGAACGCCTATGGCAACATCTACAGGGAATGATTTCTCGCATGATATTTGGCCAAGAACAGTTCGCTGGTGCTACCCATGATAACGGTTCCTCAACTGATTTTTCCGGCCAAGCTGCTGAATCCGCTCTTGCTGGATCGACCTTTGGAAGTCTTCGCACCTTGGGGACGTGTGAAGCTTTGCTTTTGCTATCTGAATGGCATCCTCGCTCCCTGAATGTTCCAGCTGGTGATGACGGAGACAGCATAATTGTGAAAGATGAGGTCCGACGGACCCGGGCCAGCACTGCCGGAATTGGTGGCCGCATTCGAATTGACTGGCTCGAACCTGTTTGGAGATCGGATCGGATGTGCTGGTCCATGCTGGGGAATGCGCTGGCGCTTGCGGTTGAGCTTGGTATCTTCGATGAATATGATAACACAACCATAGGAGCTCGGGAATCGCGCCGGGATATATGGAACGACCCGTCCTCGAGCCAGCGAGCATATCGCGTACAGCATTTACTTTGGGTATATCTCACCCAGACCTCGGGAAGGCTAGGTAAGAGTCTCATTTCTTTCGACCTATTGAATTTTGATCAAATGCTCACAATTGTAGGGTGGAAAAATCTGACGTCGGTATCTGTAAGCCACCATGAGGCTAGTCTGAAGCATGGTGATACTATTCGATGTTGGATAGGAGTTGCCTCGCTCATGAAACGAGGAAACGAGCTTCTGTTTACTTCTCGAGAGAGAACAAAGGAGATGGTTCGAAGTGGTGAATATCTTGCAATTCTTCGTATTCTCAACCCTTTGCTTAGGGAGTGGCAGATGGAGTTTGATCGAGCAAAACGTAAGTTGATTTGCGGGCATTGTCAAAAGGCTTTTGACATGTACATTATGATCTAACGTGTTTGTGGACAGTCTCAAAACCGATGCGGGCCATACTTTCGATAGAGTATGGATATGTTCGAGTGTCCATCAACAGCGTAGCTCTTCAAGCTATTATTGAGCACCGTAGCCGCGTTACCAGTGACGGTACAGATATGCGAGTTTCATCGGTGCTTAATACCTCCGAAGGAAATAGTGAATATTTTATGGAAGTGGTTCTTGCCGCTCGCTCCATTCTGCAAACAGTCGTGGACGATCTCGTGCCCAACGATCACCTACGACATGTTCCCATACGAACCTATTCGAGGATCCTCGCAGGAGCGATGTTTTGTCTGAAGGTATGTGATTAACACACCATTGGATGGGCGTTCCAATTTTGCATTCGAGAAACTAATTTCAATTGGTTCAGGCATTTGCCCTTGGAGATAAGGATGAAGAAACTGTGGTCTCACTCGAGTTAGTTGAGCGTACCGCAGATGCGCTTTGTACATGTGTAGTGGATGACGTTCACTTGAGCAACCGGTTTGGTGAACTTCTCTCGGCGTTAGCAACAAGTCTTCGAAGTCGGGTTATGAGAGCCATAAGAAATGACAATTACCAAAGCGAGAATATGACTCCCGGTAATACTCCATCACAACGCCAAGATGGAGCTACTGCAGATATTCCTACCACCTCTAACCCTAGCTCTTACGACCCACCTGCCGACTCAGCAGATACGGAACCTATGGTGACCCCGAAGCCAGATTACAATTTGCAAAACTCATCAAGTGTCCCTGCAGCAACTGGCGAACCAAGCGCTTATCAGCCTATCAATCCAACCAATGGAATTTTCGAGCAAAGCTCCTTTCATCAGGATCCTCTGATGAGCTTCGCTGGCTTAGGCCCAAATCAGCTGGGGTGGTCGGGTGGGCAGGATTTTTTTGACATGTTGGGTCCTTTATTGGATGTCCAGTATGAGCAATATCGCTAAAAGCGGTCGAGGCTGTTTCCTCTGGTAAAATGACCAGACTATGTCGAATATCATTTGAGGAGTCCGAATACCTGTGGCCTGGAAACTAGTTGACATGGCATGACACACGGATAATGATCCTATACGCCATCGTTAGTATTGCATGTCGGCCGCTTATTCACCGAAACCAACATGTTTATAACTGACAGCATGATTAGGAAAGCGTTAGATTTAATTGATCCCAGGGCTTAAAAACTCGAGACAAAGTTATCGCCAACCCCGAATTTTAGATACGGACTAACATGACGCATTTGCAGAGTTGGCAAAAAGTTCCTTTACTTTTGCCGATCCAGGTGCAGTCTTCCTTGGATGGCTGGTGATGCGTGTCTATATATTCGCAACTCATATAAACATGTGCTTTTCCTGACGAGAAAGAGCTCGAGCAACTGACCGATCTACCTTCTAGTTTTGAATCGAATTCTGATGGAAAAAGGCATTACATACTCACATATGATTTGGATTTACATGTAGCTCTGATATCATGCTCACTAATTCCTCGAAAACAGATCCTCTCAACCCCGAAGATTTGTGATGCCGTATTACCAAATAGGCAACTAAGCGGATTCAATTTCACTCGTATTTTGTGTCCTCACTCCAGTTAAAGAAGCTTCTCGATGCTCACATCCCTTCAATCTGCGGCGAATAAAACGCGAACTCTGTGGGTCTTTGGTATTCCTTGGATTCAATGTCCGCCGTCCTTATTGCGACTCAAAGCTACTTAAATACATGCCAACAAACCAGCCAATGCGAAGTGTACCCCTTATTGGCGATCCTACGAGGTAAAACGTTCTAGACACTCGTGCTGGTTACTCCACACTAACTACCGTTTTTGAAGCCCGTGATCTTTTCGCATCTTTGGCGTCTTAACAAGCGTGATTGAAAGAGAAGAAATATTATTCATTTGACTAACGCATTGAAAGGCAATGCTCTGTATTCAATACAGTGGGGTTCAAGCTTGATCTTAGAGTTAGTTGCGGCGGACCTTAGTGACAAATGTCTCATGGCTTGTATTTAACCTGTATTTTAGAATGCCATATATATAATATATATAACCCTAAAATGTCATTTCCTAATAATCAAAAGGACTTTAATGATGTAGATGATCTTGAGAGCGACTCTGATGCTCTCTAATGGTCTCTGATATGTTTCAGTTGAATTCTAACAATCACATATAGTGACGTACGACAATTAAAGTCATTTAGCTGTCTTTAGTATAATCTATTAATGTATAGCTGACACTTGCTCTGAGTTATGAAGATTGTTATCAGCAATCAAATAAATAGTATAATAATGAATTTTGTATTTAATAAAATCTGAATCTTTTTTTTAATAGTTATAAGTCTGTAACGGGTGTGCTACTGATTAACTGGGCACTACCTTGGTTGCGGATTGTATGCACTGTACGATCTATCTGCAAAAGGCGTTACCAACAGACTAAGTACTATTCTAATAACAGATTATGAATTGATTAAGAACAGAAAGGAAACGGAATCAGAAAGAGGGTTCATATAGAAGAAGGATTGAAATGGAAGAATATTGAAGGTTGTGCTCTGATGAAGAAGGAGCAGAAGAATTGTTAGATGCAACATGAGCATTGAGTGGGATTGTGAGAGGGAAGCTTTCATAGGCGCGCGTGGGCACATGAGAGGGTGAATGGGTGGTGGGGGTTGATTGTGTAAGTTGACCACTAACAGGTGCTAACCTGTCACAAAGTTAGTTGCTTTACAAAAATACTGTTTAAAATTGAGCAACTAGTTGTATTAAAAGTAGTTATACCCTGAACTCCCGCTGGGGTTCACCCATTTTGCTAACAAATTAGGTTCATACTAAGCTAGAAATATACTAGCCCCCTTAGAGTTACTTTGGGTAGACCTCCACTGGAGTTCAGAGTATGTATGTATTGTATAGATTTAGTGTCCCAGCGAAGCACAGACAGTGTCTATGCTTCAGAAGACTTTCAAAGAACATAGAGATATGCTACACTGAAGAGATTTCTATATATATGAAGAGAGAGAAATAGAATTCAGATAACAACTTTTGAGAAGACTCAGTTCATTGAATTTATTGAGCTGTATATTTATTTTTGACTCAATATATAATCATTTATAATAAAGCTATAGTATAATTCTTTGAAGAGATTATCACTGCTATATCTGAAAGACTTTATAGAAGATAGAGAGAGAATATTCTCTCAGTTTATTAAAAAACTATCTATACTTTTTATAACAGAAAGAATATAGATAAAAAAAATAGAGAGAGAAAGAAAATCTATATACTGAAATAAATAAATAAAAAAATAATAAAAAGAAACTGTATTATTTATAGTTAATACTATACAATTATATAATCTGATATAGATTCAATAAAAATAGTATATTATTAGAAGAAAAGAAAGAGAATACTGAAGATGATAATAAAAAAGAAATAGTAAAATATATAAAAAAAATATAATAAAAAAAGAAGAAAAATATCAGAGTTGATAAAAATAAAAATAAGAAAGAAAAATAAAAATAGAGTAGATATAGATAAAATATTAATAATTAAGAATATATTCACTGTTAAATATACTGATTATACTGATTATATTATCAGGATACCGTACGAATCACCCAACCCAATCCCCTCAACACCACCCCTCGGACCCACTCTACCATCCGGCCAACTGGGGGAACCTGGCTCTTCCTAAGTTCCACTACCCTACTGCCATTGGTCTTGGTGGCCTGGGGTCCTCCTGGGTGCCTAACTACCAATCTCCCCCATCTTGGCAAAAGAATGTGCATTAGCTGGGGATATTCTTCTGGCCTTGATCTGATTTGAACCTGTGATAGCATGTTGGCACACTCCTTTAACTGTGATTCCACCATCCATCATTTGAAGTTGCGGAATCAAGCCGTTACAAGCCGCTTGATACAGCATGTTAAAAGCCGCAATAAGACGAGGCCGGCCGACCTTGAGCCAGAGCTCAATTACAAATAATTCAAACCAGGGCACAACCCATCTCCATTTATACACTATCTATATCGGATGCGAAAGATCCATCATCTCTTCACTTGGTAATAATAGAAAAGATTCGTACCGATATCCCCTTGCCGCTCTCAGCCCTCCTTGAACCTCTGGTTGGCTGTAATTACTGCTATGTGAGAACACCGTACCCCACCCGTTTATCAATTCTCTCCAATAACATGCATCCGCAGCCCTGGTTAGATATCGTTTGCGGAATACCTTGACACTGTTGTCTGCTATTCGCTTTGTTTGCTCCCTGTCCTGCAACAAGGCCTCCAACTTCTGCTCCAAGTCTGAAAAGTCTCGCTCTACCTCGACATAATTTTGATGCGGACCCTCCGCCTGGAGAAGGTAGTGGTGGTGCTGGATAAACTGCAATTTGTGGCTGACAACTACAGAGCGGCAGGTTTGTCGATATTTGAGGGATGAGGAGAAGGATCGGCCTAGGAATTACCGTCATTCAGCTTCTTCGCCTTGCCATTCCTTGCTGTGGGAACGAGTTGGGAACCCATAGAAATGAGAGCTAATTGCGCAACTAACCTTCGACATGTGCAATGAACATATAATTGCAGTGGTCCTCCATGCTGATCAGGTTATTTTTACTACTCCACATAATCTCCTTCACATCGCCCCAGGTCTTCCCTCTTGCAACTTCCAGCAGTCTCCGTCTCATTTTGGGTGCATAATTTAAACTTCCTCTCCAGACAAGCTTCCTTTGTTTCAACGCCCAAGGGATCGCATCTTCTCGTTGTTCGATCTTTCTAACGACTTCGTCGTAAGTGCCAATAACGACACTTGGGTTATGCCATGCCCAAAAGCCAAAATCTGGCATCAGCCAAACGGACTCCTCGCTTGCTTTCCTCCCAAGCACCCAAATAGGTTGGCCGCTGCCCTTGATATCATCCAACCTATCCTCGATCGAGAAAATAAATTCGATATCCGGCAAGCCGCGACGGTCTGCAGGAAGGGCTCGATAGATGGAGCTGAATATTCCAAGGATCTTGCGACGGTGGTCTTCCTGGGCTGCCCTTGTCTCAACCACATAAAGCTCACCCCCGTTTATCATTCCCCTTGCCATACCATTTCGCAAATTGATCACATTCAATTGTTTTTCTGTTAATCCGCCTAGGTGCCTCCAGTACTTCACGGCGCGATTAACATCCTCAAACAATCCAGGGAAAGCAGCCCGGCATTGGTTCCCGCTGAGACCTTCGTTGCGATCATCTCGACCATATTGAAAGACCCACTGCTTGGGCTCTGACATGGTCCGTATGGGGTAGTCAATGGGTGCTAAGCAGGAAGTACAGTTGAAGGTGGTCGAGTATTCGCAGGTACAATGCCCGGCGGGAATGAGTTGGGTGATGATAGGGTGGACATTATCTTGGTCAGAGTTCATACCGAACCAGATGGTAAATACAAAGGCACCAAAAAGAACCACGAAGCATGGCAGGACCACCCGTGTGTACCATTTCTGTCGCAGCAACATGTTTGATAAAAGGACTTGATAAGGGGCACCCTTCCGGAGTCCAATCGGTCGACGGAGACGAAGAATGTCCTGCTGTGCAGCGATAAATGTGGCGCAGCTGCGCGTGGAGGAAGTTTATGCGCACAGCGAGGTCACAAAAAATTCGCTCTTGGTGGGAGAGGGGAGGTTTTTTGGATGAGAATTATTACAGACATCATGGCTGGGCCAGGCGATATAGGATTCCAGAAATGTATGACCTGGTAGACAGGTTGGGAAGTCTGAAAAAGTTCAAGCTCATCCATCTCCCCTAGCTACCTGTCTGGATAGTATGATCTTGGCTGCCTGGCGGGGGGGGCTTCAAACTTATTGCCTCACACTGTAATAATCATCATAAAACCTTTCTAGTTCGGACACTTTAATCCAGGCTCCAAAATTAATCGAAAAGACGTAGGCTAGTCTCAGCGGCGTGAATTTGCGGCATTCGAATGGCTTTCGATAACTCCGTCTGACGGAGCAACCGAGAGCCAACACGAAGGTATTATTGAAGCCCCGGTTTAGAAGTGAAATTTTGAGATAAGGGATTAGCATTGCTTCTAGAAAATCGAATGAACTTAATAAGGGACGTAGGCTGTGTTTACACGTAGGAGGAAAATCAAGGAAGAAGAAAAAAAGAAGAAGGACAACGAGAGTCGATCATTCTCACTCATGGACGTCTTTGCAGAAGCCAATAGCACTGTGCCTGACTCGAGACAGCGCCGTAAATGCACTTCACTCCAGACAAATAATTGCAATTATAGTTCAAGTTATATGGGCTGCGAGAAGATACAATATCTGGCTTTTCCAACGATTGGCTGAGAAGAGGAAGAACAGAAAAACCCGCGGTTTTCATCGGCGATAATCCAATATTTTGGCTCGTCTGTTGAAATACAGGCGTTTTCGTACAGTACCCTGTCAGGGTACAGTTCGGCTGACCGCTCTTGCCGATAACATGTGGGGCAAAAGAGCTCAATCACCAGCGCCATGCTGGTAGTGGAGGGGACGAGCCAATCCAAACCCCCCGTACCTATACAGCCGCGTACTCCCAGACCACAATAATCAGTTTTGTGTAGATAGCCTAAAGCCAACAAAATGTCGGGGACCTCACTGAATGAGTAATATATTATTACTACACTCTGTGTGTATCTGTAAGAAGGTTGAACCCTAGTTGTTGTTATGATCTATCTAGCAGCTCTCAATGGGCACATGGGTGTAGATCACGTGGGGTGGGCTTATGTAGGACTTTCAACCTGTATTCTGTATCACATCAACATAAGGATTCTGTTTATAATAAGAGGTGGAGATGAGATATATGCTATATACACAGTATAGATTTTCAATTTTCCGTGCCTCAAAAATTCAATTATGAATCATCAAGCAAATTGAAATGCGAAAAACCCACAATCACTCCCCAATATTGTGGTTAGCAGAGCACTAAATATTAGGGTAGCACTAATGAAAACACCAGGGTATACTAGCGATGATATTATCTCATTTACCAATCATCTATTCAGACTATTCTTAACTTTATTATCACTTCATTCTTATTTTATGCTATTACAAATACTTTGATGATGCATATTTACTGAGATAGTATATTATAAAAATGGATCATATTGAGGAGCTCTTATGCGGAGACTCTGTGCTAATGTCAGTGAGATATATAGATTACTCTCACTCACTCATTCGCCGCCTGTCTGACTGCCTGTGTATGATGGCTATCAATGATATGAAGATCTAGTGATATCTAACAACGATATACAGATCTAGCTATTTAGAGATGATTTGATAATGAGACAGGGATTATTCTTGAGACACACCACTTCCGGGGACACTAAATCACATGATATCAACCTCTAGGGTTTGACAGCATGGCGCTAGTGGTAATAGAGCTCTTTTGGTTCAGTGGTCTGATATGTATATGTTGGCCTTATTACAGACTAGTGTACTGCTGTGATAAGATAGCACTATGGCCACTAGGTTATAACTTATCCATAGCAAAAAACCAACATAATCATTTGTTAAATGGTTGTTGACTCACAGTGATATATATATAGCTGGTCCTGTCTACAGCGGGCGTGGCCACCCATCCCACCACCACCGATTAAAAACTTAGTTATTTTAACTTTGTTTAAAAAACATTTTTATATTGATTATTTAAATAGTGATTTTCAATTATTATTAATTTCTTAATTAAAATATAAAATGATATTGTATGGGGATCCGGCACGGGTAAAATTTTCACCGAGAATCCCTCTGCAAATATCTACCTCGCCGATGTTAGATAGGTCTTTCCTTACAACGACCAACAAGCGCACACACAGCGAACAACCAACGAACGCACACAACATCGCATTAATGTGTGAGATAGTTGTTTACGCATACGATTTCTTATGTCTATGATTGTATAACAATTCCCTTTCCTTCTTGTTGATTCTCCTATGTACTTCCTTCTTATGTTATTTGAGGTAGATTGTTAGATATTGTACGAATTGATCTTGTGGTTTTCTATTGAGTGATTCAGCTCCTGTTCTCGCGCCGCCAAAAGCGCGCAACCCCCAATTCCCATTTCAATATTACAATTATAATCAAGAGTTCCTCAATTCTTTTTCTCTACTAGTATTCTTAAATAAAAGTTCAGTTCAGAAACAAAAGAATTGGAAGATATCTCTGACTCAGTATATAATATTGATATAGTACTGAAATGCAATGAGTTTAATAATAATATTTTCAGTTTTATATCAATAATAAATATTAGAGCATCTTTGTCAATAACTAGTGGTTATATAAAGGTGGATTTGCCTGTGTTCAAACACATGTTTCTATGGTGTTCAGCCAAGGCCTCTGAATAACCCATACATGTTTCATATGGTGAGCTATTTTCTTTGATCATATAAAAGAGATAACTTTTCTGTAATATTATATATGATGACTGTATCAGCTTCTCTCTGAATATGTATTTAATAATTATCACTTCACTACTGTATTCTTTTCTCTCTGCTTTTGTATTGATTTCTATTCTTAACTATTCTTATTCTTATTCATCTACTTTGAAACTCTTGTATTTTTATACAAGTAAGAAAGACTGATAATAATCTTTACTGCTGATACTGCTGTTGAAGCAGCTGCTGTATAGAAACAGCTACAGTATAATCTTATTATAGAAATAATAGTACAGAGAGAGAATATACTGAGAATCAGTAAACAAAGCAGATTAAAAAATATATAGATAGTATATACAGAGAAGCAGAATGAATGAATAATAATATATAGATTTATTTTATTTCTATTTCTTCTTTATTTCTGTGTATAAAGAGAGATAAAATTTAATAGACTAACTTCTCACTGCTGCTCAATCTTCACTATTTATATAATAGAAATAGTATAATAAAAAAAAGTTTTCAGATGATTAGATTGTCTCTGAATAGAAGATAATTTGATTCTTTAGTAAAAGAGTTCTCAATTATTTACTCAGAGAGAGTCATTTCAAAAGAAAATATATAAATACTGAAAGAGAAGAGATTATATAGATAATAAAAGAGAATCTGATTAAGCAGTATTAAGCAGTTTTTGTTGATCTGTATTATACACAGTAGAGTAGACAGAAGAACTCTTATTCTCATTCAGTTGATCAGATTTTAAATAGTATATTAAAGATTTACAGATCTATAAAATATATATAGAGATATATAGAGTTTGTGAACAAAGATGTAGATATTCTGATGAACAGCTATACTGAGTTGAATATAATGAATTTTATATATCAGTGCTGAAAGAGATGATAGAGAGATGAAAAATATACAGTTGAGTCTCTTCTCTGTACAGTAGCTGACTTTTTTATAAATTATTATATACTGCTGAGAAAGCAGTTTAGATAAAAGATATAGTTAACTAATCTATTTACAATTGAGCTGTTAAATAAGAGATCAACACTCTGCTGACTTCTTATTCAGATTATAAATAATAACAAAATAAATTAGAATAACAGACTTGAATATTCAACTATTGTATGATATAAGAATTATATTTTTTATTTAATATCACAGATTGTATTCTATCTATTCTATAGATGAAATATTATATAAAAGTCTCTGTCTCAGTTTCACTATTATCAGTTCTGATACAATATTCATTTACTTAAGAGTGAAGATTTATATAAGCAGATCTTCAACAGAATTTATCTTAAGTGAATAAACAAACTCTTTATATACACAGATATATCAGAGATGATAAAGAAGATTCACATCAGACAATTTATAGATGTATAGAAGACAGAGTTTAATGAAATGAATAAGAACAGTATTTACAGAGTTGAGTAATAAAATAATAACTTTTTAATTAACTGCTATCTCAGTCAGATCAATCAGAAGTTCATACAGAAAATTACAGAGTTCAATTCTAGTTTGTTAAATAATTACTATCTTTTACAAACTACAGTTATTTCATCAGAGCTGTTGAAGAAATCTCTCTAATTATAAGTAAATAAATGATTTATCTGATTTTATTCTAAGAACAGATTCTCTTATATCACTTCTTCTGAGATCTCTGATATGAGTCTGAAGCTGTTTGATAGTGGAAATTTATTTGATTCAGATAATCTTGCAGCTCAGAGATTTTTGCAGCTGTTAGATTATCTTTATACAGTAATACTATAGAACTCTACTTTTCTTCAGAGAGAATTTTCAACTCATTCACTGTGAATCAACTCAGTATTTCAATATACAGAGTATAAGTAGTTTGCAGATGCTGTATAGACTGCAGAGTCAGTTTTTATTTCTTTATAGAAGATAATATTTCAACAGTCAGTGTCACAGATTTTCAAAAGTCTGAGTATTATATAGAGACAAATCAATGTGATGATGAATCAGATAAAGATCAGAGATATACAAATAAAGAAAAAGATTGATAGAATTCAGTGTAGAATTGATACAATAACAATTGAATTCTGAATCTTTCAGTCTGTCTCTGTTTTTGTCTGTGTATAGAAAGATATTATTAAGATTCCCTTCATCTCTGCATCTGTATTAGACTGACTGTGTGATTATGCATGAGACTGAGATCAAATTTTTCCTCAGTTTCATTATTAGATATCTTAGTTCTGATTTCATATAGTGTTTAGTAAATTAGTCACTTTACACTGTTTATATTATAAATCTAGTCTCAGATCATGTTTTACTAATAAATTAGTGATTTCAGTTTCATTTGATTTCATTTTATAAAATGGAATCAAATGAGATCATAATTTACTCTATATAGATTGGCAGCAATAGATTAGCAGTGATAGATTAGCAGTGGTAGATAGATTGACAGCAATAGATAAATTGACAGCAGTAGATAGATTGACAGTGATAGATTAGCAGTAATAGATAGATTAGTAGCAATAGATTAACAGTGATAGATTAGCAGCAATAGATTAGCAGCAATAGATTAACAGTGATAGATTAGCAGTGGTAGATAGATTGGCAGCAGTAGATAGATTGGCAGTAGTAGATAGATTGATAGTAGTAGATAGATTGACAGTGATAGATTAGCAGTGATAGATAGATTAGCAGCAATAGATTAGCAGCAATAGATTAGCAGCAATAGATTAGCAGTAGTAGATAGATTGACAGTAATAGATAGATTGATAGCAGTAGATAGATTGGCAGCAGTGATAGATTAGCAGTGATAGATAGATTAGCAGTGGTATAGATTAGCAGTGGTAGATAGATTAGCAGTGATAGATAGAGAATCTAATAGCAAGTTATCAGAGTATTAAGCACTAAGTAAGATAGAGATAATATCTCCACCAATCATATCATCAGATTGATGTATTATATAATCATCAGAATGGGATCAAACTTGAGTTAAAATTATAATCAGTTTCAGATCATATTCTGATTTTAATAGTCAGTCACTTTATATGAAATATCAAGATTTTTTAGTTTCATTTCACTTATATTTTGATAATTCTAGTCACTTTACACTCTCATTCTGATTCTGATTCCACTAAAATTATGCTAAGAAATGAACTGAAATCAAATCAAATCAAATTAAATATGTAATTTATAATTCTGACAGTCAGTCTAATCTGTATCTTCATTCTTCTCTTTATCAACTGCTGCTGCTGCTGTCATCACTTCTGCTACAGCATTGTTAACTGAGAATGATATTTGAATATATCAGCTCTTTCATACAATTCAATCAGTTAATAATCTCTGAAAGAAATGGAAACAGAGGTTGAATGAACAGCTCTCTATACAGCATCTGAAGTTATTATACAGATCTAACTGAAGAAAGAAGAATAGTGAGTATATATTCTTTTTTCAGTAAAAGATAATCATCAATGAAATACTCAGCTGCTATTAGACTGATTATATAATTATATATGAAACTGAGATCAAATTTTTCCTCAGTTTCATTATTAGATATCTTAGTTCTGATCTTATATAGTGTTTAGCAAATTAGTTACTTTACACTGTTTATATTATAAATCTAGTCTCAGATCATATTTTACTAATAAATTAATGATTCTGATTTCATTTGATTTCATTTTACAAAATGGAATCAAATAGAACCATGATTTACTCTATATAGATTAGCAGTGATAGATAGATTGACAGCAGTAGATAGATTGACAGCAGTAGATAGATTAACAGTAATAGATTAGCAGCAATAGATTAGCAGTGATAGATTAGCAGCAATAGATTAGCAGTGATAGATAGATTGACAGTAGTAGATAGATTGACAGCGGTAGATAGATTGATGATAGTGAGTAGATTGACAGCAGTGGGTAGATTGGCAGCAGCACTAAGTAAAATAGAGATAATATCTCCATCAATTATATCATCAGATTGATGTATTATATAATTATCAGAATGGAATCAAATTTGAGTCAAAATTATAATCAGTTTCAGATCATGTTCTGATTTTGATAATTAGTCACTTTATATAAAATATCAAGATTTTTTAATCTTATTTCACTTATATTTTGATAATTCTAATCACTTTACACTTCTATTCTGATTCTGATCTCATTAAAATCATGTCAAAAAATGAACTGAAATCAAATTAAATTAAATCAAATGTATAATTCATGGTCTCAGCAGTCAGTCTAGCTGCCATTATACAATGAAATTAAGATCTATTCTAGAGATTGTAAAGAAGCTTGAGTTGATGTATATATAATTAAGAATGAGTCTGAATAAGCTCTCTATTTTTCTCAGAAAAGTAAGAAGATAATCTGTGTATATTAACTATACTATATTATATATTTTTTAATCTTAAGTATTTATTTATTTATATATACAGACTGTCTCAGCAGAATTCACAAGAATAAATATTCTCTCTTTCTCTCTTTTCTCTTTCATATACAAGATATTTTCATTTTTCTCTTTCATTCATGATAATAATAATAATAAGTTGATTATAAAATCTCTTCTTTCTCTATCTTCTCTCTCAACTTCTTTTCTCTTTCTCTCTTCAGCTTTTTCATTATTATTTATTAATATATATGATCTCTTTTATATCAGAATTTATCATTCTTTTGTTGAAATTCATCAAAATCACTCATTCACTATTCACTCTGTCTTTTTTCTACTTCATACACTGTATAAGATATTTATTTCATTATATTAAAGAAGAAGGACACTGACAGAGACTTGTATATATAGTCAGAGAAGATTTTCAATTTTTTTTTTCTATAAAAAAGAAGATTAACTCTTTTCTGCTCTTCAATAGTATTCTCTTTCTCTCTCTCTTCTATAAATAATATAAGTATTTCTCTGCTTCTCTATTATACAGTATAGAAAGCTGATTATAATACAAGAGTTTTTATTCTATATAATTCTGTCACTGTTCAGTAGAATCTAACTCAGACTGAGTTGATTGACTTATATTATTCAGCTGCTGAATATCAAGATAAGTGATAGAAATAATCAGAGTATGATATAATATATATCAGTAATTCTCAGCTGAATATATTTTATTATAGTTTTTAATTTCATACTCTGTTTGCTGTTTCTGATTTTGATATATTATATATTCATATATATATCAGAGCTGATCAAGTGTTGTTTCATTGTTTATTATATATCAATGTTATTCTAATTCAATTTTATGATAGAACTCTTGTCACAGACTGTACACAGTGTTATACATTCTCTGAGCTTAAATCATTTTCATTGTGTTATTATGTATACAGTCACTTTGAAAAAGTATATGTCAACTGTAAATAGTATAATTATACAGTATACTGCTCTCTTCACAGCTCTGCAGATCAGTCTAATATATATAATAATTTTTATAATAGACAGTCACCACAGCTATAAGTATCAGCAGTAGATGATATGAATTATGATACTTAGTCTGATACACAGAATAATCTTATTTTTATTAAATAGAGTATATATAAAGCTTTTATTTTTCTGTTCTATTCTGTTCTATTCTCTCTCTTTGATCTTTATTTCTTCATTATTATTATAGATATATATATATTATTATTATAGAGTTAGATCTAGTTATACAGACTGTGTATGATATTCAGACAGTTGACTTGTACTTCTACACAGTATCTGAGATTAGTAGCTCTTTAGTAGAGATGAAGTCAAACAGATTATTTAGCTAGTGATTATATAACTTTCTATATACAAAGTCATATATATCTGAATTTAATAGTATTTCTCTTACTAAATACAAGTATTCTGTATGTATGAACATGAAATTGAACACATATCAGCAATAATCAGGTTATATACAGTGATGTTGATGACTGAGTGACTGCACCTCCATATATAACCTGGTTATTGTGAGGGTCAGGTTCAAACACACCATAACCCGACCCATCTATAACTAGAAATAAGAAATCAGATTTTTAGACTGATATTAGAGGCCATGATTTCACCGGCAGCAGGATCTTGGAAGGCCAGGATGTTGCGCAGATGATTGTATGATTGATGTGGATGATCAATGTAAGCTCTGCAAACCCGCGCGATGCATTTGTTTCTCTGCTGAGGAGCACTGTATAACAAGGGTTGCCACAGAGGGCCAGAATTCTTGGTTAGTCAGTGCATTTTTTACTCAGTGGGAACTCTCTGAGGTTATATCTCTTTTCAACTGTCCTGCCCCTCTGGTCTAACTTCCTGTTTCCATTTTTTGCCCTGTGTTTCAGAATGTTATGGGTTTTATCTCTCCTTTGTGTTCAAGTTGTCATAACGGCGACGCTGTATCCTATGATTTTATCAGCTAGTTAGGTTTTACAGCGCATACATATATTGCTTTATCTCTCCGATGTGATGACTATCTATTGAATAGTGAAGGTTTTATCAAAATATATTTTGGGGTTTGATGTTGGAAAGGGTTCGAGGGAAGGTCATGTTGTTGAGACAGCACACAGGAACCATTGGATAATAACCACAGACTATGTACCTTAGGTAGGTAGACAGATCTGTTCTTACTCACATGCTCACTGCCGACCTCATCCATTGCTTCCAAAGTCTATCTCACAGCTTCATTGTTCATTCATTCATCTTATCTACGACTATTGACCTATTCTATCCTCTCAAGTACTACCGAGGTCACTGACATTCTGGGATCCCAACCTTTCTCCTCAAATAATAAACAATGTCCTCTATCTCATCAGGAACACCGTACCAGTGGCCGAGATCTTCGTACGCCTTCCATGTTACATGCATCCGCAATGTATCCGAGAGAAAGGTCGCCATCTTTTCACCCAGATGAACTGATACCTTTGGGTCAACTGCGCCGTGGCCAATGAAAACATGAGCTGGAAGGTAGTCTACCACTAGGCTGCAGGCTGACTCCTTGGGGATCGTCAGTGCGGGGAGATCAAGGATATCACGAACGTGGTTAAGAGCCTCGAGCGCTTGGACCTGCTCCCCAGCAACATCATCCGTTGACCCTGCAAAGGGGTCTGTTTCCGTACCGAAGGACAACCCGTCACTATCAGAAGTGTGAGATTCTGCTAAATCATGCAATTGGCTCTCAAACGGGAGCCACCCGCTCATTCCAACAAATCCTCCTAGCTGTTCACTGCCATCAGGTCCGAATCCCCCACCCAGCAGGGTGAATATTGATGCTGCGCATCCTTGGCTGAGCCCACCCAGGACGATCCGTCCGTAACCCCCTGGGCCGAGAAGCGTTGCTTCGATTGCAATCAGATTCCTCAAGAACTCCGCTGTCTGACAGAGGCCATCTACCTGAAGATCCGTTCTACGGCCAGGGTCTTCGAGCGAGTAATTGTCAAACCACTGATTGATGGGTGTCTTTTTCAGCACCGTGGATCTCCGCTTGCTTGCTGTGGGGAAAACAAATTTCACCGTAGGGAGTCGGGCACGCAACTTTGCAGACTCCAGAAGCTCATGACCGAAGCGTTCAGCATTGCTACCACGACCATGAAGGAGTATAAGAGTGTGCGTATGGTTAGGCTTTAGAGGCGCGATAACCAATGGTTCGGGATAGGCTCTCTTTTGCGGTGGCATCGTCATCCTTTGCTGTTGTAAAGAGATGCGTTGTGTCGAAGCGTTAAAACTGCCGTGGAAAAGTTCCTTGGGTCCCAGCACGAGCACGAGAGACCTTGGCCAGTTTTATGTGTGTGATGCACTGGGTGGAGAAGAGAACATGTTGAACGGTGTTTAGTTTCTCCGATCTCCATTAGGTTTAGCGTCTTGCAGAGACTTCTTTGCTTGTGTTCAGTCTCTTTACCTTAGTTAGTTTTAGATCCTTGATAGGATATACGTTCTTTAGATTCATTCTCTACGGTTATTGTACCCGTCGTACAACAGAACATCTCCAAGCTGTGAATGTTCTGACAGCCAGCGCTTATTCATTGGATAGGAGTCAACACAACCCCTGGGGTCAAGTTTGCGCGAGTCACTCCTGGATTGCTAATATTAGGTACAGGATGGCTTTCTGCAAATGGTGAGCCACTCATTGCCACTGCTCAAGAGGAAACGGAAGAATTCCTAACCGCCTTTCCAATGCATCGAGGTCAGCCAATGCGAACAAATTCTGAAAACTACAGGTCCAGCGGAAGATCAAAAAAAGCTGTCACCAACACACTCGCTCAAAATTAGCCCAGTCGATTCGTTGAAGTCGGCGGTTGTGATGATATCCTTGAGGCGTACCATAACTCCTGAAACAAGAATAGTGCCTTGAATCCTTCGAATGGGCTGGACTACATAGCCGCCGGAATGCAGCCTATGGCACATTTCTTTAAAAATAGCCCGAACATAAAGGGCTACCGCTGCAACCAGTCCACGCAGAGAAATAACAGCCAAAGAATCCCTTTTATAGGGGATGTTATGATACAACGCAGGTGGACCCCTTGCTCTGGGAGTGAAGCCATGGAAGAATATTCGTGGAGAAGGGGGTAGAACGGACGAACATAAAAGGAGAGCAAAGGGACATGAAATCTGCGTAAAGATCGCAAATCAGCAGAGTACACAGCAATACAGTCGTTGCCTCCCGCTTGTCTTAATTCGACTCCGTCAATTGTTCCCTGAACCTCAAGAACGAAGCCTACCATCAACGGGCTGCTTTGGCTTCCAATCACGAAGTCTCTCATCTTTTCACGATGTCTGAGCCCCAAGTACTCGAATTATACGTCGTATTCGGTCAACGCCGTGGGGCTGACCCTCTCCATTGGATACTCATGCTTCTCCCTATTTTCTAATGTAGATACTTCCATTGCGCCTATTACATCTTTAAACACTTAGATTTCTTCACAGCACTATTACAGTGATGCAGCTTTATAAAACTTGATAACTTATTTTTAAACTAATTTAGATATCTAGATGCAATTATAAACATAGAGCACTCTGACTGACACAGATGAATCAATTTATAATATAACAGATATATCACTGATTAATCAGATATTATGTAACAGATATGTCACTGATTAAGCAGATGTTATTATTGTTGTAGATTAAACTATTTATACCATCTGTACAGTTTATATAATTCATTTCAATAGCACTATCAATAGACTTAATACTATTCTGATAACAGTTTACAAATCAATTAAAAAAAGAAAGAGAAAGAAGATTAGAAGAAGAGATTGTATAAGAGAGTTCTTATAGAAAAAGAATTAGAATAGAAGAATATCAGAAATTACACTGTGTGATGAGTTAGCATCTGTTGATAATTAACTTACACAATCAACTCTTTATTATATATTTATATACTTATATATACTTATGAAGTTCTTTCTGTAATGAGTATGTTATCAATTAAGCAGATGCTATTAATGTTGCAGATTAAACTGTTTGTACCATCTATACAGTTTATATAATCTATTTCAATAATAATATCAACAAACTTGATACTATTCTGATAACAGTTTATAAATCAATTAAAAAAAGAAAGAGAAAGAAGATCAGAAGAAGAGATTGTATAAAAGAATTCTTATAGATAAGAGAATTGAAGTAGAAGAAATATCAGAGATCATACTCTGAAAAAGTATAGAATGAAAGAATTATTAAAATATTAAGATATATACAATTGTGAAATAGAATTATAAGAAGATATGAAAGAATTTCATGAGTATATATAAGTATATAAATATGTGATAGAGAATTGATTGTGTAAGTCAACTATCAATAGATGCTAACTCATCACATTATCTCTCTCTATTAAGATGAGTGAGAATTTATAGATATTGAATACAGCAGTATTCTTCATAATAGATATGAATTCTCAGATTGAATAATTATATTCTATTTATTTAATAAAATATTTACAATAACAGCAATTGATTCTATCATTAAAAATTGTTTTAATTTTTTATTCAAGTTCATTGTCTTCTTCTATAATGATAGATAATTGTTAGTTGAAAGTTTTTTATAAAAGAAATAAATTCTCAATCACAGATCAGAGCAGATTTGTATGAAAAATATTATAAATATCAGATAAAATATTTAATTGATAATTATAAATATCTAATACTTCTACTATTATATATTTGATGTGATAATAGTTCAGTATATATAAAAAATAATCTATTTTTATATTTCTGAGATCTAGTCAAATCTTATCTTCTATATTATATTGAATTGTAAAATTTCTTTTAATATTTATTTAATTTTTATAGTTCTATTAAATGCTAGTTATTGAAGCTTCAGCTCATTTATAAATTTTCTTAAATTTATTAATTATATTCTCTACTATTTATACAGAACTGTAGATATATATAATCTTTTAAGAGATTTCAGAGAAGTTCAGAATTTCTAAATTATAATTATATAGAAGAAAGAACAGATTTATATCTATTATAATAGAATCTCAGCTGTCTATAATAATCTCAATATATAACAGCAGATTACTTTAATTATTTTATATATAATTGCAGAACTTTTGAAAAATATTCTTAACTATCTATATTATTTTTTCAATAGCTTTATTAATCTCTGAATAATATACTATCAACAATTTTTACTCAATTTTTAGTAGTTGATATATACAAATTCAAAATATACTCACAAACTGACTGTCTCTATTTAATATAATAAATAAAAATAAACTATATATATAATAAAATGAATTTCTGATGAAGATATCTGTAATAACTTCAGTATTCATTTTATTACAGAGCTGCAGTATTATATCTTTACTGAGATAGTTAATAATAACTAGAATATTTATAAAACTACTATTCTTAAACAAGAAAACTATAAAGTTAATAACTATATTATATCAAATTTATTTGAAGACAGACAGAGATTTCAATATTTTTTTTCAATATTTATATTATACTATTACTGAATCACAGTAGTTATAATTATATATAAATCAGTATATATTCTTTAATATATTCAGTCAGTAAAATTTTCAGATAATAATACTATATATAATTTTATACTCTGAATACTCAGTTATTAATAAATTATAAATATTTTATATAATCTATATTTATAAAAGTTCTGAATTGAAAACTTATTATCTATTTTAGAAGTATAGACAGTTATTATTATCAATTAAATATACTGAGATATCTGTTTTTGAGTATATATTTGCAGAGAATTGAGATATTTTACTTTATACAGTTTCTGTAATTTATTATCAGAATTTATCTATTTCTACTGTTTATTTTCATTGTTTTTTGAGTGAAGA